TGCTGTCTGTGGAGGAATCCGAATCACGTGACTGATCCGTCCGAGATCACGTCCGTCGTGTGAATACACGCTGCTTCATCGGCGTCCACGTGCTCCGTTTCTGGTTGAGAGAGAGAGAGAGAGAGAAAAAAAAAGAAGAAAACGTTGCTGTTCGAGGAAGGCGTGACCCCGAATGAATGTCAAGGTCATGGCGCGCCCCCTCACATCCGAACATGGCTACCGCGCGCCACTCATGAGTCATGCCCGGCTCGCCCCACCGGAAAAAGGGGGGGCGGTGTCTCCACCATCGGCTGTGCCGCGCACGTGACTTCGAACGTCTAAAAAACAAGGCAGGTCGTTAAGCGATACACCGAGGCGTGACAGTCGCTGACGTAACTGAATGTAGGAACAGCGCAACCTAGAAGTAGTTACTTCGTAACCGAAAAAACAAGGACAGAAAAGAGCGCTGGCTTGTTGAAAGTCAGCGCTCTTTTCTGTCCTTGTTTTTTCGCTTCCGTAGTTACGAAGTAACTACTCCTAGGTTGCGCTGTTCCTACATTCAGTTATGTCCTACCAACTTGCCCAAGCTTCCACGCTTCATAGTCGCAGACGATTTCAAAGGACCAGCACTCCTCGATTATCGCCAGCGAGAGTGCAGTATGGCAACAGATTTGGGGCACTGCAGGTTGTGCAAGCCGAACTTTGGTTTCCGTCATCATAGAACGCGTGTGTAGACGTGTGGTTCAACGCAGATCATCGAAACTTTGTGGTCATTTTCAGGTGTGGCCCTTCGGTGCTTCAGTTAGTCCGGCCACCTTTGACAAGGCAGTCGCCCATGTGCAAGATTAACCCCCCTTCCGATCTTGCTCCTAAAACCTATGTCATCTTGGGTTTTAGGAGCACTGACACATCAGTTGTGCTATATGGACCTGAGTTACTCTTTTTTCTTAATTATTGGCGCCTGTATTCCCTACGGCATGAGTTAAATAAAAAGGAAAAAAGTTCTGTTTAATACATGGCTTTCGCTACGATATGCCTTACGCATGTGCGTATGCTAGTTTTTTCTTGGTTTGCAGCCTTTGCTGTCAATAAATGGTTGGTATATAGTTTGGCGCACATCCGTCTCTTCTCCTCGTCCTATATCTTCATGTTTTGAGAATCACGCTGGAAATAACATGTTTAGCAAACATTCGCATGTATATGTTTGTAAGAAATGGCGCTTGTGTTCCCGTAAACTTTTGCGTGGCGTTTTAGCGTTGTTTTCGGTATTAACAACCACCATTTCGAACTTCACGAATGTTTTTTTTTGTTAATTGACGAGTAGATGTCGGCTCGTAACGCTTCAACGCAATTTTACGAGCTTCAGCACGCTGTAACTTCGACCTGCGTTACGGCCGGGCCGACGAAACGTCCACTTACGACAAGTTTTAGGGGCGAAGCTCCTCTGAGTCTAACCTTGTCATGCGTCGCGCGTAACCGAGAGAAGGGACGAGAAAAAAGAAAAGAATGCAGTATCTCCCGAACAGAATAGAAGTACATACAAACTACACACAAACTTCAGTTGAGTGAGGATATTTTAGATGGCGCTTTACCGCTACTCTCCGATTTGCTGCTGCGCGGGCTGTGCCTGGGTACACGGAGAACGAGTGCCTCTCTGTCTCCATGGTGGATCGTTCGTGGGGCATGGGCGAAGCAGAGCGGCGGGCGCGTTGAAGACTCTTGCGCTCGGCTCGCGTCTCGTCGGTGTCACCCGCGCGCCGTCCGCATTCTCGAAGGCGATCGGACGCGTGGATGCATGCACGGACGGACGGACGGACGGATGGACGCTTCACTCATCATCATTCACTCTGTGGATGTGCTGTGATTTTTTTTCTTTTTTCTGGTACGCACTTTCTCGCGGACACAATGGCAGAGCGTTGTCTCCGCTTCGTTTCTCCTCTCCCGTTTATCTCTCCACCACAGCTGTTTGCTGCACTCGCTCGCGTCGTTTCACTCTCCTAGCAGCGCTCGGTGTCCACTTTGCGGCGCACACAGGATAATAGACACAAATGGGGAGAGGAGGTAACATAAGTTGTACACAAAGTACACACAAACTCCACACACAAATTGTAGATACACGGAAATAAGCGAATGGAAACACAAGTGAACACCTCAGCGCTGCTTCGCATCCCCACATGGTTCACTCCTTTAGTGAGTGAGAGATGGCGTAATTTTATTTCTGTCGTTATTTCTATTTTCTTCCTATACATTCTCTCCGTTTCTGTCTATTTCAGGCTTGCTTCCTCCTTTTTTGCTCTCTTTTCTTATACTTGATTTTGCCTCCACTACGCCAATCGGCAACACCATACGACAACCCGAGTCCCTGAAGGCCAGGACGTGTGATTAGATTCCGGTGGAAAGGAAAAGAGCGTGAATTATGGTGACAGGTGACAGCATACTTTTCGCGATCCGAGTAGGAGTTATATTTTGTACCGGTGCCATTTCCTCCCTGCGCAAAAAAGGAGCCATCCTGGTGACGGCGAGTTAAGGAAAAGACGCTATAGGGGGGTCGTAGCAGGGTTTAAGTCGCGTGAACTGTTTCGCGGCAAATCGTGTTCAAAAGTGACCAAAACGGGCATGTGGCGCCCCTAGCGCAAGATCTATGAACCAAAAATATGAAGTCCTAATAACTTCTTTGTGAATATTTAAAGCGCACCGGAATAAGGGCTTAAATTTCGAATATGTATATTATTGTTCATTTTGGTTTGCTTTTATGTGGCTTGCAAGGTAAAAGAAGTAGAGCGTGAAAAGTGGCGCTGCTTTCGTGGCCTCTGCAGGGAAACGGGTGAAGTTGCGCATGCGCGCGGCCCCAACGGTGTTTCAAGAGTAGCTCGATTACCGTCGCGTCGGGCGTGTTGCACGGAAAAAGCACGCGAGCTTGACAATGCGATCGCTGCGGCACACGAAATGCCGTTAACCTACTGCTTTGTGGAGAAAACGCTACCACTTCATGGGTGCTGGCGATGCTGGCGCTCCGTCGGATTCGTCGTTACCGCTGTAGTCGGTCGAAGCATGTCGCTCTAGCGCTACGTGATAAGGGCCCTAATTTTGCGGGCGCATGCGAGCCAGAATTTTTTCCTCTAACTCGCTCAATTTGTGAAGAGATGACATCGGAGCCGTCCAACTACGGCCGCACGTGAACTACTAAGCGTGAAGTGTCGATCACGCGTAAACGAGTCGTTTCGTTTTCGAATACTTGGCTTAGCTCGGCTTGGCTTATGTAGGAAAGACGACCTGTGCACGGCCTAAAGTACTTGCATAAGAAGCCCAGGGAAAGTGCTGCAACTTTTGTGAAATCTTTTAGCGCGCTAGCAAGCAGTGGTTGCGGAACTGCAGGCTTGACAAACACAACATTGCGTGTTTGTACTTGAGGCTTTACTTTTCATCACTGCTGGCGTTACGGTGGCGTATAATCGCCATCGCGATCACAACCGCTGTCTTCTGCTACAGTGGCTAGAATAAGCCACTGTACTTCTGCAGCAGACTGTGTGTAATCACGGAACACCTCGCCGCAATATTGGAAATTTCTAATTATCTATGTTCTACGGTATTTTCCGCGTTACCGTACCGTGATTACAAGCTGTTACCGGTAAGTTTTCCGCTGCACTTAGAAAAACGGGTACCAAAAGTATCGGTTGTGGGTCCGTTTAAAATTAATTCGTTATGACAGTCGTTTGGTCGGAAGCAACTCCTTTGACCAGACGGCTGCGTGATGTGTACTCTTCCGCAATGGGCGCGTGCTTTTTGAACAATCTCTGATTGTGCCCGTGTCACGCGACCGAGGATGCCGCCCGCTTCCCTGTGCACGTTGTTTGCGGGGAAACCCTAAACGTGTGGCTTCCCGTGTGAATGGATGCAGGAAGGTGTCGTGCGTCATTAGGTTGTTGTTGAAATGAGCGCTTTCGTGCGCACTATTTGTGCAGAAACCTAATTTTCGGCGCCGTGACGACGATCGACGCGAGCACACGGGTAACATTTCGGCCGCGTAGTAGTCGTGACGTTCGTCTTGAGATACAGTGCATTGCCTTTTCAACACCAGAGGCGGACCCAGCCATTAACTTTAGGAGGGGTAGGTGGGGTGGATCTCTACTCGTGTGTTTTTGCTAGTTGCATCACCGCAAGGGCCCCGTCACAGTATAAACTGTTAAAATATTGTCACGGGGTCGTGACGTGGACGATGGGAGCAGAGTCGATATTCGGATAAAGCTTTATTCGGCCGAACTTGTGGCCGGTAAATGGGAAGGTCAGATTACGGCAGCACGCTGGCACTGTGATAGCGGCGAACAGAGCGTATAGTTTCCAGAATTATCTGCTATGTTCCCGAAGTGGACGTAGTCCCAACAAAATGATCTACTGCAGTCCTGAAGCCTCTCGAACACTGCAGGCGCGCTTAGCGCCGAGAATTACTGACGGGGCGATAACAAACACAAAGGTGCCAAACGAGAGCATGTCTGAACCTTGGCTCGTATTGCGCACGGCGACTGTACAATTCCGCATTTCAGAAGCGCAATGTAAGATGGGCATCTAGTAAACGATTATGTCGCGGCATATTTTTCAGCTAACCAATATTCAAATGAATACCCGTCACATTACTTTGTAAGTTTGCCTTGGAGCCGTTACCCCGGGAATTTTTTTCGCAGTGAGAGGAAAGGGGGGGGGGGGGGGGAGTTGAACCCACCTCCGTAGTTACGGTAGTTACGGCCCTGGTTCCCCTCGTCAACCCTGCTGTCGCCTCTTCCCGTGCCTTCACAACAGTGCATTGCAGGGAAACCTTTTTTGTGATCCTGTAATGTAATGAATTTAACTGAGCCTTTCAGTTTACCTCGCTCAGAGGCTCCCATTTATTTTAGTACGTACGTGAACAAATCACTACGATGCGTACGAAACGGTTGTCTGCGGCATGTCTTGGAATACGTATGTGAGCAAACTGACGTTTCTGTCTTTCTTTTTTTAAAGGAATACGCGTCCCAATTATTTTGCAGGTGCTGGGTTGTCGTCGAGCGGCGTCCGACGGAGCGCGGTGGGAACGCGGCGTCCGGCGGCGGGGTCTGATGCTTGCGCAAGCGAAGGCATGGAGGGCCAGGCCCCTAGCCCCGTGGAAGCGCGCTTCGCCCCGGGGGCCCCGTGTCCGCTACAGCAGCACTACGCCAGGATGCTCATGCAGCAGCAGCACGCGGTGCCCACCTCCGCAGGCACCGCCCGTGAGCCTCTCTCGCCTTTCCTCACTTTCCCGTGAAAATTTTTTGACGCTGCCTAACACCGAACGTGTCCTCCTTTTAATGTTCGTTGGACATGGACACTGACGGCAGAGGAAACCGTTAGAGAATTTGTGTCGATCCTCTGCCATGTGTTGTACGCAATGTCTCTCCTCGTTCAAAGAGTGTCCTTGCGGTATCGGTGGCGCCATCTGGCAGCGTTGAGGTCAACCAGGCCAGTACAGTACAATTAGTGACACTAGCCAAGAGTACTTGAAGCAGGGTTTAAAAGTTGTCGAGAGGAGAAGTTATGCCTGGAAAGTTGAGCTAGACCTTCGCCATTTTACTAGAGGTTGGATAAGATGTGAACTTGCACCAAAGAAAAAGTACCATGTCTCTCTCACATGCCCCATGTCACAATGTTGCGTGGCGCCGCCGCTGCCAGCGACAGATGTGGCGCCGCTGTCGCATCCGGATTCACTCGCTGCACGCTCTCTCGTGTCACTCCCCGTAACCTCCATCGCCTGTGCATGTTGCAGTGCGTCGATATCTGCGGAGGCTTCTTTTGCGCGTGGAGAGTCTTGCGCTTCAGCGCGCCCTGTTCTGCTTTGTTTGCGTTGCAGGTTTTCATCGTGCCCAGGTGTTGCGTTCCCAGCTGTAGAGTAGCTACAGGAAATTAGAGACACCTCGACATTTCTTTTGAGCCCACATGTACCCGAGGAGCGAGAGGTGTGGGACCGCGCTGTTCCTCGTGCGGATAAGAAACCGCCTAGCACCTCACGTGTGCGTGATATGCACTTTCATGAGAAGGACATCCTGAAGACTTTCACTCACGTCATATGGTAAGAAGGTACAAATCGCCAGAGGAAAGTGGGACCTCGTCGAAGGATGCGCTCCACGAGTATTCCCGAATTCGCCCACTTACCTTTGTCGCGGGGCCCGTGACAAAGAAGGGAAAGCTACCCGATAGGAGTGGGGTATCTTCCAGAATATCATCGGCGAAAAAGAATAAACCATCTCCGAGCACTGAGCTCGAAGACAGTGAAATAAGTCCCGACATGCCGTCAACTATTGGCTTCATGTCGCTTCAAGACGTAGAAAACGTTTGTTTGCCTTCTGCATGCTGGCGGAAAGTTGTTGAAAATGGCGAGACAAGATGTCTTGTGGCGTTTCTAGGGCTCAAAAAAAAAAAAAAAAAAGAGCGCCATTTGTGGAGAAATGCATTGTAGTCGCAGAAGACATGACAGTCGCCATTAGCAGCCGTCACCATCGCTTGGCCAAGTCACCCGGCAATGCAGATACCACCACCCGATTGGCCGAACTTATGGACGACATAGAAAAGCTGAAAGTGTGTTCATGTTGTCCCAGTGCATCAGCAGGCAGACTCGTGAGTAATAACTACGAAGTGCTCACCGATACCCCAAAGTGCGGTCTCCGCTCAAAGCTTTGGCTGCAGCTGTGTTAACCGGTTTCCTTAGAGGAACTCCAGAAGAAGCAGAGGGAAGACATGCTCAATAAAATGGCCGCACGCGTAGATTTTCGACGGTCTAAGTTGCAAAAAAATGTGACTGACAAAAAAAAAAAAGCTGAATATAACCAGACAAAAGCCACGAGATTGCACGTCATAGTTGTAGTTGATTTTCAAGCACGAAAAACACAGCCACAAAAGAGGATGCAAGACATTGCAATTGGGTTTTTCGCGTCTAAAAATCTATTGCAAACGTACACCAACTAGCAACTAACCGACAGACTCGTATGCTATGCTGTATATATCAAGCAGTGTTTATTGTGGGCAGTTCAGAAAACCATAACTATACTGTATTTGTCTTACACCGCTTAATATATTACGCAGTATTAAATTTCTGCGGCAGCACAACAAATCTCGATAATATACTGTTGGCAAAGCTCTTTCAGAACGGCCGCCACAGCGTCTTGCTACGACTACGCGTTTTCGTATGCTAGCGGAAGCTTGTTGCGCCGCCAGTGCCACCAAACCGGAAGCTGTCCCGGCGCCGTGTGACGAGTAGTCTGACGCGGGGGGTTTTGCAACTTGCCTAGTCTAGAAACGTTGGTTCAAAGAGCGTCGTTGCGATCTATCGGTGGCGCCATCTAGCAGCGTTGAGGTCAACCAGGCCAGTACAGTACAATTAGTGACAGTAGCCAAGAGTACTTGAAGCAGGGTTTAATAGTTGTCGAGAGGAGGAGTTATGCCTGGAAAGTTGAGCTAGACCTTCGCCATTTTACTAGAGGTTGGATAAGATATCAGCTTGCACCAAAGAAAAAGTACTGTTTCTCTCACACGCCCTATTAGTTTAGGATGACTATTTACTCCAAACAGACAATGGTCAACATGTCTCTTTGTGTTACTGGCTTCCTTAATAAGGAGCCTCAAAATCCTGGCAAATTTTACAAGGTCACGTTATAAATACTCCTCCAGATATGTTACTTTTATGGGAATAGCAACCTCTTGAATTATAACTAGCCTATCATTTATGTTAGCAGAAGAGCACTTCATCGTCATTTGGGCATCACCTGCATTTTCGGAGTAGAGGCAAATGCTAGCTTCACATGTGTTACTGAGAGGTTTCTAGAGCGTCCACTTCACAATTTTTTTTTAAACCTCCTTGTTCTATCCTACTTCTACACTTGTGTAAATTATTTGCAGCACTATATTTGAGCTTATTGCCTTCTCAATTATTTTTTTTCAAGAACAGCCATCAAACGCCAACAATACTCTCTTAGTCAAGTTGTGTTGATTGCTACAATCATCTGGCTACTTGGAATGACCTAAAAGTTGTGAAAACTGGAACTCTTGGCTCCCCAAAACTTTGTCACTTGCGCAAAAAGCCCACAAATGTGAATTAGTTTGCTTGTTGGTTTCGTTGTCACATAAGTAGGGCTCTGCATTTTTGGAGTTACTTTTTAAATATAAGGGTGTTCTGTGGAGTTTATATTTTTGATGGAAGTTCTGCATTTATCAAAAGTGAATTTTTGGTGAATCTTTAGTTCTCTGAAATTCAGAGAACTCCAGAGTTTAATTTCGCGTTATTCTCGATACTCCGATATTATAGATGAAATGATATGAGAACTCGTAAACAACAGAACACCCAAAGCACATTTTATTTGTTTAGAAGGCTTGAAATGTTGCCCTGCTTGAGAAACAAAGCTGGCCTTTCTTGAGGGCAATATTTGTTTGGTCATTCTCGCATAAATTTTGTCTGCAGAAGGAAACAGTACGCAGCCCTGCATGGTGATCAGTGTTGAGTATGTACATTTGGCCAACATTGCATTTTGGCCCCATTCATGTTTTGCAATGCACACTTCCCTATCTTTTTCTTCCTCTGGGCATCTTGTGGCCATTTCGGTGGAGCAAAGTTTGATGAGAAAAGCACCAATACAGTGTTCTTGTAGGAGGACGTACCATATAATTTTTTAGACTGTGAACCAACTAGTCCAGCGAAGAGTTTTCCTCTAGCTGCTCTAGTCAAACATAACTGTTAGTGTTGCTATGGCAGTAGTTTTGCAAAGTGTTGCGAAAGTGAAACTGTTGTCAAAAGTAATCACTTGAAAATACATTCCTGGATGCACCGCAAGCATTGGTGTGAAATCTACTTCCTTGCCTGTGCTTGTTTGCTATGACTTGAGCAAGGTTACACCAACTTTGCTGTTTTACTGCACAGCAATATCTTGATTTGTGTGAGTTTGCACATTTTGGAAAGTACTTGAAAAGCACAAAAGCCACAGACAATGGAGACACATAAAACACCAGTGCTTTTGTATGTATCTCTTTCATTTTCATCATTCACACTTATCAAGTACCCGGTTCATGGAACACCTTTCTTCTTCATTGTGTTTGTGCAATCTAGTGTTTTGTGTGGTTGATGTTAGACGTGTCTTGTGCAGTATTCCCTTACCTGAGCGCTCTGAGCAACAACGCATCCAGCCCCGGCGGGAGCCCTCTGGGTCCCCTGGGAAGCTTCCGGGCTCCGCATACGTCGCCAAACATGGCCGCCATGCGCCAGTTCTGGCCCCCTACCCCTCCGCCCGATAGTGAGTGATGTACCTCGATTGACTTCGAATAAAGTTTTGCGATTCCTGTGTAGGATGCGGTCCAATAACGTCTTCTGCTACAGTACCGCATCAAAACTGACTTAAGGCATGCAGGGAAGCCAACGTAGTCTTGCACTTCACGCAGTTAATCTCCATGTACCTTGAAGTACTGAAGGAAATACAAAATATAGATATATTTCTTTTTAAATAACTCTGAAGGTGAAGGGCTGAGATTTTGATCGTGTGGGTTAACCCATTAGCTTTTCAGATGTGTTTGCTGTCAAACCCCTTATACAGAAGCGACCAATGCGAACACTGCACTTGCTTATTGGTACTTTCCATGTTTTGCGGATGCAGTGTCAACTTCTCCTGGCTACAGTCGCTATGGGGGGAGCTACTACTCTCTGTTCCCACCTCTGAGCTCCCCACCCGACCCCTTTGGGCCCCCTGGAAGCTTGTTTCCTCGCTTGGCACACTCTGCTTCCCACTACCCTTCACTTCTGGACAGAGGTGAGCTCTTGTTTTTCTCTGGCCAAGTCTGACATTGGCATCATTCATGTGCCGTTGTTTCCCAATGGGCTCGGTCACTCAGTTTAGAAATCAACTGAGTATCTGTATTTTGTGTTTCAACAGTAAGAGAAGGCATCACAGCCAGATTTCATGCCGCCACCACTCGGTGGCGGCTTTCTTGGTTAATGCTTCTTCAAAGGGCCCGTAGACCACCTCCAATATTTTTTCAAGCATTCCAAGTAAATGCGCGCATCGTGTGCAGAATGCCGTCGCGATCAACGATTCTGCACGTGACACTGCACGAGCCGCTGGCGCACCACAAATTCCAAGAAGCAATCTCTCCTCTCCTTTCCGAGCCTTTTGAGCCCCCGTGTGACACGCCGTGCCTTATCTTTGGCGCGCTGAACCAAATATGCCAAAGGTGCTGTCTGTCCGCGCTGCTTGTTGTTGTTCGTCGTGTTGCCTGCGTGAGTGTAATACGCGGAGGGCACGGGGTGTCCTCGTGAAAGTCCATCGCGTTGGCAATCTTTTGAAGGCATGTGCGCAGTGCATGTTCCATACCGGCGCGATTACGACAGCCACGGTTCGCCAACAAGCACGCAACTGACGGAGTTGACGGTTGGAGTCGTGGCAACCGGACGTAGATGGTGTTTCAAGCAGCACGTCAGCGATGACGTATGTCCACTGGAGATCGGGAGGGACGCTCAGTGAGAGGACAAAGTGGCGTGGGAAAGGATACCAGCAGTGGGAAGCGCAGGAGAGTGCGAAAGACGTGGCCGTCGCGGTTTTGATAATCAGATTCGTCTAACTCCGCTATTACTGCACTGTTTGGAAAAATTCACGGCTCCGTGTTCATCGTACACTCGTGCACAATTTCCCCACAACAAATGAATTTCGACCTCTGGGTGGTTTACGGGCCCTTTAATAGCCAAGTCATGTTGGAGCCCAGAAGAACACCGAGTCTTGGTTTGCTGCCGGCTAACACTGCAAGGCGTGGCAGGGGAGCGTCACAGAGCAACAGGAGCGTGACATAAGGAACAGGAGAGTTGCTGCAGTCAATAGTTGACTAAGCAACAGCTACATCAGCAGCGGTTATGAATTCTGCCGACTCAAAAGGATGAAAGACCTTACTGGACACTGTAGATTAAACCATTAAAGTTGGCCTAAAAGGGGCTAAGCTCCTTACGCCATGGCTCAGTCCCTCCTCCGTAGTAGCTACCCCTTAATTCTCACAATGTTCAACTAGATGGCACTGAACTGTAGCAGTACGGGAAGTGATCACTAGATGGCGTGAGCACGTGTTGCGTGTGGTTTAGTTTGATAGGATGGCAGGCAGACAGACACATAGATGGACAGACAGATGAACAGACGGCTGAGCTGAGAGCCAGCAAAGCTTCGCCCCACTCATCATCATTCACTTCCTGGTTAGGCTGTGAATTTTTAGTGCAGGGATTCCTACTTGAAGAATGAAAGGGAACTATGATCACTGAGCAGTTTCAAGGTATTCTGATTGCATGCTCGGGGATCTCCTTAATCGTGTACCTAAGCTGTCTTAATATCGACGGATAATTCTCTCTTGCATTTATGAGTTTTAAACTCTGATATCCACGCACTGTAACATTCACTAGTACATTCAGTTGGGCTAATGGTCAACATTTCAGATGGCGGATTTCTCTCGCAAAGCCTGGGCTCGCCCTTGTCGCACTACGCTTCGGCACTGTCACCTCTTGCCAGCTCTTCGCTGCTGTCACCACCCACATCGACTTCGACGGGCACGGATCTGAGCCACCCCGGAAAGGTGCTTGACGAGCCAATCACACCCACAACACACAGCCATGCTGACAGTCTGCTGACCACCGTAGCACCGCTCAACTCATCCACGCAGAGGTATAATGGTCACTTAGTTTTGCATAATCAGCTCCTGTAAGGACTAGTCTCATAAATAAGCATTGTACTTTGCAGTGTCCGACCATTGAGCAAGCCTCCAAACGCACACACGAAGGACCGCTGCTCAGAGAAGTCTCGCTCGAAAAAGTCGTCCCAGAAAAGCACGAACAAAAGTGGCCCCACCGACCTGTCGATGGGTGCCACTCAAGCGACCGCTGGCCGAACAAAGACTGTTGAGAAGTGCTCGCACTGCACCTGCAAGCAGCCACCGCAGAACTGTGGCACTGTGACCAGTGCATCGTGGTCTGAGGACTTGTCGAACAATGGTGGCACTGCCGCCACAGTCGGGGTGGCCAGCTCACCGCCGACAGAGCCTTCGACAACTGTGGGCATGTCGTTGCATTGCATTCCGTCTGATCAGGTGACGTCAACTGGTGAGTGCTGACCATTTGTGCTGAACAAGGTGCACGGTTTAACATGTTGCAAGTCAACATTGCTTCATTCCAAAGGCAATGAAATGTAATTTAATAAGTGTAATTTTTTGTTATGTGCAGTAACAATCAGCTCTCAGTACTTGTTCAAGGTATTGAAAAATGTGTGTACACTAGCATATGTAAAATGTATGCACATCACTTTCTTGCAACAGACTACTAAAAGACGCAGCTTCCTCATAATGAAACCGTGATAATCATTCCGTTTTTTTTTTTTTCTATTCAGCTGGATGTACAGTACTCATGAATAGCAACTCGACATAAAAAATTTATGTATATACGGCTCGCACGCGCAATTCCTCAATACAAGCATGTCATATCGCTGCAAATCTGGCCGCTAAAGCGGCCAACTCTGCTGCAAGCGTTAGAGTTGAAATTACACCAATATGACACGAAAATAAGATGGTAACAAAATTTGTGCATTTCTTAGTCATAAATTGTGGCATTTCATTTTGTGAGTACCGGTATTCTACCGGAGTAGCATATGTGATTCAAGTAATGTTATCCTGCTCACATGAAAACCAATGGTAGCATTATCATTGCATCGGCATTCTGTTTAGATCATTAACTTTATGACTGGATAAACATTTAAAAACTCAGTTAAGAACTTAGTCACTAGACTTATGGATAAAAAGACATGTTGGAGTTGAGTGCTTGATGATGCAAAAGTGTAAATTACCACGATAGACAGGAGAACAGCCATTGATACACAAACTGCAGAAACTTTAATGCTTTGACAAATGCTGATTTCGAGATCTGTATGCTCGAATTTATCTTCTTTTATGAATTGTGGTTTCACGCTATTGTCGGCAAGTATGCTTTAAAAACTTCGCCAAGCTTCAAAATTAGAGTGGGACTGTTTAAAACGACAGGTCGCAAGTTCTTATGTTTGTACATACACCTGGGAAGGTTGAGGTACAACACCAAGTCCGAACTTTAATTGAAACATCACTTTATATGCATTCATTCATTGTATTTCCTTCTAGGTGTTCATTGCATTGAAAGGAACATTTGCAGTATATCAAAGAATAGCTGAAGGGCATGTTCATATTGTTATGGTGAGAATGGAGAATATATTTATAGAGTGTTTATGGTAACTGCACTGGACTGACTAAATGGCGGTTAGCTTGCGAAAGTCTGAAAGTGTTGTCTGCTTTCCGGCGATCTTCATTGCATCGCTCTCGCATGATTCCCTGGCAGCTGAAGCGGCAACCCTATGCATTGAAATACGAAGTCGCATGCGCGATATTGTGTTGTGTGCTTTATTCAAGCATACAACCTGCCAACTCGTCTAGCTTGCTGTTTTAATAAAATAAACTGCTCTCTTTTGTTTCATAAATGCAGTTCCATCCCCATCGGCGCATCCGCCACCCCTGTTGTCACCAACGGGGCCTGCCGTTGTCAGCTCGTCGACTCCAGATGTCAGTCTCACACCACCAACTCCCGAGGCGGCTGCAGACTCCCCTGTTTCCAACACACCCCCGTTGCATTCTCCTCCACAGTCCTCTCTTCTTCGCAACCTTTCTCCCATGCCCAAAGCCATGCCAGAGTTGTCTACAAGCTCTCAAAAGGACACCAGTGTTTTCGTGGGAGGAGATTGCAGCTCAACGACAGGACGAGTGCCGTGCCATCGCTGCCGTGGCTCCCGTGATGCCCGTCAGTTGTGTGACACCTGTGAGTTCGGTGGCCCCCGTCGTGAGTGTCGTCACGCCTGTGAATACTGTCTCCCCAGTCAAAGCTGTCATTTCCCCCGTCAGCACCGTCGCACCTGTCAATACCGTCACACCTGTTGTCAGTACCGTCACACCCATCAATAACGTCACACCCATCCCTACCGCCGCTACAGGCCGCCGTTACCACTGCGGCAGTCAGTTGCACGTCCACCTCAGCCAGTGCCTCTGTCACATCTACCCCAGTCAATCACGTCATGCCCATGGCGCCCGTCAACCCCGTGGCTGCTGTTGTCCCACGATTACCGTCACCAAAGGAAGAAAAAGAAGAGATGCGACCGGAGTGTCGCTATACCATGGCAGTCACCAAGCGGGAGCCAGCGGATCTGGAGCAACGCGCTACAGGCCCCGCGCTTGTGCCTCTGGGCAAGAATGCAGTCATGCTTTCGGTGCAGCAGACAAAGGTTGTCTCGCAGACCAGGCTCCGCGGTGGCAGCAAGAGCAGTGGGCTTGCTGTGGGTGTGGCCAAGGCCTCTGCCAAGACCACATCGGTTTTCTCCACACCTCTCGGCTCGGGCACAGGTTCGCCCAAGGTGCAAGAAGTGGCTCCGGTCAATCTCAAGGTAAGGCAAGGAATTACCGTGGTGGCCTTTAGTACGAGGTAAAATTACGAGTTGCTCTTCAGTCTGACATGCACAAATACACTCAAACCTCGATTTAACCAGCTCCGACATAACGAAATATTAATTATAACGAAGTAAATGATGAATAGTTTTGCAATAGATATAGTGTTAGGAATAAAGCTCTATAATGGAATTTCTCGGATGTAACGAACTTATTTTCGTGCAAGATGCAACTTTGTCATAATGAGGTTTGAGTGTAACAAGGTTCAGCTATCATGAGCAAATGACAGTGCACGCTTTTCTGTCATTTGCCAGCTTTGTGTTTTACTGTAATTGCCCGTTAAGATTTCCTAAGATGTTTAGAATGTAGTTCAACTCAACTGTACACATTTGTTAACTGTAAAATACATAGTGGTGCATTGGTTAACGTGGTGTCAGTGCAGTTATGCGCGTTTGCACATTATGGCATGGCATCTGCCAATATAGGTCGGCCGCAGTCGGCCATGGTCATCTTCCATGTTTACTAACAAAGCCTTTGCAGGGAATGCTTTCTCAAGAACAAAAGGCCGAACATTAACAGTCAAGTTGTGATTACTAGTGTATTAGAGGGTGATCCCAATAACAGATACACACGGTCCTCATTGTAACCAAGTTCCATCTTACACAAAGATACACAAAAATAAGTTCGTTATATCCCAAATTTGTTATAAAGGTATATTTCTAACACTGTATCTCTTGCAAAACTATTTTCTTTTACTTCGTTGTAACCGATAAGTCATTATAGCCATGTTAATTATATTGAGGTTAGTGTATTTTTATAGAATGACATATAAAATGTCACATTGCTTGTACTGATCTTCAGTGGCGGTCGTGACACATTTTTTTTTTTTTAAGTGTTGAAAGGAGGAGGAAGTGGTTGACGGGTGTTCATCAGTCAAGCAAGGGTGTGCAGCCTGAAGTTCTGTGCTGTAGTTCAATAGGGGGTGAACATCCGAATGTTTCGGTCATCCTCACAATACTATGTCCTAGCTGCACGGATCTTTTCCCACTTTTTTATAATGCCCAGACTGCACTTCATGGATTGTCAGCGCCGATAGTACTCCCCAAGCCATCGCTTTATGTTTGTCTGGCTGTCCTAGAATCATTCTGCCCTCCACAATCTTTCCACGGAGCACTGCTTTGCTGTCTTGACACTTTTGTGGGCCAATAGTGGCGGAGTCATCGACGCCGTCTCCCTCGATCAGATTTCCAAGTCGTGCGAGGCTGTCCTCCAGAAGCCCGACGGCGCCACCTCCACGGGAATCCCGACCTGCGTGGCAGTGGCAACGCGACGGCCGCAGGAGGCTGGTGGCAGCAAGATTGTGGTGGAGGAGAAGTGCGACACCACGGTGTCAGTGGTTCCTGCTCTGAGTGTGCTCAATGCCTCCAGCCAGCCGATCCCTGTGGGCATCGCTGTGGCACAGCAGCGCCAAGATCACACCATCACATGCAGTGAGTGGGCACTTCTGCTGTTGACCAACTTTTCACAGCGAGTTTCGCTGCTTCCCCGCTGCTGCACAGCATGCTGTTTTTACCAGTTCTGATTGGCCTTTAAGAGACAGCAAAAACTGAGAGCAAATTTTATTGGGATAATGAGGAAATATGGCTCTTTTTCTTATGTTTTAAAAAGTTTAGATTGATACAGCACATTTTGCAAACTTTATTGTAGTTAATTACATGATGGTAAGGTCAATACTAAAAGTGAAAAAGGGGATAGTCAAGTTTTAGAAATCTTGTGCACTGACTTTACTGTTGCTATGTCAGTGCAACCTTGCGGACTTAACAGTATTTTCCCATATTTAGGCCACTTACTTGACTCACTTGAATTTTTCCTAAACGACACCATGTTCATTCTGAGCCCCCTTGATAACTGTGGGTATTTACTAACTAATAATTAGCAGGGCCACAGTAGGCATCCCTGACATTGTTTGAAGAACTTTCATTTCTGTCGAACCTGCACATGCTTTCGCAAATCAATCAATCGATCAGTTTTTGTCAGCAATACAGTAAGAGTGATATTGTGGAGGAGTATTGAGAAGGAAGTGTCTAAGTTTACAAGCCACTAATGGTGCTTCCTATTTTTTCAGCATACTGAGAAAATGTGATAGTGAACAGCATCTTGGTGGACAGAGCCAGCGTCAATAATTACAGTGGCTAGCCTAGATATCACCGTGAAACATTTAAAACAAATTTGCTGCATCTTGTTCAATAACACGTCACCTATTTCCTCGCCTAGTATGCATGTATGAAGTTTCTGTGCTTGTTGCAGGCAAGACAAGCTTGTCGTCAAGTGCAGCAGAGCAGAGTCATATAACAGCAGTCAGCTGCTCTACGGTCATCTTGGCGGCAGGCGGTTCAGACAGAGGACCACGTCTCTGGTGAGGACCACTCGCTTACTCCACTCTATACATCAGTTAACGCTTCATTAGACGAACTAAGCGAGTGCACAAATTTCGAACCCTCAGTACTGTGGACTACACGATGTTCTGAGTAGCATGATGAGCAAATTTATTTACTTTTATCGAAGATGATCTGAGGAAGTTTCTTGTTCGAGTCCTCTCAGTGCACATATAATGCCTAGGACCATCGCACCATTTTCCACTACTATACTATGAGGAAACCCGAGTCTAAACCTTGTAGAGAAGCGAGGTTTTAAGTATTAAACATTCGTTTTATCCTCCAGTAAAAGATATATTGTATTTGTATACTTCACATCTTCTGCTGCCAGATTACATAAAATAAAAAAAAGAATTTTGAGTCTAGGAATGTCTTTTTCAAAAATAATTTGCCAGGAAAAGGGTTAAAGGCATTCTCCCACTTGTTTTAAGTTGGCAAGCGGCAAGCCTTCGTTTTCAGAGGCAGAACGAACAGAAAAGTGTCTCGTTTGTAGGTACTCTCATTACGAAACAGTCGTAAAGATCAGCATGAGGTGCTTCAGTGACAGCTTCGAATTTACAGCTCCTGCTTTCACCGAGCACGGCTTGACACCACCATTTTTTATTGCATTACAACATAGTATGCTCAAGCTGAGGACACAGTAAGTTGGGTTTTTTCTAGGCTTGTGCGAATAGTGAATTTTAGGCTCAAAGCAAATTCGAAGCGAATAGTGATTTTGATGGAATAATTTAAAATCCAATTTGAATGGTATGTTGTTTATCATGGCCCAACTAACCTGCACAATATTTCTTTTGAATTGAAATAGGGGCTTTATGCAAATGCCACTTTTTTTTTTTGTTCAAAGGAAGTCGAAACAACCTTCAGTAGTAGTTTCGGTAGGATGCGAGTGATAACCTGTAAGATACTTAACATCTTAAAATTTATTATACTTGGATTATATAAGCCGTCATAACAAGCTTAATAAAATGAAGGATTGATTTGAGGGTAACATGTTCCTTTAAAGGGGCCCTGCAACACTTTTCCAAGTAGCCATGGAGCCAGTAAACATGCTTATTCCTCACAAATTTATGGCCACAAAGTTTCTAGAATTAGTCCAGTATGAGCGGAGTTCCAAAATTTTGTCGCAAGCTGCAATTCTGCAAGCTGCAACGCTTCTCGTCATGACGAAATAGCTGGAAGTTAAGCAGAGAGGAATGTCACGGCGAAAGAAAATACGTCACCCACACCTCGTGACCATGAGCACCTCTTTTTTTTTTCTTCGAATACGTGGTTTTTTCAGGGTGATCGTGCACATACTCGTGAACAAGCGGTGGCCTCCCGTGATGGCCCCGGTAATGACGAGTACGTCATGCTCAAATCAGTCAATGGCTGTGACAAGTAATTTTTGAGCTAACGTAACGTGACAAGTAATTTTTGAGCTTGTATGTCATTTGCCGAGGGAAGAAAGCAATTTTCAGCCTTGAAAATTTATTGTGAATTACAGGGCGCATGCTGCGCTATAACATTTGCCTCGCGTATTCTTGGTAGCCTCGACTGCCGATCGGCAGCGTTTTCTGACCATGTTCAGTAAGTGTTGCTGAGCCCCGCGAATTTTCTTTGGATAGGTTCTTTCATGGCCTAGCATTTCTACATTGCAGTGAAACTACCTTTATAGGGGGTGACATGCGGACTAACATACATCTATTTGTTCATTGCGAATAAAAATACTTCAAAAATATGCGATAATTTAAATTCGAATGCTTCGAATATTCGGATACTCAACTATTTGCTCGAATATTTGAAGCATTCGAATGTTCGCAAGGAAATCATGGTGCAGCGAAAGTAGAGAGAAGCGCAAGCATTCGAACACGTGCAGGATCAGCGCAAATGTACGTAGTAGACAAATACACAACACTGACAGTGGTAACAAAGTCTCAAAGTGAAATCACCGACCAAAAATAATAAATATGCGTGCATTGGCGAAAAGAATCTACCTGTCATCGCCATGGAACTGGCAGGAATCGAAGCCTTTGCCAGTATGACAGTTCCTGTGGCATCATACAGCAGCACAGCGGCTATACTTACAGCACCGGAAGTGAGTTACAGAAACGAATAAAAAATTAATGCTTAAAAGAAAGCGCAATGCTTAGGAACACGCCAATCATCGGATGAAAACCAACTGTGCATAAGCGCGTCAGCTGTCCCCTTCAGCGGATGATCATGTTTTCCGCTTCGTCACCATCACCGATAAGAGAATCTATAGTAGAACCCACATGGCACCGCGATTGCTAAACAAATTTAGTGCTCAGAAGTACTACGCACAATGCGGAATGCAAATGTTTCGCTTCAATTGCGTAGAGAGCACTTTTTTAAAAAAAATGGTGGCTGTCTTCGTTTTAAATTTTGAGCTTACCATGGTGGCCCTAGCGGATTTTTTGGCATCCCCAAGGCCGATTTGAACGGAGCCACTATGGTTCTTCTTTAGCTGGCGATTTTTTTGCCCCCGTTTGGCGATGCGTGGGACTCGAGACTTTCCGTGGCCTGGTGACACGTCGCTGAGGAAAACGGACCCTCGTGACTATGCTGCACGCTCTCGCGATCAGTGACAACAAGGCCCGATTGTTCGAGAGAGGGCAAATTCCGCTCCGCCTTGGCTTCAAGAGGTATAGGCTGTTGTAGTAAGACCACGCGGGAACACACTGCACCGCTCTTCGGCCTAGCATTCCGAAGGGGCAACGACAGGAAAGGATTCATCGCGGGGGCAAGGCACCGTTGTTGAGTACGAGTGAGCTCCAAGAACAAAGGGAGCCGACGGATGGAAAGAAAACGTGTGCACACCCTTCGATGTCCAGAGAAGATCTGACTGACTCTCGACGCGTGCACACAATACATCCTGGGAGATTTGAGCGCAGCGCCGCAGTCGACATCCGCTACCGGGTGAGGGGGGTTAAGTCACTTTGCTCCCTCAGCATTGACTGGATCGCGGAGGAGGGGAGAGTCATGTTAGGACATGAGAACGGCAGAAATAGGTGACAAAGCCCACTCAGTGGTCACAGGTTAGGTTCTGTTCCCACAGCCGACTCCGCAATTCTGGTGCGCACAAAAATTTTGCGTTACTTCACTCCATGTAATACTTGTTGATTTACTTGGGAATCATGCATGACTGGGTGTAATCTTGCATTTTTGCCAACATGTAACGGGGTCAGGACCTCTCATCAACCTGCTCGAGCTTTTAGCCTCGTGCTCTTCTTATCTAAAGAAAATAAAATTGATTGATTGATGTTTGACAGTGAGTCGAGGCAAGGACCAGCTGCCCACCAAGGAATGGCCGAGACAACAACGACGTGCCTCGTCACTGCTGGTAAGCGTCCGACATGGTGTTGATGAGTAACTGTAGATTATTATTGAGTTTTTTTTTTCTTGCAGCACAGTTATGTTGATGGTTTTACAAAGTCTGATGAGGGTGACAATAAGAAGGAAGGAAGTTGTTTTAGGGGAGGCAGAAATCTCTGAGCTAGCTTTCTCGGGCCTACTCCTCCACCCAAGAAAAGAAGAGTTTCAGGAGCAAAAGAACTTCTTTTTAAATGCGTGCAGCGCATTCTCACCAGCAGTAATAGTGCTAAAGTACGAAGCTGTTCATGATTTAGTTTCTTTAAGATGCTTATCTTCTTAGATAGGTTTATCACGGAGCAGTGCCACAGTGCGTTTGTTGGCATCGCCATCATGCCCTTGTGTTTCTCCGTTTAGGCATCACAGCACTCATGCTTAAGTCGTAACCACTGGTGAACCACTGACGCACATGCCGTAAAGATGCAAAATCGGAAGTTCCTTTCAGTAATACATATCAATGTAATATTTATGACGATCAAATATTAAACTCACTTTCAATATTTAAAACATTTTGAATGCACAGTTTTCGAATTGGACAGGAATATTACAAATGCATATATAGGATTCGACTGATATTGGAAGCTTTTGAATAATCACACTGCTCTGCTTGTTTGGGGATTGATTTGTGAGAATCAAGTGCCCCGTCGCGGTGGTCTAGTGGCTAAGGCACTCGGCTGCTGACCCGCAGGTCGCGGGTTCAAATCCCGGCTGCGGCGGCTGCATTTCCGATGGAGGCGGAAATGTCGTAGGCCCGTGTGCTCAGATTTGGGTGTACGTTAAAGAACCCCAGGTGGTCAAAATTTCCGGAGCCCTCCACTACGGCGTCTCTCATAATCATATGGTGGTTTTGGGACGTTAAACCCCGCAAATTAATCGTGAGAATCAACATTTCTTCTTCTTCACATGTAGGCCCTGTACCAGCGCACACCACGTGGGACTCCCATTCTGATGCTCTGGCAATTCGGCCTGCCGCGGCTGCACTGCCGTGGTTGACGACGCCAGCGCCACCTGTGGTGACCACGCCTACCATCTGGCTCCCGCAAGAGGCCACTCCACCACCACTTGCGTCACCTGGTGGCTTTCAACTGGCACGGGACACCCTCACCGGTCAGTTGTACCTTGTTCCTGCAGCACCAACAAGCTGGACACTCTCCGGTGCTGCCACCGCAAGCCCCGTGCAGCAAATCCTGACCACTCAGCAGCACACAACGTTCCAGCAGATCATGCCAGACCAGTGGAGAAGCGAGCTGAAACCCACTGCAACGGTACGTGCAGTAATTTGACATTGCCTGTATAGGATTCATATTTACTCAGACAGTTTGTAGGGTATTAACTTTTTTTGTGAACTTTGCCAATTGGATAGACACGACCTAACAAAATCAGCGGGCAGTGAAGCTAGAAAAGGTACACTCAGACCTCATTATAACGAAGTCACATCTGCTGGGAAAATACTTTGTCATGTCTGAAAATTCATTATTAATGTGTATACATAATGCTGTATCTTTAACAAAGCTATCTTCACTTCATTATTACCAATAATTAGTTGCATTCAAATTCGTTAATTCAAAGTTTGAGTGTATGTGGACATCACATGTCTGTTGTACAGTTTTATAGTAATCGCGGCATAAACGGAAATGAACTGAAGACGAGAAACCAACCTAACCCTGGTAGGGGCTCAATCTGCAACCTTTAGACAACGCATTCTATGCTTTAACTGAGCTACAGCAGTGGTCACTGCTTTAGCTCAATGGGCAGACCATTTATCCCACTTTTGCCGTTTTGAATGTTTGATGACTGCATCTGTGTGCAGCATGGCGAAATAACACTGTTCTTGTCGCGAACAATTGAAATGGTTAAAGAGCACTGCTTGCCAATGTGTTGCTATATTCAATAAATAATCTTTAGTATAACATACTGACGAAAGAATGTTGCAGGCTATTGTTCAAGCATTAATTATTTCCCGCCTTGGCCCTGCATTCACCTGACACACATGGGCTTACTGTGCTGGCCCACTGCCATTTGCACATGTTGCACATGTGTGAGGGTTCACAGACTTGTGAATGAGGTTAGTTACATTTGTGGGTGCGTCCTGATTCCACAATGTAAACAACGGGCACGAGTAGTTACGAGACACTCGTGTGCAATCGTATTACAGCGAAAGCTGTTGTGAGATCACAGCGCGGGCCATGCGTGCTGCGTAGTTGTCTGCCCCATAGTGGGCTCAAACACGAGTCCACTGCATGCCAGCCCAGTATTTTACCGCAGAGCCACACCGGTGCTTGGGACTCGTTCGCGAACCTGCCTTAGGCAGGCTTGATGTCTCGAAAAGAATTGTGTTAATATGAGTAATTAAAGGGTTATAGAACAGCACAGGAAGAACAGGCGTCATGCAATGTGAATTGCATAACGTATGGGTCGTCCAATGCTCCAACCTATTGCAAAAGCTTGTTCTTCATCACCTGTTGACTGTGGCACATACCCACTTCAGGCGTACTTCTTAATCACTGTCAGCCACTGAATGCAACACAAAATTCGCACAAAATTCATTGCAAGTGTTTAGCAGATACCATACTTCTTCGAGGAATGATGAAGAATGGCATAGTGAATGCCAGCCTATTACACAATAAATAATGGCATAGTGAATATCCTGCAAGTGTGCTTGCAGCAGCTACCCAAAGAGTGTTTAAAAAACGCCAGGCCTGCGCATAAGGCGCAGCAGAGTCACAGCGAAAGCTAGAAGGGCAGCTTTTCAGAGAGTATTGTAAACAGTCATTGGGTAACTACTGCAAGCACACTTGCTTGACACCCTTTACGGTATTATTATTAAAACTTTTTGGTAGTAGGCTGGCATTCCCTTTGCTATTTTTCGTCATTTTTCTGAGAAGTGTGGTATCCGCTAAACAATAGCAAGGAATATTGTGCCAATTGTTCATGCTGTGGTTGACGGCAATGAGGAATTGAGTCTGAAGTGGGTATGCACCACAATTATTAGGTGAATAAGAACAAGCTCTTGTAGTTGGTTGGAGCACTGGACAACCCACTTGTTACGCTATTCGCATTGTGCAACGACTGGTTGTTTTTTCGCTGTTTTAAAATGCTTTGTAAGTCGTATTAACGCGATTGCTTTCCCGACATCATGCCTGCCTAAGGCAAGTTTGCCAACAAGTCCCAAGCACCGGCGTGGCTCAGCAGTAGAATACTGGGCACCCAGCGGACCCGGGTTCGAGCGCCACTGATGTCATTGGCGCTAGGTTTTTTTTTTTGTCTTCTAATTTAATGCGATGTGGTTACGGACATTGACGGTGGCAGCGGCGGACAACTACGGTGGCGCGTGACCTCGTGCTGTGATCTCATCATAGCTTTCTCTCTAAAAAGGCTCTTAAAGGCCGCTCTTTTAGCTTTCGCTGTGACTGTGCTGCACATTCTGTGCAGGTCTGGTGGTTTTTTTCTTCCGACACTTTTGTATTGTGCAATCTGGGTCGGGAACTTTTCATAACTGCCCTGCTACCACTTGTCACTGCCCTGTTGTTTCAGGTTTTTGAGGCAGTGCCCCCAAAGCTGGAGATTCTGGAGGCGGCAAAGGACCTGTCGACAGGAGCGGCATTTACATACTCCACAATGCCGACTGCGGTGGCGACTCCGCCGGCCCCCTCTGTGGTGTCCTACCTGTACGACCCGTCTGCAGTGGTGCAGCAGCTGACTCAAGTGGCTGGCACCACGTCCATGGTGGCCACCTTGGCCTCTGGAAAGGTCTCCCAGGTGAGCCCTGACCACGTGAATCCTTCAGGCAATGCATATATAGAGAACTTGTGAATTATGGAAGCTACGTTATTTATATTTGTTCAAAAATATATTCAAGTAGCTTCATTGGCCTAACGTTGCAAAGGCTGGTTGAAACAGTCGAGCAGGTTGCATCACATTGTTTGGCATGTTCTGAATCGGTACGAACGAGGCGATGCAAGTCATACCTTCCAGAACAAGTGCGAGCTGTGGAGAGGAAGAGAGAACGGGAGCACCAATCGGGGAGCGCTCCTCCGCTCTTCTTTCCACAACACTTGCTTCGCTCCCACAATATCTTTGTCTAAGCTGTCCTCTCTAGTCAGCTTCACCTTCCACAGATCACTACATTTTCTTTACCAGGCTCATATTATTATGACAGGCATCACTCTCGCAGCTGGTCTAAAGAGTGTAGACTACGAAACCCTGGAATTTGCCTTTGTTATAAACAGCTCAGCTGTTATATGTGCTTGAACTGTAGGCTACATATGCAAACTAGCTGGGCCAGGAATCCTCCCCCAACATTCGGGGGTTATTGATTTATGTGTGCACGCATCTTGTTGTTCACCTGCCTTGCTGTCTCATCCTCTGCGCGATTTCCTTCTCTTAGCTAGCTTCCAACAGAGTGGGCACACTGATGTCTTGCAGGGCACGTCTCCCCTGGTGACGACCAGCAGCCCCTCGTTGCCACCCCAACCCTTGGTTGAGCAGGGAGTGCAAGCGTCATGTGACACGGACAATGCAACCGAGGAGAGTGACGACGACACACTGCGACCAACACCAGCCCTGCCTTGTGTCAAGCCAGGGTCCGCGGTGACTTCGGTCACAACAGCAATCCAGGTATGTCATTTATGTAAGGTTTACGGAGGATAGCGGAAAGCGATGGAGTACTTACCACAAGTTTTATTAGCATTCAGACCAGGAATGCTTTGATTTAAAGGCTAGCTCTGGTTGGCTGATATGTTACAGTACGTGTTCATTGTGAGCTAGAGGCGTGGGGCACTATATGTGGCTTAATACAGATACCTACTTGTACATGTTATAAACGAATATATTAACTGTGAATGGACAGCTGCAATGTTATCACTAGGAGGTTAGAAGTTGAGTAGAAGGTTGAACGCCCCAAAGTAAGTTAATTGAAGCCTGTCACACATTCCTTTGTAGAAATATCTTGTATGAGAGGCCTTGTTGCTGGTCTGTGGGGCTACTTGCATGACCTTAAGTTTTCAGCCTGCTGCTTTAAGGTATACATCTTCCCCCAACTTCTGTTCACTATCTGTTAGCCAATCTGTAGTTAGAATACGCTTCAAGTATTCCCAACTGCAAATCAAGGTCAGCCATTATCAGGCCTGTTTGTAATATGATGTCTTGTTGGTCAAAGAAGTTTCAGCCTCGGATACTGACTGTACGTGCAGTGCTCTGCTTTTCTCCTCTCTTTCTCTTTTTAATTACCATTTCACTGTATCCAGTGCCGAGTACCAAACTGGGTGCTCACCTGGTTAACCTCCCTGCTTTTCTTTTTCTTGTTTTTTTTCTCTCTCTCTCTCTCTCTCTTGTAATCTTCATGGGTCGCCTTGATTAGGATGTTTCAAGTCAGGAAATTTCTTTCTGTTTTCAGGTGGACATGGACTGCCAAACGACTTCGGATGACAATGAGCCAGATGAACCGATGTCTGTTGCCGTGCAGACGACAGACTCTGCCAACCAGACAGACGACTTGCCACAACAGACGACGCAGCCACATGTAGAGCCGGAGGAGCATGACCCTGGCATTCGCACACCGCTGTTTACGCCTCCGCGAGCAAAGGTTCAGGACATGTCTGACAGCGAGATAGACGACTCCATACCAGTGCTTCTCACTCAAACTTCGGGTGTTCAGGAGTTCATCGACCACCACGGATTGGATCTGTTGGTCGACAGCATCGAAGAGTTTGCGGCCAACCAAGAGGCTGCGGCAGAAAGCATGCCACGGTTAGAGAAGTCCGAGACTTCTCGGGATTCGGTTGGGGAGGCACTGGTGTTGCCAGAAAAGGGCAGTAGTCCACCGGCACTAACCGCTCAGTCGCCCTCTTCTCGTCCGGAGGAATGGTTTGCCCGTCGAAGCTTCAGCCCAGGCCCATCATCCAAAATGGCACCACAGAGTCCACCGTCTCCACCTCTGCTCGAGGCCAACCTCGACTCTCCGAACAATTCCAAGATCTCACTGTTTGACTCACTCAAGATTGTAACAGACTCAACTGATTCTTTTGAAGACAAAGACTGTTCAGTGGGAATGGCTCTTCAGCAATCTGCCTTTGCACCGTCGAAGACGGGTTGTGACTCGGAACGATCGTTTGCGGAGGCAAATACTTTCAGCACACTGGTGACTGAGAATGCAGCTTTCCCAACGAAACACGCAGCATCGCCTTGTAAAACAGACGTTACAAAGGACTTCTCTGGTGACGACCTGAGCTTTGTCTTTAAAGGTTCTCAACCAGCAGAGAATGGGTATAGCGGATTTGAAAGAAGCGCAAAAGATTTATCCCAGACAAAACCTCCATTCCAGTGGCACGATGTTTCAAATGAGTCGGTGCAGCCCAGAGTTGTGGCTGGTGATGTTAGTTTAGTTGCAGGTTCTGCCGCGGCAACGTTTGATGGGTCGTGTACGGATGGCCTTGGCCTTCTGTGTGCGCTTGCTGAACAGAGATTCTTGGAAGAGACAAGGAAGTCCTCCGAGGTCGCAGAGCTGCCGGTGGAAGATGAGAAGGCAGCGCCATGTTCCGTTACTACTGAAATGGCTCCCACGAATGAAAATGGCGGGAAGCCGTGTGAAGATGAAGGGAAGCTGTCGGCTGTCGAATCTCTGGAAAAGGCGGAACGAGAGATGCGCATCCAACTGGCTGAGCTACAGCGCAAGTATCGGGAAAAGCAGCGGGAACTGGCAAAGCTGCAGCCTCGGAAGGACAAGGAGTAAGTCGCCATACCCTCAAACCCTATTATAACAATGTTACATCATGCTCGAAAGTAGCTTTTTTTATATCCGAAAATTCGTTGTAAAGGTATAATATTTTTAACACTATATCTAACGCAAGACCACTCTTCAATTACTTTGTTATAACCTATATTTCGTTATATCTGGGTTTGTTACATTGAGGTTTGAGTGTATTTCTCAGTCTTCTAAGAATGCTAGGCTTGTGCGAATGTTCGAGCGGTTCAATATTCGAGCGGACATCACAGTATTTGTATTCGCTGCAATTCAAATATAAATTATAGAAAATTTTTAGGCTGGTGCGAATATTTGAATGAATAGTAGAGTACTTGAATTTGCTTAGATTTTAATTTAAATTATAGAAAATTTCGAAGTATTCCCAATTAACGCATAGGTATATATTAATCCACTTGTGACTGCTTGTAAAGGTGGTTTGACTGCAGTGTAGATGTGCTAAACCATGAAAGCAGCTATTCAGGAGAAATTTCTCTGCCACAAAGCTTTCTCTTAAATTCAAAGGGGCCGTGCACCCCTTTTTGGCCATTGTTTGAAAACAATGCCAATCAGTAGTCAAGGCTACAAGAACGAACGAGCCAAATACTGCAGTGCAGAACGTGGCCTGAAATTCACAATAAATTCTCAAGGTCACCTAAAAATTGCTGTCTTTTTTCCACAAATGACACCACAGGCTCAAAAATCACTCGTCGCAGCCATTGGCTTAATTAAGCATCGCATGCTCGGTAGTTTCTGGGGCTGCTGCGGGAGGCCGCCACTTGTCCCCGCATACATGCGCGATAGCACTGAAAAGCCACGTATTTGAAGAAAAAAAATAAAAAGTGCTCAGGGTCATGAAGCGCACTTGACATACTTATTTGCTGTGCCATCCCTCCCTGAACAGCTTCCAGGGCTTTCGTCAGGACAAGGAGAGAGAATGCACTTGCAGTGTGCGACAAGTCTTTGCAACTTCGTTCGTACTGGACGAATTCTAAAAATTTTTGTGGCGGTGAATTTATGAGGCAATAAGCTTCTTTATGGAATCCACTTCATGTCTACTTGAAAACGTGTTGCAGGGCCCCTCTGAATGAACATATCACCCTCATATAAATTCATCATTTTAGTAAGCTTAAAAGTTTCTGGTGGCTGACATGCTCCAACTAATAATAAATTTTAAAATGTTATGTATTTTATAGGTCATGCATCCTAGTGAAAGTCAAATCCTACTACTCCTAAAAGTTCTTCCGACTTCCTTTGAATGAAAAAAAAAATGGGGGCATTTACATAGTGGCCCTACTTTAATTTGAAAAAATATATATTGTGGTGGATAATCAAATCATGACAAATATGGGCATCTTGCTCTGTAACATGTGATGTATACTGTTCTAATTCAATCCGAAATTATTTAATCAATATCACTATTCGCTTCAAACCTAAAATCCTGAAATTCACTATTCGCACAAACCTAAAAATTTTGATGCATTAAAAATAAACAAATAAACCACAAGTGAGCTCCTGTAAAAGTAGTTTCACTTCAGTGGAAAAGTGCTGTGCCATGAGTACAATTGTCCAGAGGAAATCCACCCAGTACCGAAGCCCCACTTCAAGGTTAAATGGACATACATGCCGTATCACTCTCACATTGATTCATTATGTTTTTTCAAGTTTAAAAGATTGTTGTATTTGTTTCTATGCTCTAAATATATTATAACATAAATCTTACCATATTTTACAGGTTATAACTTGTATTCTACCGAACGCCAAATCTTTTTACAATTCAATGTTGCTTCCACTTTTATTTTTACCAAAAGATTGACATGTATACATGCCTTGTTTCAATTAATAAATGAATATATGTTGTGCAGGTTAGTTGGGCCATGACAATTATGCTAATTTTTTTTTTTATAATATGTGATTACATTTAGAATTCGCTTTCAACCTATAATTCGAATATGTTGTGATGTAGCGTAAATAATGCGGGGACACAGACGAGAGAGTACAGGCACTACAACCATCTAGCCTGTATTCCCGTGTCTCTTGCTTAATGTATCCCACAATGCTCTCATGCCTACTATCTTGGCATTCCTTACTACTTGTTCTAAAAAGTAGTCCTGCTGGGGCAAGGGAAAGTTGCCCTCTAACTATTTTCATCACATTGGCAAAGATACAGGATGCAATTTATCTATTCTGATGCTAATGTGTATGGCGTGCGTGTCGTGCGGTAGTTTAGTTGTTGACCTGTGAAGCTGCAGCAGGATTTAAGTTGAGCGATTTGTCAAGGTATTTTCTTGGGAGATTCAAGATACACACGCAGTGGCAGCGCAATAGGAAGGAACGTATATACACAAGCATAGCATGGTCGCAGAATAACCTTAATTAGCTTGGCTTCCCCTGGTGCTGTTTTGTAGTAGTTTTGCGAGAGGACTCCCAAAACTTCCAGAGTATCGCTGATTGTGTTACATGGGCTGCTAGAACTTGTGACAGATTCAAGTTTTTGTTCACTGCAGATGCGATCAGGAAAAAAGTTCAGCGCACAGGAAGGCGTCATCTACGTCAACATCTCATCAGGGGAAACATTGCCACTCCTTAACAACTGAGCCGTTGTCACCGTTCGATGCGTTGAAGCAGAGCTCTGCTGCAAAGGAGGTTGTCACAGACAAGAAGGCCGATGAAGCTGCTTCAAGCAAGGAGCTGGTGAAGTCTTCGGGTCATGAGGCAACCACCAAAAAAGCAGCAGAAAAGGTTACAGCGTCACCAGGTGAGAGCTTGCTTTGGCCATTGTACCTGGTGATGTTGTTCGTAACACGTTTCAAAATTAACTGCCATTTACAGAAAAAACAATTACTACTGAGCTGTCATAACAGAAGTTGGCGGTTCTGGAGACGCACTGAAAACCTCAATATAACAAAGTTGCATATGTTACACAAAAATAAGTTTTTTAGATCCAAAAATTTATTATAAAAAGTATATACCTAACACTATCTATTGCATAGTTGGTTTGTTATATCAAGGTATGAGCGTACAATAAACTGAGCCTACGAAAAACCTGGACTTAATTTCTTGAATATTATAGCAATACCTACACTCTTGCTCGGTTGTCCTGGCTTTCTATATGGTATGGTTGTTTAAAAGGCCCCTGAACCACCCACAGGCGAAAATTTAGTTGAGACACTGCAGTTGTGCACGAGTCTTCAACAGGCATACAGCCATGAGAATTTTTCGAGCAGCGGAGTTGCACACATTTGATGATTCAAAAGCACCTCCACTTTGCTCTTATCTGTGCACCTCTCCTCCCGGCTGAGTGCTTCTCCTCGCATGAATGGTGAGTGTGCGTACCTGCAAGCAGACAAACAGGTTCTCTATGTGGATGACATGGCCAGGCGCAAATAGTGACTTCGCAGTCAATGCCCAAAAGGCCTGGGAACGACTGGGACTGGTTTGTTTAGAACTGCTGCACCCCCCAGGGCTCGTACCGTTGCCACATTCAACACTCTTCGTCATGGCGGCATTCTCGACTCTGTGCATGCATTTACTTGAAATGTAAAGAAATTATCGCGGGTGGTTTAGGGATCCTTTAAGCATTCATGAATGTTCTGCTTGTCCTCAGTGCCGAAGCGAGGAAGGGATGTATCTTTTGCTTAGTTCCTCTCCTACGAGCTTCGTCTGAAAACGAGCTTGTCATTCGATACCAGATTACAACAGCTGCATGTCAATTGACAAAAGCGCTCATCTGCTTCCATTCATCATCATCTCCCTTGCATGCATTACCCACGCAAGTATTGGCACGACATGTAGCATTCCTCACACAAAAGTTGCAACGGCTGAGGGCTTAAAATGAAGGTGAAATGTTCATAAGATAGAGAATGACGATTGTGTAGGGACTAGATTATCCTAAAAGGGACTACGATATCTTTTTTAGAATGCAGGAATACGAGAGTAGGAAGGTGAATAGCACGGTAACCCTTATGTGTGCTTTCTTGGGCCCGTTACTGAAAAGTGTTAAATTTGTTGCAGCATCGAAAGATGTTGAAAGCAAAAGGCCCCAGCCATGTGTGCCACCTTTAACCATCAAAATTGGCTCAGAGCCATACCAAGCGCTGACTGAACCGGAAGGCAAAGCAGGGACATCAGGTATGTTGGTGAAATTATGGACACCTCTTTGTTCTCTACCTCACGACTTAATTCGTGTAGCAACTTAAAGCTGCCTGCTGTCATCTGCCATTCTCTTACGACATTCTTGTTCCTCTTTTGCATGTTTAAATATATTTCATTTCAAATCTGCCAGCTCTAACAAAAAGTTGCGGCCTGTGCAGCAGGAGATTCTTGAAATGCGCATAACTTGAAACTGTGAGCATTTTGAATAAAGTTGTTTTTCTTTAAATAAAATATTAGTTTATTCATACACTGCTTTGTTGACACTTTCAGCAACAAGTATATGTGTATATATGCTGTGTTGTCAGCATTATAAAAGCTCACAGGGTTTTGATTCTTCGAAAAACTGCAATTTAATGAAATTAGAAAATATGCAAGCATATGACAAGGGTTCCCCAGGAGAGGTGTTGTTCTTCAGGGGGACATAAAGATAAGAAGGCAATATAGTTCAATAGGAATGTGATTTTTCCAATACTGTAGGCTTTCTTTAACTGTAAATTCAAACAACTTTTAATCATTCTTTATTTTATTATTATTGAAACAGATTTCAAGAACCCTGTACGGTTTTTCAGTTTTGGAATCCTACTAATAGTGCAGCATTTGATTTGCAGTATAATTTAAGACACTCCCCAACAGTGCTCACCTAACACGTTCACCGTCAGTGCCAGTGTGTTTCTTAACATCAAACACATGTGATATTTTTCATTTTTCCGTCACAAATTCGGTCACGTTTACCAACAAAACGTTACCCCTTCATTTCAAATATTTCATAGGAAATGCTGCAATCAGGAGAGTTGAACGGGTTAAATATCTGAGAGTTACACTTACCAGTAACCTCAGTTGGGAAACGCACGTTGAAAATGTGTGTTTGGGTGCACTGAAGAAGTTATCCTTTTTGAAAAGAAAACTGCGTAACACTCCTCCCACGTTAAAACTAAAAGCGTATAAAGCACTCGTGCGACCAAAATTGGAGTATGCCGACATTATTTGGAGCCCTTGGCAACAATATTTGATTAAGAAAATAGAAAGGGTCCAAAATTGAGCTCTGCGCTTTATATATTCCGCTTACTCCCGTCAACATAGTGTAACTAATCTGCGTAATAGGGCAAGCCTACAAATACTAGAACAGCGCAGGATAATATCCAGATTAAAATTCGTCTACCAACTTGATCACGGTGACTTTAAATTATCACGGGAACGATACCTTCAGCAGCCTTCTATACTTTCAGCTAGGACAAATCGCAACAAAACGTTTAGGCAGCCACCCAGCCACATTAATGCCCACAAGTTCGCTCTCTTTCCTCGCGCAATTTTTCATTGGAACGCATTACCTGCGGAAGTAGTGAATGCTGCCTCGACGGCTTCATTCACTCAACAGATAGAAAAGATTAATTTCACCATATAAGTGATGTATGCTGAAAATAGTGTCATTTGAGTGCAATTCTTCCGGCTACAAATGTTGAAAATATTCTTAGTTGTGCGCAGTTTTGTTGAACAGCGAGAAAATATATTTGACTTTTCTGTACTTGATAGTTATGTATTCTTTCATTTATGCCCTGTACTCCAGTGTATTACTAGTTATTGCTTGAATGTATTGTTTGTATCCCACTCCTGCATGGGCCCGGGTAGGGCCTGCAGTATCTGTAAATAAATAAATAAAGGCCCGGGTAGGGCCTGCAGTATCTGTAAATAAATAAATAAATAAAAAATAATTTTTTATAGCAAGATTATGTTTCTTTTTCGTAAAATACTGTCTGTCTTCTTGTTTCAAGTGTACTGATATAAGCGTATCTTATTGTTTATATTAAGTTGTAATTGCACAGGTGATAATGTTGGTTGTTTTGGGACTTGCAAAAAATTTGTAAAAAAATATATTTATATATATCATGATATATGAATGATTGAGAGGTATTGCAAACATGGATGTATTGCAAATGTTACCGTAGCGATGATCGCTTTTTGTTTCTGCTGCCGTGCCCACTGTGTGTTCTCAATTTACATTTCGATGTGTGCACTGTTGCTAAGAACTTGTTGATTTGCGGAGACGTTGAATCAAACCCTGGCCCCGGCGAGAAGGAAATGTTGGCTAAACTTCTTTCTGGTCAAACTGCTATGACAGCATCTATCAATGAAATTCTGAGTAAGCAAACGAAACTTGAGGCAGATATCACGTCAGTTACAGAGCGTTTAAATGGTCTTGAAGTTCAGCTGTCTGCAATAAATGCTTTGAAAACAGATATGTGTGCACTAAAGGATACTGTAGTGAGACTAGAAAAAAACGTGTTGTATCTTTTGGGAAAGGTTGACGATTTAGAAAATAGGAGTAGAAAAAATAACTTGATTCTGTACGGTATCGATGAAGACCCGTCTGAAACACCCGAAAAACTTGTCGAGAAGAAAAAAACGAATGTTTTCGAAGAGAAGCTTAAAATCTCGGTGAGCAGTATCGAAAGGTGCCACAGACTTGGCAAAAAGAACGAGAAAGCTCGCCCGGTTATAATTAAGCTCCTAGATTATCGTGACAAGGTAGAGATTTTGAAGTCGTGTCCAAAATTAAAAGGAACACCGTTTTCGGTCTCGGAAGATTTTTCCAAGAAAGTGCGGGAAATTCGGAAAAAGCTCTGGCAGAGTTCTGCAGAAGAAAGAGAAGCTGGTAGTAAGGTCAAAATGATTTTTGATAAGCTAAGCATTGACAAGAAAATATACAGATGGGACGAAAAAAAAGGCAAGCGTTACAAGGTTTCCGGAAATTCCGAATGACTTCATAACAAAACGAAATCGCCTTTCATTATCCTAAACGTAAATCCGCAGCATTGTCAACAAATCAGTCCAGCTTGAGGGTCTCATACTGTCGCACGATGCCGATGTAGCCGTACTTACTGAAACGTGGTTAAGCAGCGAAATTTTTGATAGCGAATTTGTCCCAAAAGGCTATAACGTGTTCCGCAAGGACCGCGACCGAAGAGGAGGAGGAGTTGCGATACTTTTCAAGAACTCATTACATCCGCAACAATTGCCTGATATATTAGAAGTTGAGGGCATATTTTGCAAAGTCTATATAGGCAAAGTTCGTTATGTTATAGGTGCGGTTTATCGTCCCCCAAACTCTTCTGATAGTGTTCTGGATAAGCTTGGAACCTACTTGCGGCAAAATATAAAGCCACATGACAAACTCATCTTGTCAGGAGATTTTAACTTGCCTAATATTGACTGGGAAAATTTTTTTTCTCATTCTACTAGCAATGCTAATCACGAAATGCTAGATATTGTTTTTTCGTTCGATTTACTGCAGGTTGTTAAAGAATACACTAGAGAACTAAATGGTTCAAAATCTATCTTGGACTTATTCTTTTTGAGTGGCTCAATCCAAAACACGGCAATATGTGAAGTCATCAGCAGTATTTCGGATCACAGGGCAGTTTTGCTAACTTTTTTAGATATGTGTTTTGATCGCTGCTGTACAAAAATTTCCTTTCCGAATTTTTCCCGAGCTGACGATGAATCCATTCTGGATATTCTTGATTTTCATTACGATGATTTTAAACACGCGGGTAGCAGTGTGATTGACCTGTGGCTTACTTTTAAAGATATTGTCTTTGAATGCGTGGAGCGTTTCATACAGAAAATTGTTAAAAAAACTGAATGCCGGAACCCCTGGATTACAAGAGAAACGCTACATTTACAGCGAAAACTTAAACGAATAAAAAGCAAAAGAGCGAAATCTCATGATAAAGCTGCTTATACACCGCTGACAGCTAACCTGTCGGGCGAACTAAAACTGCAAATTGCGCGCGACAAGAAAAGATACCACGAAACATCGCTTCCAACTTTTATCAAAACATCACCCGAGAAATTTTGGAGGCTGATCACGCCAACATCTCGCTCGATTGACTCATTCATGATAAGCGGCCAAAGAACATGCAATGAAGAAATAGTTTGTTCCGCCTTCAACAACCACTTCAAGTCTGTTTTTACTTGTGATAACGGCATCCTTCCTGATTTTTCAATATCGCTCCCACCTATTCCAGACTTAGTCATTTCCGAGAATGGCATTTTAAACTTACTGCTGAATCTGGATGTTAAAAAATCAACCGGGCCAGATGGCATTCCAAATGCCTTCTTAAAGGGCTACGCAGAATGGTGTTCTCGCTATTTGTTTATTTTGTATACCCATTCGTTGAATGAGGGCCAACTGCCAGATGACTGGAAAATCGCCAAAATTAAGCCTTTACACAAAGCGGGAGAGAAGTCATCTATTCCGAATAACCGACCGATTTCCCTTATAGCAACATCATGTAAAATTCTAGAACACATTATTCATAAACATATAATTACCTTCCTTAATTCTCATAAAGTATTAACAAATGTTCAACATGAGTTCAGGCGGGGCTTTTCAACGAATACTCAATTAGTGGAAATTACGCATGACTTTGCTCAAGCAATTAACGAAGGGAAGCAGACGGATGCTTATTTATGGATTTTCAAAAAGCCTTCGATAAAGTTTCGCATACTAAATTACTTCACAAATTAACTTGTATTCTACAAAACAAAAAGATCCTTGACTGGATAACAGCATACCTAACAAACAGGCGTCAATTTGTTACGGTAAAAAATACATCTTCTAAACAAGCTCCTGTAAACTCGGGCGTTCCTCAAGGATCCGTCCTTGGGCCTCTTTTTTTTTTCTGTTATATATAAATGATATCGTCACTGACCTTTCTGTTCACATTAGGTTGTACGCTGATGACTGTGTCTTATATGAAAAGATCACCTCAGTTGATGATCAAATTAAACTAAATCGGAACTTTCTAAAAGTAATTTCGTGGTGTGACAAATGGCAGATGCCTATTAATTTTGCTAAAACAGCTTTTATGAGAATTTCCCTTAAAAAAGACCCTCATTTGTTCCAGTACTCCACCAACAATACAATTTTGTCAGAAGTAACTCAATACAAGTACCTTGGTCTCTGGATTACAAAAAATCTATCCTGGTCAAAGCACATAGATTTTGTAGTAGCTAAATCTCTCCGTAAACTTTTTTTCCTAAGGCGTTCTTTAAGATCAACCACACCAAGTATTCGTCTCCTCGCTTACAATGCCATTATCCGTCCTATACTGGAGTATGCTGTGGTCATATGGGACCCGTTCACTCAGACTGATATCCAAAAACTTGAAAGGGTGCAAAAAAAGGTTGTTAGGTTCATTCATAACTCGTACGGTCCTACTTAGATTACAAAACTTCTCTTGAAAAGCAAATTTCCAAACATTCCGGACCAAAATCGAATATTGCGCTTAAAATTTCTTTTCCAGTTAATAAAAGGTCGCTATGAAGTTGACACATCACATATCGATCACTTTTCATGGGGTTCTGGAACAAGACAGAGACACAATCTTATTATCTCTCCATTGATGCAACGAACAAATTGTTTCAAATATTCTTTTTTTCCGAGGACTATCGTGGATTGGAGGAACAATCTACATAACAATGTTGTTACCCTAAATACATTGTCTGCATTTGAAGAGTCACTGCAGAAATGATTGTTATCTATGTTTGTACCTTGCTTTTTGTTGATTCTCTTGTCTCGAAGAATCACTGTAGCTATCAGTTACATAAGTTTGTATTAATTTGTTTTTTGATTGTTTGTTTGCCTGTTTTCACTGATGTTTATGTTTATGTTTTGTACCACCCCTGCTATGATCTTGTAAAAGATCGCAGTACCAATAAATAAATAAATAAGTAAATAAATAAATAAAATGGATCCACACTGCGGGACCTGTCGTTCTGCCTCTTGTATATTTTTCTTCAGTACGTATCTTCAATCTACGGGATAATGTGATAGATCACATTCACCTCTCTCTCTTTTTTTATTTCTAGCACTATACAGCGAAGGCTGATATTTCATTAAAAAAGCTGACCACTGTTGCTTATCTACAATTGTATTTGTTTAACTTGGATCATGTCATAAGAAATAGTGATACTGCATTGGCAGACTGTGTAATTATAGTGAACTGTGTTGCTTTTTCAGCACATTGTCACTGTTTTATTTATCTTTTTATTTTGCTGCATAGAGCCAAAAGCAGCAGCTGCAACTGGCTCGGCCTCAAAACAGCGACGGAAATCTTGCCCCGAGCCAAGCGAGCCATCATATGGTACGTACAATTTATTGTTTCGTCTCAAAAAAAAATTTCCAGTTTTTTTTTTTCATGTAAGTACCGTATTTACTCGCATAATCCTCGCTCTTTTTTTGGGGGGAAATTGATGCAAAGTTGGGGGGTGTGAGAATTACGCGGGGAAAACTTTCCACGAAAACGTACAGAGCGAAAAAGAAAACGAAGTGGCCCTTAATCGGAATTCTCACACCAGCAACTAAGAGCAAGCTTTGAGAAGTACTAATTAAAACTTACCTCAACAATAAAAAGCACAGGTTAAACACAAGGCAAGATTTATTTGAGACACAAAAAGTGCGAGCAAACAGTCGGGAATGAGAATACCATTCGCAAAGCTTGTGGGCTATGCGGACATAGCGGTAGCGTTCCTCGCTCAACGGGAGCACTCAAAAGGTATGTGTAGGACGTCAGTATTGGGCTGATGGATATTTAGCAGAATCGTCCACAGTTTCCTTCTGGAGAAATAGTTTACCATCAATCCCAGTTTTATACGCAAACAGCAGGCCCAACTCGTCTTGGTGGCTTTCAGCTGCCGTCACCAGTAGCGAACACAAAACTCCTAGACTCCGAAGGGCCTTCCGGCGGCCTTGTTGCCGTTGTTTAGTGCATGATCTATCGCTTTCAACTTAAAAGCAACCAGGTAGTTTCAGTATCGCCCCCTAACGTGACAAATAACCGAGACAACATACAAAACACGCCGCAACGCGCACTTGCCACTTTGGCCTGGCGTGGATTGGATTGAATCTCTCTGCAATGATAGTATGCTTGCTGCTTAAGAGATGGCACTAGACGGTGCATGCTATCATCATCAGTGGTTGTAGCGAGCAGACGACATTATTGCGGCAGTTTTCGGGGGTGCGATAATTACTCGAGGAAAAAAAGAAATCGTATTTTTGTTGGGCGATATGGGGGGTGCGGAAAATATGCGAGTGCGAGGATTACGCGAGTAGATACGGTATGTATGATGTGTTGACCATAGAACTATGATCACTAAGTGCCATACGATGGAAAAAAGGCGCTCGCATTGCTCCTTTTCTCTTATTTATTTTTAGTCATTTTGTCTAAGTGACAATGGTTAACACGTTGAATGCACTTACTATCCCAACAGTAAGTACATTCAAGTTACAAAGATGTATCAGTTTGCTCGAGATCACACTTGAGTATCTGTTCATCTTAGGTAACTGTTTGGTTTTTGTTTTTCTGATGCAAAAACAGCTGTGCGCAGGACATCACTTATGGCGAATTCCACTGAGAGAGTAGGAGCACTCAAAAGCACGCTTCAAGTGCTCTCTTCGGAACCGGCGTGTTTCAGTGGTCGAGGGCAGGAGCACTAATATTCATTGGTAGAGCGAGAGTGTTTTTGCTGCGCCGAGAGCAGGCAGGGGCAGTTTGCAGTGCTCACTTGGCCCTTGAACTCCGAATTTTTCTTCAGCTGGCGACCGCGGCGGCAATGGTAGCAACCGTGTGTAGTTTGACACCCCTGTTTTGTATGGGTGGCTACGATGACAGCTGGACGTCTGCCGAATGGTTCATTGCACAAACATACTAGGTATTATGATAATGAAGAACACGTGGCTGACCGATTTCACGCATATTTTGCTGCTGCCCCAGAGAGAATATGCCGGGGCTTGGAATGTTTCAGTGACACGGTCTCCCTACTCGTCACCTTCTCACCTGCCCCCCGGGAGCGCGGCGCATTCCAGTGGCAAGTTGAGTGGCCCTGCTCTCAGTGCTCTGCCCACCCACTCCTAACTGCCCTGCACCTCTACTCCTGTTCCCTCAATGGAATTCGCCATTAGAATAGGGTGAAACCACCTTGCAACGCTATTAAACAGTTGGTAAAGAAAAAAAGCAGCTAAAACTTAGCGGCTTACTGAAAACAAATAATAAATTGAAGTGTTGCAGCGTTTATGTAGCATTGCTTCTCCTAGTGACTGCAGTAGAATGTCAGTGATACAAACCGGGCTGATATAAACTAGGCAAATTTCCCGACCGAATTTTATTGTGTTCAGTGGGCTGAAATTCGAATGTTCCAAACACTTTTCTGCGTCATGGTAGGTGGTACCAACATTGGTGCTAAACCTTTGAGCGACGGCCATGGGGTGCTCTGGAAGCTTCGAAAGTGCCCGCATGGCTAGCTTACACACAATGCGAACTGTGGTTCTTGTTTGCCACAATTGCTGTGGACAAAACTGCGGTTGCTATTGACATGATTGTGTATGGCGACAACGGAACTGGGAAACTGCGCTCACCAAGTCAAAGCGATGCCGCTTTCCACAAACGCTACCGACAAAACTGCAGCAGATTCGATCATAGATAGCAAGGAACAATGTAGTTTTGAAAGCACGTGCGCGGCCACTGTGCACTTGCTTTCAAAACAGAACCGCCGTTTGCCACAGCCGCAGGGCTAGAAACTACGCTCATTGATGGCATCTACAGAGCTCTGAAGGCACATGGATAATGCAGAGGTAGGCTAAAGGCAATGGAGCCGTAAAAGGGCATGAAGCTTTACGGTGTTCCTGTTGTTCTTCGCTTACGACTACGGTGGAGCGGACTTTGGCACTTGGCTATCACTTGTTCTTAAGTAAAGCTTTAAGGCTTGCATTTGCAGCAGTCGGCAGTACTGTGCCTTACGGACCTGTTCATGTCTGTCGCAGAAAGACGTGCGCGAGTTTTTCAACGTTAATGAACATTCTGTGCGATTATCGTTGTTCGAAAATGGATTACGCTAGTCTTTTGGCGATATGAAATTTTCAAGTGATATGAATATATTTGATCCCACTTGAGATTTCTATCACCTAGATTCTACTGTGCATACATTTACCGTTTAATCAAGTTACCTCCTTTGTGTTGGCATCGCATTGGTGCTAAATCATTCTGTGCGAGGATTATTTTATATGTACATACATCTGAGCCTCATTTTCACCAAGCTACTGTCAAAACATAAACAACTTTGTTTTATTTCATGTGTTTGCCAATGAGCATGTATTTCATGCATGCTGATATAGACCCTTTCATTGTTTACAAACACAGACCTTTAATGACATCCGGTTTCGTCCACAGATGTGCCTTAATAACTCTGTAGGGCAACAAGAGCTTTAGAAAATAGCCTGCTCGTTTTCTACACTTGCTGTCCCTTATTTGGCAAAATATATTCAAATAAATGTTCTTCTGAGCTACACAAAAATAAGAGATTCCTTTGAACCTTACACACGTTCCTTTTATCTGAAAAACTGAAGAGAGATTTTCTTTACCCTTGAAAAAAAAAAAAAAAAACTCATACGTGTTTTCAGTTTCGAAATTTGGAGTTATGAAGCGTGGAAGCTTGGGCAAGTTGGTAGGACATAATTGAATTCAGGAACAGCGCAACCTACAAGTAGTTACTTCGTAACTACGGAAGCGAAAAAACAAGGACAGAAAAGAGCGCTGTTTTTTGTCCTTGTTTTTTCGCTTCCGTAGTTACGAAGTAACTACTTGTAGGTTGCGCTGTTCCTGAATTCAATTATGAAAACGAAATTTGGAGCTTGTAAATGAGGTGACCGGAAGTTTTTTGGGTACAACGCTTGCTATATTGAAACCGTCTATTGGCTTGAAGCTTTGTAGACTTGAATAATCTTGTCATTGTATAATTCATTGTATAACTTACTAGTAGTATACTACCAGGTTCAGCTGTATCAGATTCTATGTGTTCTCCTGTGCATAGATGCAAGCAAGGTTTGCCTTACATGAAACTAAGCATAATAATTTGTCCACCCTAGCGGTGTGCTCTTCAAAGCATCCAAATGCAACAAAGGCAAAGGAAAAGCAAGAAAAGCCAGCCAAATCGACAGCAGAGCCCCAGCAGCAAGCGAAGAAGTCGAGTCATAAAGGAAGTTCAAAGAACAAGGTAAGCAAGCAGTCTGTCTTTCTGTGCTTGTTTGAGTGGTCGGCGTGGCAGTGTTTTGAGAACCTCTTGGTTGGTTGTCTTTCGGAGAAGAGATGCGGCAGAGAATCGAGAGCACTGTCAAACTTTGTCGTCTTCTCTGGACTCTAACGGAGCTCATTAGGCTTTTTGCAGTGCTGGGTAGTGCAAATGGGAATTATCATCATAATGAATTGTTACACGCTCGCTTTGTTCTCTTCAACTTAAGGTTTGCTTGCACAACACGTGGCATAGAATACAATAATTACGATGGACAAGTCTGTGACATCACGTAACAGTTACTCACGGGACTAAAAATTGCACTTCTAGTCGTGCGACTAAGATTGCCTATTACGTAAAGAGTTGTTGCATGACTAAGAATCTCGTAGCATATTGTAACTGGTCGCGCGACCAAAACCTAAAGTTTTCAGCCACAGCTCGAGTCGCGCACCACGGACCGCACGTGAACGTGGCGCATACATGCGCCATCTGGGCCTCGCTCATCATTGCCGCATTCTAGCGTTGGGCACGTGCCTCGCGCTCTGTTACTTTGACACTGTGGTAATTTAAGGCAGAACTCGAGGTGGCACTCGTTTTGACACTTTTACTTTGGTATAGCTGCTTATTTCTAGTATACATGTGAGTGGAGTGTGGGCTATTTATGCTCATGATGCTTTTACAAATTTGTATGCATCGTTCTCATGCTTTCAATCTGTGTAGCTGGGTTTGGGCTCACTACTGCCTAGGACTTAAAGAGAGTACTCGCTGTGCGTGCAATCAAGCTCTTGTGGCTTCTACTGTATGTGTTTTTTGACACGAAACATGATGCAAGAATATTACGCTTCTACCCATATCTTATCCCACGTACGTTGTGTCCACAACAGTGCAGTACAAACAAGGGTGCCTAGCCAACTAGCTCCAGTTGCAGGGTTATCGTAAGAGAATGAGCGCAACAGTGCACTTTTGATCATTGATGCAGGAGTCCAGTTCTGGATCGAAACCGGAGGACGACATTTGGTGTGTGCGTCGCAGTGAACGCATATTTCTTTTGGACGCTGGAGTGGTTAAGTCATCGTCGCTGTCCAGCCCACCCGAACGTCAGGAAGCCAGCACCTCCGGCACGTCGCAGCGTGCTAAGCCCGAAAAGGTGGGCACCCACTTGGAAGTGGTCGGCTGTGTGCAAGAGCTTAAATATACAAGGTCTAGTTTTTCTTGCTTGTTTGTTCTGAAGTTCCTGGGCCACTTGACCAAGCCATTGGTGACACTTGAAAAGTTTGAAGTGCAATACTAATGCGAGTTTTCTCACCCTCCTTTGCATGAGCAGTCAGACATTGCTATCCTGAAGCTGCATTGAGCACAAAAGCACTTCCATAAAGTTCTGTATTCCATTCACCTTATGTTGGCTTGTATTGGTTTAAGACATCATAGATTGTTTGGTGTTAAACCAGGGCTTGTGTATCCATCTTCTTTGTGTGTGCATGAATGTGTATTTTGTGTGCAGCTTCATCAGTATCATGGCTCACAAACTAACCCATCAGCACGATATCAATCATCTGAAGACTGCTAGGCATTTGTTAATGCTATAGCTCAGTGTGATGACTCTAATATATATATAACCAGCTCAGCCAAAGTGACATTTTGATGCACAACTTTCAGCACGACTGCAGAACAAAAAACATCATGGACTACGAAGAAGACAAACGCTCAGCACTGGGTGTGCCTTCTTGGGGTTGTTTTCGTTGTGTAGTCGTCCTGAAACTTGCGAATCACCAGCTTGCCCAAAATGTTTCTCTCAGTATTTTCACGCTGTTTAGCTTTAAAAGAAAAAAAAAAAAGATCTCAAAGGCCAGTGGCTTTGCAATTCACAAGCTTTTCGATATGAATTGAATTCTGCAAGCGTCACTTCTACTGGAACATTGGACAACTAGTAGGTGATGACACTGTTGAAGCTGAAACACTCTCCTATACATGCCGTATAGGGAACTGAAACCGCGCACGTGGGGAAGAAAACAAAGAATCGCCTCGGGGCAAGCTGCATTCTGACGCAGTTTTTCGATGATGTTAATGTCAGTGGAAACACCCCTCCCTACATTTTCAGTTTCAGGCCTGGCACCACTAGTGCCTCATCAGAGGAATCCCTCTCAAAACACTGCACGCATTGCCGCTCTCCTAATTTCGTGTTAGGGGAGCAGGAACACCGCTACCTGCTCTCCACTGCTCTTTCACCGCAGCATTGAACATCGCACGTCTTGGAGCACGGAAAAATTCTCTTTTCTCTCTTCCTCTCTGTAGCGCCGAAGGCAGAAATTGGTTTCAGTGCTGCGGAAGTGCCCTAAAGCTGTTGGGGTGACACCAAACGACACAGCCTCCGACGACCAGGGGAGTGATTCCACCGAAAATGTGCCCCTCAGCCGGCTTTCGGCGGCTGCGAAAAGCAGTTCAGGTGAGCAAATTTTTCTCACTTGTTTTGTTTCTTTATTCATCTATTTATTTTCACGTCTGAAAGATTCTAGTTTTTGTTTTTCATTCATTGATTGCTGAATTTAAGTGGTGGGTACATGTTAACCTCCACAAATTGTTAGGATCGTGCAGATAAGCATTCGGCACCTCTGCAATGCTTGAATCTGAATCAACATTGTACTAGTAGTAAAAAAAAACGAAAAAAAAGAACTGTCAGTAATATACATTGACTGGTTCTGTGATTGTGTTTGCAATGTGTTTCTAAATGTCACCATGTGCAAGTACCGCTTTCTTGTACTAATTATGAAGAAAGAAAAATTGCACGGCAGGTGTCCGATTGTACTTGTATGGAGATTTTAAATGCACATTTTAACTTTAATGGCACAGCGCGTATTGTGCTGTTTCGGTAAATGTACCTCGTGTTCCATTCTTGCGCTCTGTTTGTGAACAAACTGTTTATTTGACTCCCGTTAAAACTGCAGTGTAATTTGAACACGAGGAGAGGAGGAGGAGAACAAGATGTCTAGAAATAGTAAAAAAAAGGGGGAGGTCTAAAATGTCATTTTTTGTAAATCACGATTTAGAAGTATTTATAGTTGAAGTTTTGCTCTGGTAAAAAACAGTAGCCTCTCGTTAAACAGAACCTAAAAGGACCTGGAAAATGTGTTTTGTTTAACCGGAATTCAGTTTACTGAGAGATAAGCAGGGGTGCAGAATTCAGGTATGAAACCAATTGTGCTGGAGGCAGCTGTTCAGTTTTAAGCAGCAGTTCCGTTTAACAGATTCCTATTTACTGAGATTGCACTGTGTTATGCTGTGGCCTTTCTTTTTCTTACAGTATTACAGTATACAATTACAATACAGTTTTACAGTATACAATTACAAATGCTCTCATAACTTGAAATGCGATTTTCTCGCCTTTGTAATCTTTAGGAAGTACCCCTACATTATGGAAGTTTGGAGGTGGTAGAATACTAGTACGGTAAAACGCAATGGACCCGTTTCATAATTCGCAAGTGTGCTTCTCTGCACTAAATATTTGAACAAGCAGTGACAGCACCTGTAGTGCTTCAAGCGCAGACGCAGTCCTAGTCGAACATGAATGGGGCTTGTCTGTTTGAATGTTCGTATCAAGAGAGATGACTCACCATTTTCCAAGTCATTGCATTAGGAAACTGCACTTGAACAGGCTTTTTGCACTGAATGACGAGCCACCATTAGTGTTTCAAACTGCTCAGCAGGAAAGCTAACTTAACAATTTTGAAAAAGGTTCATTGCGGTGGTGTGTACTGATTGCTGAATGACCAGATTGTGAGCTCCGATTTGGAAGCGTTGTTTGCCGAGGCATTTCGCTCTTGTTGACGCAGATCAACCGCAGCAGTGCTACCTGCTGCCGGAGGATCTTCACGACCTCACACGCGTCGTGATGCTAGAGGACGGCCTTTTCTATACGGGCTACATCAATGAAATTCAGGCACCAGATGTGTAAGTGTCTAGCAACTCTGAGTGTTCCCGGAACTTACGATTATGATTTGTTAACCCTTTAAAGCCTGAATTTTGAAACTCCCTGGCAAAATAGAAATTGTTTTCAATTTCCTGTTTTAAGTAGCAACATTGCAATTATTCCAAAGTTAAATTATCTGAAATGCAGCATTATTACATACTTTTATGTATGTCGCGAATGCCACAAAAGTGAGGACCTTGCACCGAAAAATGTACTTAAAAACATTGTAACATGTTGTGTACAGCCCCTTGGGTGCATACACAACAAATAAGCAAAGCTATTGAAGGTACAACTGAAGTACAACACCGAATTGAGCCAATGTTTGTTTGCATTTTGTTTCCCATTTTTTGCTTTGCAAATCGCAAATGCGCTGTTACCAAGGCTGTTCATGGCCACTTTGCAAATAACCGAAGTGGATCATCTGAGTTGAAACACCAGATGGTGTTAGTCTTTGGGGCATCGTCGTCACCACTCATGTCTACCAGCTTCCGAAAAACGCAGAAGCGTACACGATGCTCCTTCACTTCTCCAATGTAAAGGCAGAGAGAGCAAGAATGCAAAGCCTCCTATCGTGTATCCATGCAATAGTCTTTTATCACTTAATCCCCATCACACAATGTTCCAGACATTGGAATCCATAAGGTATTTGTATAAATAATTACACTCGCCCCTCATTCAATCAAAATTATATCTGCTTCTAAAATAACTTTTTGTATTCGAAAATTTGTTAAACGATTATCTATAAAACTTTATCAATGACAAGAACATTATGACCATTCTTAATTTGCTTCATTATAATCGGTAATTCGTTATATTGAGGTTTCAGTGTAAGTATGGCTTACATTTGAAAATTAAAGGCAGCAAGATGCGTCTCACGAAGCCCTCAGTATTCATTCATTGATTGGGAATTCCAGTTTTATTTGTTCACTGTGTGTGAATGCTCGGTCCTTTTTCTTGTGGCAGCTATGGCATCACACTGGATGGCGAGCGAGGCAACAGACCGCACATATTTTCTCGTGAAGAAATTTTGAAGGCAGCGGTAAGTTCAGAATTCTTTCCTCCCGATTAGAAAACGTGCTAGGTGTTTTCGGGCTCTGCAGTGCCAGGCATGTACAGCGTACCGCACCAAAATGAAAGACAGCAATTTTCTTCAATTTGCCATCTTTCCAAAGAAGGGGCACTGCTTCTTAGTGTTTATTTTTTTAATTTCCTGCCAAATTTCAATAAAACTTGACTTGTTCAGCTCAAGTATATGTGTGTTCTTGCTTAGGGGTGCAGGTATGGTTTCCAAAAGAACGAGGGACAGAAAGGACTCTCTTTCTGTCTAAAAAGGAACCAAATACAAGATATCGAACCAACTAGCCCAGCAATTTGTGGGCCATGTTCACATATGCAATTATAATTCTAGTGTATTAGGCTGATATTAAGATATAAAATATTTCATGTGCCCTCTGTGGAGCGAAATCTTTCCTAAACTGAGTGAATTGCAAACTGAATCAGTCTATCTCAGTAATCTCAAATCAACACTGTATGCAGTACAACAAAAATGGGTGTTCTGCACCCATTTGAATGAAGTTATGGTATGCCGAACATGCACAAGTGAGTATACCAAGCTGTGATTGAATTATTTTTGCACTAGTGCACGAATTGTCTCTCTAGCTGATCGAAATTTTCTGGAAAATGTGTTTCAGCACTGATTTCACTTGAAACTTTCAAACGTAGATTTAGTGAAGTTCTTCTTGGCAAGTCATTTGTGCACATACCTGGTTAAGTTATTTTTTTCTTCTTGTGAGATGAGTGGCATTTCAGCTGTGGTGAATCGACGTAATGTGTGCCGCATGCTCATAAGTGTGTGCATGGGGGGGGCTGCAACAAACCTTTGCCCTCCCCCCCCCCCCCCCCCCCATGGGAACCCTGTGCACACTTGTGTGTCACCTCATTGTTTTACTGGGTAGAGGTTGCATAAATTCGCTGCTACCAATTTCTTTTGCATTGTATTATATAGGTGCTGCAAAATGTTAAACATTTTGTTGACTCGCTTTTACTGGAGCCTGAATCAATTCAAGGAGCAATTTAAGAGGTGTTCATTTATTGAGATTCTACCGCATTATTTTATGACAATGTTTACAGGTCATAGTTGTTTGTTATTAAATGTTGTAGATTACTAAGAAATGATGTTATCATCGTCCGTAGAAAAGGTGTTGTGAATGCTCGTGACTTAATTGTGCGTTTGCATCCATCTGCATGATTCTTTCACCTGACAGGTGCGTGAAGTGAAGCCGCACTCTCTGAAAGAAGTGCCCGAGGGTCGCCGTGTCTGTGCCTACTGGAGCCAACAGTATCGTTGCCTCTACCCTGGTCTGGTTGCTAAAGGTGGGCAGATTCATGTCTTGGCTTACTGCTTTTTTTCGCTTGCCTGATATGGACTCACAGGTTGATCGCTGGAGGTTGTGTGTTGAACAGGGAAATGCATGTGTTGAGCTAGTGACTTCAGGATGAGTCAGAATTTATAGGTATTCAATGAAATTTCATTTTGTAAGCAGCACGCACACGGACTAGGATGACTGCAAAGACGAATATGGAAGACAAGTACGGTCTTGTAGTCGAATGCTTCATTTTTCGAATGTATCTACTTATGTGAACCCAATAAGCACAATATCACATTTTCTTTGATGAACTTTCATTCGACAGACACTGCTTGCCCGATGTGTATGCTTCCCTTCAGCCATCCTAGTCTATTTCTGAGCTGCTTACTAGTTGTTATCATTTCTGCTTGGCATGTCTTGATTGTCCTCCTGCACTCTAACTCTGCAATAATGATCATAACGAGCGTGCAAGTGACAATGTGGAGACTGTTTAAAATACATGCAAACCTCTGTATAACAAATTAAAACCTTACACCAAAGTAAGTTTGCTATATCTAAAATTTTGTTATGAACGTATATTCACAACTCTATCTATTGCAAGACCATTCTTTTTTTACTTCATTATAACCAATTTTTGGTAGTATTCCTGTTGTATCAGTGTTTGAGAGGATTTTAAAGCACGAATACCCTGTTATAAATATCATAATGCCATGAAATAGTGATTATGTGGCAGCTGTAAAGTGTCTGTTACATACATTTCGCGTATCATACTGTAGTCATAGGATTCGTTGATTTTTTTTTAACACTTTCGTGTCCGCAAGAAATTTGGCCGTTCCTGGGTAGTCTAGAAAACCTTATTTTTTCATGGCACCCAAAGTTACTGATAATAATGTATATGGTGTCAAATTGTACAACTAGGAGTTATCTTTCAAACACGGTCAGTTTGAAACCACAAATTTCTCAACATTAGTACGAAAAAAATTATCAAACGAAAAACATTGTTGAAGAAAGAAATTGCATAGAACCATCAACACTGCTCTGAACAGTCTAGGCATTAAAAAAATTGAAATATGCATTTTAAGTGCAAGGAGCATACACAATTATCCTGTAAATATAAGTGCTTTAAATGCAAAAGTTTTTGTGTACATAAAATAAAATTACGCGTGGTGTCTTTCATGCCACCGTGCGAAGCAGTTTCGAGATGCGATAAAACACAGGTTTGCTACGCATGTTTCACAGAAAACACTTGCTTTTTGTTCTGCTTTTCTTTGTTCATAGCATAATTTACAGTTCCTTATTTTTTTATTTTTTTTTTTTTTTTTTTTTTTTTTTTTTTTTTTTGTTTGGCTGGTGCCACGAGGAGCGTTTCGTGAAGGAGCATCAAGGGTCCAAGAACGGCCTTTCTCGCTGTACGTCAGCTTCTGAAAAATAAGCGTACAAGCATATTTATTTGTGCTTTTGCAAAGCTAAAAGTCGACAGCACTCGCGAAGTTCCGCGCGGCACTATACCTAACGCGCCTCCAAGGTTCACTCCCGCCTGCCTGTGCGCACGAAACTGCACTGTCTGCGCTACCGTCGGCAAGTTAGTCCCGCCCGAAGGAAATGGACGCCCTGCAGACAAGAGCCCTAACCTTCAGAACACATGGGATCAACTTACACCGATGTGTGCCGGCAATAACGCGGCTAGAGCACAAAGCTAAACTCACTGGTGGACGACCGCTGATGTTCCGGGGCGGTTTGGCGAAGTACCGTCGTCTGTGCTGAAATCAAAAGTGTCGGTGTCGTCTTCCGAGCCTGTGCTGTTGTGATCATTTGAATATTTTAGCCTAGATGCACGAGAATCCCCCGAAATTCGGCGTTTTTGTGAAGCGGTCACACGTGACGTTGACGCCATGATTGAAACTACGTTCTCACTCGTGCGCATGGAAAGGCTGTTTAAAATCGCGACATGGTGAAAAAAGGGAAACAAAAAAGCGAAACTGATAAAATACTTTTTCCTTTACACGTTAGTTAGCGCAAGAGATCCAAAAGCGTTCGAAACAGGGCAAATATTGAAATTGTAAACATCGAAAGTATACTATCGTGAGGATAGGCACAGTCACAAAAGTGTTAAAGTACTCCCTCAATTCCTGCCGCAGTCACTTGCACACTGACAGCAAGACGTGCAGGGACTGTTGCGATGCAGCGCGTTTTCTGTTGTCGCTACCGAGTGGCACATCAGTTTGCTATTCTCCGCATTTTTTTCCTGGGCATGTCTTGATATCCAAACGGTGTTTCACAGCTCGTGTGTTTGAAAAAAAATGGGACCAAGCAGCTGCACGCTCGGCTGCATTGTCTTTTAGTCATTATTCCTGATTGCAGGCAGAAAAAATTTAGTGATTGAATGATTTTCTACACAAATGCCTGTGGGCTGTGTGCAGCTACACTGCCATATTCCACATTGAGTAAGCATGGTGATAACTCTAGCATGCCGCCCTGATATGTAAAAGTAAAAGAGGTCAGTAAGCGAAGGGGAACGTGCTTTGTAAAGAGTCTTCAATAAAACTTCTGTGTGGCCTAATTGGTACATAGCATTTTAAGGTGGCTCAAACCGGAAGAGTCCATGAACCTTAGATGAGAGATGAGCGCTGGCACTAACTTACCAGGGCTGTGTAACCACTGACCAGTGCTTGTCTCACCTATTCTTCGTGGTCCGTTCTGGTTTGCACTGACGTTTTCGGCTTACACTGTAGATAGCCATTCTCTGCGTGGCATCAATAAAAGTTGCGGTACATGTTGCGGCACTTGTCTGTGCGAGAACAGGGATCAAAGAGGAGGAGTTGTGCAAAAGTGTGGTTTTATCTAAGCACTTTCGGGATAACACTGCGAGAGGTACAGTATTGGTTAGTAAGAGTTGCTGGATGAGGAAGGAGCAGGTGATTTGCACCAGAGTCTAGTCAGTGGTTGAGAAGCCATGTTGTAACATGGCTTCTCAACCATTGTCGGTGCAGCATCTGGGCAGATATTTTTCCGAGCAAACTCTGGAGGAAGTTGACGTGAGGTGTGTTGTCAGTTGATCTACCAGTGTGTGGTGAATGGCAAGTGACTCCATTTTTTTTATCACTCACAAACTCGCTGAGGCAAAAACGAATGTTAGAAATTTACGCAGGGGCATCTGAAATAATGTCTATACATGGTATGTATATATATAAGGTATTCTTCAACTTAAAATTTATTATGGTATTTTTATAAGGTGTGAAATTGAATGGATTTGGCACAACAGTGTCAGAAAGAAAATAATTCACGTAAGTTACTTCATGCAGCACTGGTGCAAAGTGTACATTTTAATCATGTATAACTGATGTTTATGTATCGTACATGACTTGCTAAAGATTTGATTGTGGTTTTTTAACCCTCACATTTTCATTTATTTATTCGTCTTTACATTTCACAGCCACCAGTCCGAACCCTTCTCCAAATAATTCCCTTGTCTATGTGGAATTTGACGATGGTGATTCTGGAAAGATTCCCATAGAAGATGTCCGGTTGCTGCCGCAAGACTTTCATCCTATTGGTGAGACATCATATCATTATATGCATGGGAATCTACGGATAGCTAAAGTACGAATGAGTATTAATATACGGTAAAAGCTTGTTTATGTGGACCTCGTTAACTCGGAAATTCGGTTAAATCGGACTCGCGGCACGGTCCCGGCAGAACTGTGTATATTGCAATGAGGTCAAGTGCTCATTAAATCGGAGGGATTTAGCCGTGCACCGGTTATCTCGAACAACGCTGGAGAGCGCTATCGGGACTCCAGAGTCGCCTGATCTCGGCAACTTGGAGGCTCAAGCACCGCTTGCTGTAACCGACTCCAGAGCTGGAGTTTTCGAGAAACCAAAACCGAGCAAACTGTAGCAGAATATGGCCATGATTATAGTGAATGAGGGGGAAGTGGCTAGGTGGCGCTAGTCACCACCCGGCGGAAGCGCTTGGGCCAATGGCGCATCCAGTGTCTACTAACAGCTGCTTGCTACGCCCATGCTACGCCTACTGGTGTACTTCGTGTCTTGGTTCTTTATGTTGTGACTTCGCGTGTTGCGGCTGTGTTTGTGCGCGTTGCCGCCGCTGTTACGCTTCGACTGTCACGGGAGTTAAGCAGCCACAGCAGCCAGAAAATGATCTTGAAAGAAAGGTTATGATACTGAAAGACGTGATCGCAGGTGTTTCTTGACAGGAGATAATGAAAAAGTACGATGTTAAGAGAAGCACCTTAAGCGACTACGTGAAGAACGAAGAAAAAATTTTCGAGACGTTTGACAGCGGCAAATTCACCGGAAAACGAAAACAACTAAGAACGGTAGCACATTAAAAGCTGGAAGACGCACTGCTGCGGTGGATAACAGACATGCGGAACAGCCAGCTTCCCTTGAGTGGACCGTTGATCTGTTAGCAAGCTGAAAGGTACGCACTGAGAATGAACATCGAATCTTTCAGTGCGTCTGAAGGCTGGTTTGCCCGCTTTAGAAAAAGGCACGGGTTGGTCTTCAGAATTGTGTGCGGGGAAAAGGCAGCATTGGATAAACGGCGTATTGCTGACTGGAAGACAACTGAGCTTCCCCAGTACCTGGCTCGTTATGAGCCTGCCAACGGCTTCAATGCTGATGAAACGGCTCTCTTTTTCAAAGCCTTGCCGGACAAAACGATCACGTTCAAGGGCGACCCGTGTGTTGGAGGGAAAAGGAGCAAGGCAAGGATCACTGTGCTTCTCGCTTCAAATATGTCGGGCATCGAGCGCCTGCTACTGCTAGTCATTGGGAAGGCACGTAACCCAAGGTGCTTTAAGAACATTCACCACTTTCCTGTGCAATATCGCGCCAACAGAAATGCCTGGATGACTTCGGATATTTTCCAAGCTTGGCTGCGCCAACTTGACCGCCACTTCTCCACTAACAAGCGCAAGATTTTACTTCTAGCTGACAACTGCAGTGCTCATACCAGAGTGACGGGGCTGGAGTGCATCAAACTTGTATTTCTACCTGCAAACACGACGGCTGCTCTGCAACAGCTGGATCAAGGGATAATTCAGCACGTAAAAAGCAGGTACCAAAAGCATGTGCTGGAACGGATCCTGCTGTACAAGGAAGCAGGGCGATAATATGAACCGAGTCTCCTGACGGCAATTCACGTTTTAGCGCATGTTTGGAGCGACACGCCGCCCGCGGTCATTGCAAATTCTTTCCGGCACAGCGGCTTTGTCCGCCCTGACGACTCGGATATTACTCCAGAAGACACCCGCGAGCCCACTGGAAATATGGACGACGAGGTGAATGACACGTGTTTTGACTGTCTCCTTCCTAGTGGCGTACAGATTTTAGACTACGTCGCTATAGACTATCATGTTGCCGTTGCTGGTCCGCTGACTGACGATGATTTATTATTGGAAGTGCTTGAGGAGGACCAAAATCACTGTTTCGATGATGAGGGCCAGAATGAGCCGACGCGACGTCCCCACATCGTGCAGGAGGCCGTCGAAGCCCTCGTTGTCCTCGAAGAGTTCTGCGTTTGTTCTCGCGACAGTGAACGTGCGCGCCACCATTTGATGGTATTAAATAAGATTGTTCTGTCAGAAATTCCGACGGTGAGACAGGCAGAAATAACGAACTTTTTTAAAAAATAAAGGTTTGTCTGTGCCGTGTACGTTTTCCCTTTGTTTTCATGGTCCATTCGATAATTCGGAATTCGGTCAACTCGGACATTTTCTCCAGTCCAGTGAGATCCCAGTCAGCGAGCTTTTACTGTATGTAGCTTAATCATTAATTTGTTATTAGCCCTTGGGTGCTGGTTTTTATTGCTCGTCTCATGAAAATGTGGTAAACCATGAAAAGATTAAGTCGACAAGATACAGCTGGCTTCTGTGGATTTGGTGTCACTTGATCTGACAAATTGGTAAAAACATTCATGTATGCTAACCAAGGTGAAAAGTATTTTCGCTACTGAATTTCCACATGGCCTTGTTCACAAATGAAGTGGGCATCCATTAATATTTTCATCAATATGTACACATGTGCAGTCCTCACGGATTTAGACACGGCACGAAATTTTTTTTAGTATAACGAGTGCTATGAGCGATTGCTCGACATAATCGCATTATATTGTTACGAATCTGGCCACCGAAGGTAATGTCTGTAATGTGAGTTTTTGGGTAAAAATTATGTGAATATGACACGACCTGCAGACGCTGGAGCTGAAAGTTTTCATGTTTTCATGTTTCAATTCATGAGTAGTGTACCTGATGTGTAGAGCATGAACGAATGTTTGTGTTGAAGGACAGGGTACATTACAGGAACATAATAGAGAAGTAAAGACACCACAGATGCCTGTCTATTTAACACGAGTAATGTTTTAACACCAACTAGATCAGTTCTAATTTATACACTCAAACCTGATCATAACAAAGTTGCATTTTTCAGCACAATAAGTTTGTTATATAGTAGACAACTGATAGTTTGGATTCAATTGGTAACGTACACAAGTCCGAATTATCGAATGTCCGAAAAAACGAATGCATTAGAAAAAAAATATATACTTATTGACGCTTCAGTGACCCAGTGGCCGGAAAATGCTGTCAATGCGTTGCTGCACGCACTTCCGCTCACGTGCAACCAAGTCCATCTGCATTTCTGCCAGTGTGGTATGCTCGCTGTATAACCACAGGTAGGACGACGAAAGAATTACAAGGCTCGGGAGAGGTCCGCATGCGACAGCTCCGAAGCACACGGTGCGTCATCATCATCAGTCGGAATCACTGTTTGCCAGTTGCGGAACCTGCTCAGTTATGTCATCGTTCGATTCGGCACACGACAACACAGCACTGTCGACGTTTGTGAAGTCTTCAAACGTAACTGCGTCAGAAATCTGCATACCGCAGCCTCGCAAGTTGTCAATAATGTCTGCACTTGAGCTCATTGCTCAGGGCAGCAGGTCCGGCTCTTCATTTGCAGCTTGAAGTTCTTGAACTTTTGAAACTTTGAACTCTCGGGCAACATCGACTCGCGGGTGACCACTGAGCACGTGCAAAATGATGGTGGTTTTCCTTGCCATGGTTAGCATTGTGTATGTCTGCCGCGTTTCGGGGGGGGGTGGCGCAGCCTTTGGCGCCATTCATGAGGGCACCGTTGGCACCATTTAACACAGATATTTCGGAACAGCACAGCGCAAAATAAAGCAGGTCTCAGCAAAAAAATGAATGCGCCCAAAATTTAGAAGAACGCTGTACTGCAGACACATACGGCAGAATAGCACCGATAGCAGTACAGCGCCGTAACACACCGGAATTAGAACGTGGGATTTTCGCGATGTCGATACGACCTCCCACAGTTGAGCAGTGCCTCCAAGATCAGCATTTTCTATCATGAAGTTGTGAGGCAATGAAGATAACCAGTTTGCTTTTGTTTTTTATCTCCAAGGTCATACTTTGTATGTTACGGGTACCAAAGGAGATAACAGCTGCCAATTAAGTGTGCACGCCAGGTTCAGACATAGTCCGGATTAACGAATGCAGATTTGGCAGCTGTCCAAAATATCGGTCGTCTTTACTCATTAGTTCTATGGGGGCCATCAGCGGTGCTGCGTGGCTGTCTTAATTACTGAGCATGTCCGAATCATCGGTGTTCGATTTATCGATCAGCGACTGTATCTGAAAATTCGTTATATAGGTATAATCATAACACTATATTGTAAGAATATACTTCGTTATAACTAACATTTCGTTACACCCGGGTGCGTTATATTTAGGTTTGAGTGTTGTAGGTGTTCGATTGGAATGAGTGCCTCCTGGACGATCAGTGGAAAACTGCGTGTGTGTGTTCTTTTGGTCTTAGCCATTTGCACATTTAATGAGAACTTTCAGGATAAACCAGCTTGTTCAACTTGAGGTATTGTGTCAGTTGTCCGTTTCTTTGCCTTTCAGCTGGAGACCCGCACCCATCACTTGTCCTGAACAAAAAGCGCTGCCGGAATGCAGAGAATGGACAGGAAGCTTCCGCATCCAATCAGCAAAACCCACAAAGGGTGCCAAAGAGGAAGAAGCCCAAGGGCAAGAGTAAGTAGTGGCCTCTCTCTAGACGTGTCAGGTAACGGCAGACTGTTAGAGGGAACACGGTATGGTGGCGCTACAATCGCAAGCATCAGTTTCATTCCGAGCACTTATGTATGAGTGTTCGCCCGATAGGTTCGTCTTTCTAGGTGCATAGCATATAGGGGAAATAGGAGTTCTGTATTATCACAGGTATTGTTATGTTGATTTTGTTGTATCAAATTTCTACTGTTCAATTGAGTAAAACGATGTGAGGAAAGTTGACTGCACACGCGAGTCGGTAAGGGGAAATCTTGAAGTGCTTGCACGCTGTTGCATCAACTAGAGAAGCTACTACGTCCCACTTCTGCAGCACAATTTTTGGGATTTCAGCCGTTCTGCAGTCATTGTAATCATCAATGTAATGCAGTTCCCGCACTTTTTTCTGCAGAAACGCAAGAAGCACTTCGAGTGACGAGTCTGACTCGGACAGTGGTGATGTCTTCGACGGACCAAGTACGTCGAAAAAACAGCGGCGGGAGCACAAGCATCGCCGGCATCACAAACATCATCGCTGTCACCACCGGCACAAACACCACAAGCGACACCGGGAACATTCCACGGACGCTGCCAACCAGAAGGGCGGTAGCAGCAAGGCTACTCGCCGAGACAGTGCGGCAACGACTACGTCCACCTGTTCGTCGGAGCCTTCGACCTCGGGATGCTCCCTGTACTCGGCAGGGCCCAGCGGCTTGGGAAACAAGTCCGGACTGAAAGTTCGGATCCGGACTTCATCCACAGAAATGCAGCAGGTAGATTCGGAGAGCAGCGATGATGCCTCAGACGATAGCAGTTCATCAGACGAGGCTGTGAGCATGGTGTGTGTGGGTATTTTTCTGGCTTCGATTCATGACACGTAAAATGTTGATAATTGATAGGGTTTGCTAACTGAAATGTGCTTGCTGTGTATTCATCACATTTTAAAACTTGTCGATTCAATTGAGGATCCCATTTGTGTTGGTACTTTTTATATTTGTAACCAAAGAAGTTCTTCGATATTATGAATTGCCTATTATTAAACCTTTCTTTTAAACTTCATATTCATACAGCGCTGTGCATCTTAAACCATGTGTAGTGATTCATGTATCAAAACTTCCCTGATGTCAGTGGTCAAATAGAAGCTGTGAAGTAGCTTGATGTAAACCTTTCTTTTACAAACTTCAGTATAATAAAATTTCAGTGTAAAAACTGCCATGAAACTAAGTCTCTTGCTAAGTTTCAAATGAAACTAAGTTTCATTTGAACCACCAATGCACCCATCGGCCTCATGTTTATTTGTATTCCAATTTCTTCCAGGCTTCTAAAAGGGGTCCTGCCAAGCGAAAAGGGCGCCTCCCCTCGGTGGAGAAAAGCAAAATCGCGGGTGAGTCGAGCGAGTTGCCTACCGCTGCAAGAACTTCATAAAACTGAAATTTTTAAAACAATTTTCTTGTAAACAACTGCTGGTTGCACCTTAATTAAAGATTAAAGTACAGCGTTTCGATTTTCTAATTTTATAATTTGGAGCCACACATTCCACCGTCAAATAACTTGAAAATTAAAGCAGGTGTCCTCAACGTAAACTTACATGACAAATAAATTTTTTTGAGGAGATGTTACTCATAATGCAAATTGAATTATAAATAAATCTCTGTAGTATTCTGTACACTAAATCTTTTTTTTCTTTAATGACTGCTTGCTTATAGCTACTCTACTCCAGTTGTTCATTATGCATTGATATTTAATATATAAATTGGTACATTTTATGCATGGGATATTATAATGAATACATTTCCCGCGTAAATCTTAAAAAGTAAATAATGAAGTTCACATTAAATTATGTAAATTGACAAATGCACCAAATAGTGCTTGTCCACATTGCAGAGACGTGAAAATTTAAGAGCTGTAATTTTAATTTGAAACGAAGGCGTATATTTTAAGTCGGGCAGTCTGTTACTTGGCACACAGGTAGCGTCACATTGGGGTTTTTCTGGCAGGCTTTTGTGTATCATGTCAATAAATGACTTTTGATTTCACATTGTTATATAGTGTTTTGTTCTGCAAATATTGTTGTCCGAGGTGAACCGATGTGCGAAACAAGACAGACATTAAAATGTCCGAGAAGACAAAGGGAGGTTAATCGAAATGTGTGCGAGATAGAGTTCAAGGAAACGATTTATTTCCGTTTCATGTAGAGTTCGAACACAATAGACCCTTTCCAAATTCCTAAAGTTAGCTTTTCTGCTATGCAGTATTGAACCGCTAATGGCGGCTTGTCATTTAGTGCAGATAGCCTGTTCAAGCGCACTGTGCTTACGCAATGATGTGGAAAAAGTTAAGTCACCTCTCTTGATATGAACAATCAAATAGAGAAGGCCTAGCACGCACAACTAAGACAGCATCTTTAGTCGAAGCATGACTGGTGCCGCCATTACTTGTTGAAATGCGCAGTGCAGAAAAGCGCACTTGCAGATCATAAAAAGGGTCCATTCTCACCTCCATCGTTATCATTCGCCTGATACAAATTGGTGGCCATGTAGCACATCATTTGGGGGCTTGTTGGGATGTTACTTTAATACGTGCACACTGGAACGTAAAGCTACGAAATCTAGAAGCACAAGTAAAACTTCACTTCCGCAGTTGTATCTGATCGTTTGTAAAAACACGATTGTGTTGACTGTATCAAAATAAGTTGCTGCTGCAGCATGTTGGCTTGGAATAGAAAAATAAGCACGGTAAAAGCTCGTTGATTCAAACTCGGTTAATTCAAAGCGATACCCTAGTCTCGGCACAGCCTTGTGTATTTTTGTGAGGGAAAACTCCCGATCATTCGAATGCTTCGGTATCCACAACGGTTGATTCGAACTGGAAGACCCTGGTATACATTGCTCCTCATAGAAGTTGGCCCAAAGTGATCATATTGTATTCAAAAATGAAAAGAACCCAAGTTAACTAGTGATGCGTAACAACGAAACAGGAGCATTCCGCAGTAGCTTAAGACTCGCACCCAGTGCTGGAGCTTCTTGGTAAGCTGCAAAGGATGCTCATAAAGTCGCGATAGAAGCCTAAGCAAATGTAAATTACTGATTAGTTTTGATTGCATTAAAGGAGCACTGACATCAAATTTCAAGATCGAGATGTGCCCATCATTCGACCGCTTGGTATGCATAGGCCTTCTTGGCCAAATTTGAACGGCATCTGTCGCGTGGAAGTTATTTTAATTCTATGTTTAGAAGAGCTAAAAAGAAAAAAATGGAAAATAGGATGCCCTGCGACATCAACACTAGTGCTACGTGTTCGGTGTGATAAATTCCACAAATACCATCCCGAGTGACAATGCCCTAGTAGCGATGACGAGCACGATACGAGTGTTCTTATCATGGTGCCGACTGGTGCCGAAGCGCAGAAACACACTTGTTCGTTGCGTCTCATCTTCGTCGCACTGGTTAATGATTTCGTGAAATTATCAACATAAAAACCACCTTTAGAACAGCGAAAGAAAAGAGCATGATTAAACGTGTGCTTGTAGGTCAGCATGTCGGGGAATCGTTGCGAGTTGCAGGTGAGTTGCAGTCGTCTAGTTCGAAGCACTAAAACAGTTTCATGAGGGTGTCTTTTCATATCTCGCAAGTTTCACATATCAACACGACCTCGAGCTATCAAAAGTGGAACAGCGTATAGTCAGATATCATCGCTAACAAGCAACACGCAGGTATTGTTGAATTTTAGTTCATCTGTAGACTTTGCGTCCACGTAACGTGTTAACTGCGAGAGACTAGATAGGTGGGGCCATCTGGAGGCGCAAAAAAGAACCTGGCAAGCCGGAAACGTATTCTATTTCTCCGCTGATGCTCATTCGCATTAGCTATCTTGCATTAACCCCTCTGCGTATACCTGAATGCTTTGCAGGCCAAAACACACCAATATAGCTAACTGAGACACACGAGCAAACATGGCTGAAGCGTGCATCCTCTGGCTCCTCTGCAGTGCTGCTTGGAACGGCGTCCATTTCGGAATCACGGTTCTGCAAAAGGTCGATCGAAGCAAAAATAATTTGCGACGTCGCGAATCGCGGGGATTCCAAGCTCCAGACTATCGTATTGAATCCGAGTCGACACTTCGTACTACGACGACAGCAATGCAGGTTACAAGACATGACTGAATGTGTCCGCCTAGCAGACGAAATGTTTGCAGAGCAGCTGAGCCTGTCGTCACTTCTTTCTGTGGAGAAGTGGTCAGCTGTGGCGTGATCTGGAGGTGACCGCGAGGTAGCGCCACTGCAGGTGCTCCCAGCGCTAAAAATGGCAGGATTGCCGGCCTTTTTGAATAGTGCTAGATACCAGTGATATAAATCAATAAATCTGATGGTTATTCACCCCTCAGTTGCGTTTTAGGTCGCAAATCGCTGCTACGGGGTCTATAGCTACTCGCTGAGGCAAAAATCTTGGCATGAGTAAATTTGATGTCAGTGCTCCTTTAACTCTGGCATGTAAATAAACACATTTTAGAGCATAAGTAGCATCATGGGTTTCACATTGTTTCACTGCTCACGTCAATGCATGTGGTGCTTGTTCCTGGGTTATTTATTTCCGACTGATAAATAATTCTGTTCCTTGTTAGAGCTCCAAAATCTTAAATTACGAAATCACCTGCCATGAACGCAGAGTAGCGCCTATTTCAGGATAACAAGTCGAGACGTGGCTTCTTTGGGTTCTTCCCGCACAGGGTGGCGGGATGTTCATTCACTCTAGTGACCGCCCACTAATTAAATCTCTGCTTAATTTGAACAATATTATGGTACCGTTTGAGTTTGAATTAACGAGCTTTTACTGTAATATCTTGAACACGTCTTATGCTTGGTCATGTCAACAGGATTTCATGGTATAGCTGCGACTCCTATAATAGTATATTGCAAGATGAGGGAAATTAGTAAGGATGGCGCAATGGGCCTGTTAATCAAAAAACGAGGAGGATGAGACGAGTGCTGACTTTCAACAATATGTTGTTGAAAGTTGGCGGTCTTGGACTCCTAATTTCTTTTCGTGTCCATAATTTGTCACGCTGTGTAGATAACATTTCTATCACGAGGAGAATTGGTTCTGGCATGTTTTAAAAAACTGCCGGGCCTGCGCAGAACGTGCAGCACAATCACAACGAAAGCTGGAAGAGTAGCCTTTCAGAGCTTTTTTTTTAACACCTTTTGGGCAACTTCTACAAGAATGCTTGCAGGGTACCGCTACGTCGTTAATCATCATAATTTTTGTGCAATAGGGAGGCATTCACTATGCCATCCTCGTCCTTCTTCGGGGAAGCGTGGTACCCGCTACAAACTCGCAGGGAATTTCATCCAACTTTTTGATGCTGTGGCTGACAACGATGAAGAATTATGCCTGATGCTCTTGTAATAGGTTGGAGAGTTCGACGACCCTGTCGTTATGCAATTCGCATTGTGTGATGCCTGGTTGTTACTTGGCTGTACCGAAACTTTATAACTCGTTAACGCGATTTCCCTACCGACATGAAGCCTGCCTAAGACCAGTTTGCAACGGAGTTTTAACCTCTGGCATTACTCTATGGTAGAATACTGGGCTGGCACGCAGGAAACTTGAATTCGAATCTCATTGTGCCCTAGTTTTTTTTATTTATTTATTTACTTAGCTTTTGCTTATTTTGCATGATTGTGGTTACGGACACTGGCAGCAGCTGACAATTGTGGCGCACGCAACCCTTGTTGTGATCTCATAACAACTTTCACTGCAAAACTGTTAACCACTTCGTGTTCTTTCCGCATGCAGCATTCTTGCCGATGCGACAGCTGTGGCGATGGTCGGGCACAAGCTCCCAACGGCCGGGGCTGAACGGGAAGGCCAGGAAGTATTTTTACAGCACCATCTTCAGGGGCAGGGAAGCCATTCGGGTGGGTGGCTTTCTGTGCCTTATTAACCAGTATGAGCCCGAGTTCTTCAGTCGTACCAGTCTTTATGGGGCAAATGAATAAGCATGGCATGTAAACACAATCCTTGATATACCGAACCTGGATATAATGAAGTATTGGTTGCAATGTAGCAAATGAAAACTCTTGCAGCAGATATAGTGCTAGGAATATACTTTTTGAACGAATTTTCGTATATAACAAACTCACATCCGTGTAAGATGCAAGTTCATTATAATGAGGGTCGAGCGTAGATTGGGTGATAGCGATAGTGCCTGCAATGTATGGAATGGCTCTGTGTGGTGAGGGGCTGCACCTGTGTAGGGAAAGCTGCAGTTCAAATGAGAGTCAAAGCCACACCGTGCACACTGCGTGCAACATCGCTTCCCAGAGCACGTTGCGCCAGTTCATCAGTCAATGTGGAGCATGTTACTCCTCCGACAGTAATGTGCAGCCAAGTGATGTAGAAGGAAAAAGTTAAGGGGAGCTCATCACATGAACATGGTGTGCTCTCAGTTTTGTGACGAGATTGATTGCAGACCACTTGTAGGCATGGTAACAGCACTGTAGAGCTTCCATTACTTACATCTAGAATTAACTGATTGGAGAAACCAGTAAACCATTTCCTAGGCAACACCTTACAAATGTCGAAGTATAACCAAAATTTGCAAAAGGGCTTTGTCTGCAATTTTTTCAACTTTCATGCATGATATTGTGTGCAGCTGGGAGCCAGTATGACTCGTCATGGTGGTTTATGTGGAATGTCTTTCAAGCTCCAAGCATCACAAGCGTCCCACTTTAATAAACTTCGGAGAAGGCAACTGGAAAATAAAGAAATAACTTTTACCATACGCTTTCTGTGGCTTTATTGTCCACTTAGCTGATATGGTTGTGGTTAACAACGCAGAGATGTAGTAAAAAAAAAAAGTGGTGTCGTTATTGCAGGGGTAATGTGGTGTTGGTGAAATTCAAACTTTATTTGTACTGCCATTTTGTAGGGTGGAATGTGCGAAGAGGTTGTGTGGCGATGCAGGTTGGTGACTGTGCGGTGTTCCTGTCGACGGGACGGCCCAACCTGCCATACATTGGCCGCATCGAAGCCATGTGGGAAGGCTGGAACGGAAACATGGTGGTCCGCGTCAAGTGGTTCTACCACCCGGAGGAGACCAATGGACTTGCTAGGCGTCTCAGGCACCCCAAGGTCAGCTGGTGATCTTTTTACAGATAGAGCTAAAATACCTCGATGCTAGGGCAAGGATCGTGGTGCTTCAATAAAGTTTAGTTATTTTTCACTTCTCGTCTGAAAGGGACGGTAAAGAGAAAAAGGCACTAAAAATTCTAAGAGCACTGCTGCCGCGAGTAGATGCGCATTAAGCAAGAGGCCTACTTTGCAAGCGTTCTCTGACAAAAAAAAACGAAATGTCCCAATAGGACTAAAAGATGCTGCGAGGAATTGGCCGAGGCTCATCTGACTGTCAGAATTGTGAATAGCAACGGGAAATGGCAGTGCTGTCATTTTGGCAAGGAATGATCACACAACGGACAGTGGCTCCAATCTATTATATGAAACATTTACAAAACAGTTTTTGAACGACTTCGAATGCATCGAAACGCAAGTACTAGCTAGAGTCAGAGAATCGTATTAACTTGCATTGGGTCTGACTTACTCGAATCCCATGCCAATAGTTTGTAAATGTCACAACCAGCCCTCCCACCCCCAACTTTTGTATGTGACACCAGCTAGTGTCCGCTCATGACATTAACACAAATAAATTAGTCATTGCACTCCTCAGTTTAAAGCTTCAAAAACAATGCCCCCCAATATTGATGTTCAGCTATGATTATTGAATATTTCTTCATGCATTGAAAACATTTCCGAGGATCTTCAGCTTGCCTGTTGGCTCTCTCTTGTTCTTTCATGATGTTTCATTCCATTCTGTCGCATAACGCTCACGAAGTAGCCCCAATAAGACTTGCAAAGTGAAGATACGGGTGGCAACGAAGCCTTGCGTTTCCTGCGTCAACTTGTCATTATGTTGATAGATCTAACAGCTACCTCGATACGTTTAAATGTTGGCGTGAATGATTTGCTGTAGTTCTGGCCCAAAATCTTGCATACTTTCAACAGTGTTTCAGTCACTCTTTAATGCATACCCTGTCTATTAAAGTACTCGTAAGGATGACTGACGGTGCTTGTTAATTAGTAAATGCACTACTGAACACAAGAGCATGTGTATTTGCAGGGTGCACTGTTCGATTCTCCACACCTGGACCAGAACGATGTGCAGACCATTTCTCACAAATGCGAGGTCCTTTCTTGGGAGGAGTACAGGGCGATTCACAGGATACGCAGCGACGAATCCTGTGCCGATGTTTACTACCTCGCTGGATGCTACAACCCCTACGAGAAAACCATCTCGATTAAGCCCTCATTGACGCTGTGATTATGTCGGTAGACTGCAATCTCGTTTGCGGAAAGCTACGTGCAAGGCGTGCGCTGTCTAGTGGCTTCCTCCGCAGTGTTTTTAACTTGTCAGCAAATGAATTATACAGAAGCGGTGGTTGCAAAATTTAATTACGACGTAATCTAACATGACCAGGAAGGACGGTGCACTACTAAATATCCAGCTTTATTTCTCATTTGTTATCAGGATACTTGAGACGCACATTTCAATGTGCTTGCAACTGTTTATGCTGCATTTGGCATGCATTTGTCATAGCAAACCATAGACCATGTAGTTACCTGGTGAAAACTGTCTCCTTAGTGCGTAGTCATTGTAGTGTCTTTATTCTTCACACAGTGTTTATAGTAGGCTTGTCGAATGTCGCTAGCTGGTGTAGAGAAGCTCTCTGTTGGAAAACAGATGTAATACTGGCCTGAATATTGGATTGTTTAAGTAAACCATATGCTTACGCCAGCATTACCATTCAACTACAAGCCTCTGCGCATCAACTAGTGGAATTCGTATTTGCGTTTCTGTTGTGAAATTCCTTGATGTCGTAATCTACACGTTGTTGAAGTGTTTGGCACAAAGTTGCCGTGAGCCGGCAAAACAGCTCGGTGCCTCGTGGCCGCCGAGCTTACGTGGCGGGCACCTTTGACACAAGAGGGCATATCAGAAGATGTCAGGGGCCAGTGTCGATAGCAGGGCGGGCTGTCTTCCAAAGACGGGGAGGAATTATCAGGGGTGTGAGAGCTGTCTCCTTTTCTTGCTTTCATGTTTGTGTTTTGTGGTCGGTTCTTGCGTAAGCCCGCATATTTTTTCGTTTGATTTGACACACTTTTTTCACCTATTGTGATGGGCCTGAGGAAGATTCACTTGAGAGGAGTTCAGGCGCCACTGTCGCGCCTCCTCCTCTCGGTTTACGGACAGGAACGGGTGTCCGTGTGAAATGTGTACTGCTGTTTGTACTATACTCTCTCGTCTCGTGCGTGCACCTACACAACATTGCTCGGTGTGTCTTTTTTGTACACTTTCTTTTGTTCTGACAAGACTGTGCAGACAGCCTCCAAGCATGTCATCATGCATTCGACGAGTTATTATGAAGGCAGGCACTTTAAGAGCTTGTAGCTCGGTTCGGCGTATAATGTATGCGGCCTGAATAAATATGCCTTGTTTAAGTTGCAAACCGTTGCACATTATATATGGGATTCGCAAACAATCACCTGTCAAAGTGCGATCACTTCCATAAAAGTTTGTGTGACTTGGCAGCATTGTCCCAAGCTTGCCACCTCCACACCTAGCTTGCAACTTCACTGCAGTCATTACGGTAGTGTAATGTGGTATTTTGCGAGGGTGATCGTATCCCACAAAGTGTTGGTAGGGCCTGTCCTTTTCATTAGAGCATAAAATGTCATTATAGATGCAGAAAGGGTACCTACTCTTTGCAACATATGCCCGCTCTAATGTTATTTATTATTATTATTATCAATACACTTAAAGAAAAAATTTGAGACAAGATTTTACGTTACATCTTTCTGCGGTGAAGCCTTATGAAGCAGTTGCTTTAGAAGAATGCACGTACACCCCCACAGGGGTTTGGCTTCTTGGAGGCTGTCAAGCGGGCTTGTATGTTTATCTTTCTCAACTGTGCACTTGTTACCGCTCATTTTCCTCTAGCACGCAGCTGTGTAACCTCTGTAGTGGCATCATGGAACACAATGGCATGCCTCACCCCTCCGTCTCTATGCATTTTCCCCACCCTCACATGTCGGAAGCGCGCTTGATTAGGAGGTGTCTGTAAAACACCGCCGTGTCTGTGAAACTCGTTCTCCCACGTCAAAGTTCTTCGCTGTTTGTAAAACAAAGCCACACGCCAACTGTTTGAGCAGCGGCGCGCTGCTCTCCGTCGTTCACGCTCGCGACGACGGGTGCGAGCGCACGTTTTTTTTTTGTGTGTCGCTGTCGTGGTCGATAACCATAGCTGAGGTCATCACATCACCGCGTACATTTTGTGCATTTCACCCACCTCAGAAAACCAGTGTTTCTTTCGCCTTTTGTATGCGTTGCACTATGTTCTACGAGCTGCTTCGAAGTCGCTTGTTTTTGGAACTGCTGCATTGAGCTACTAGCTGGAGTGGATAGCAACCGGAGTTTTCGTCCTCATGCATGCACTGCTTGCTACTGTGAGCTTTGTCGAATTGCATCGCTCCAAGACAAGGAGGAAAAGGCACTTGGGAGTGCACACTGATGCTGATGGTTCTGTGCTGGGCAGCTGGCCACAGGTACATGGAGGTTTTCTTAAGCCCATGTCTACAATGCATACGAGGCCAGTGATTCCTTGCATAAGTCACTGTTGCACAACAATTACTGCTATCATCACGTGACAGAAACCGAGTATGAGAAGCAGTCATCTGCTTTGACTGCACCTTGAACAAACTACAGTCGCCAGCAGCTGATGACTAGTGCCTCGATTGTCATCTGTTCTTGCACAAAGCTGGATCTCTCATCAGTGATGAGCAGCACGTCTTAGTGATGCTGAGACTGAAAGGTTTCGATCTGAAGCCGGCAGGGAACAGCTGCTGGTTCATTGTAAGTAAACACTTGTTAGCTGGCTCAATCCTAGAACAACTTTGGTAACTTTTCATCTCTGTGGTGGTTGTGGCAGCATGTACACTCCGCGAGCTTATCGGTGTTTTACTCAAGTTTGCACCGTGTGAAAGAAAAAACAAGAAAGCTGCTCTACTCATACACTGAACTCTGAAGAGCAACACGCATACACACGGAAATCCGGTGTCAGTGCAAAACATGAAGCGAACGCGAATTTTTTTTTACTACTTTGCAACATTTAAAGAAAAGAATGTCTTTGCAGTGATTTTGCAAAGCTCTGTTCTGTGCTGTTCACAGAAACGGTGTGCTCAAAGCTTAATGGGCTTTGGATTATCAGGGTTTCACAGTGCTTCATATCTTAGTAGGGGATGTTGTCATAGGGTTGAGTCAGCGCTACACGCTTGTGCCATGAAAGTGTATACCACTGTTTAATGGGTTTTCGGGCTGTTTAGGTGCTGGCTATTCTGCAACTACAACCGTAGGAGGATGCATATATATGCATGGCACAAAAATCGCAATTTACAAATCCAGCCAGCCTTTTTTATGGCTTAAAATTTACGGCAGCTAGTCTGAGAGACACCGGTGCTGAAAGATGTTTTTATCGTTTGTTGTTAAGGCCAGGCTGCCCACGAGGGTGTTGGCGTTGCACAGTTTATGGGATTGGGGAAGGCTGCTTCCAGAAGAGTCACTTTTGTGCACGTCTCTAGTTTTGGCTCAACAGCAAGTACCGATGACGAGCAGTTCGAGATGCGAGAATTCGATATGCTTCACTTTACACTGCAAAAGTCGCCCATTTTCAAACACACTGGTCTCTGTAAGAGAGATCAGCACAGAGCAGGTACTCAAACCTGGCTTTCAATGCGAACACATGACTTTTAAGGGAGCTATGAAAAAGACAAGAGATTTACCTGCAAATAGAATCGTACGTTATGGAAACTGAAGCCGTGCTTTTCTGCACAACAACTACAGTGTTTCTGTCAAATTCAGGCAGCGTGTCAATGCTATAAATGTAACGCAGGGTGGAAACTTGGGCACGTTGGCAGGACATAATGAATGTAACAACAGCGTAACAGACGAGGATTGACGAGAAACAGTGCTGACCTTCAATGACATCTAACAGCAAACCTGTCGCAAGTGATTTGTCATTTCATAGTCATCGACGCAGTTGATAACTGCACCCTCGTGTATGCAATCCTCCATGCCATATTTATATGGTCTTTGCTTCACTATTAAATAATGCTTAAAGTTAGTGCCGTTCTTTGCCAGTCCTTGTCTGTTGTGCTGTACTTCATTCACCATAAACATGACCGAAATGCATTCCAATAGGCTGTTGCCACACAACCAGTCAATACACAATCACCAGTTATGGATGTTGCATAGCCAGAAGACAAGGCTGCAAATGTAAACTCCAAAGCGTCGGAAATGCTACAAAGGTTCCCTGTAAGCTGTGGTTGCACATTTATTTGCCCGCATTTTTAACAAAGATTAACCGTACAGTGACCCGTGCCAGTCTTTTTCAACTAGCTTGAGAGTAAATTCAGCACTTACTGCTGCTTCACTTGCTTAAATTTTGCAACGTAACTGCACAATTCGTTTAACCACTTACAATAAACACTTGCCATCATTGTTTGCCTGTGTTGTGTGTAGGCGCTGGGAGCAGATTATTCTTCTTCTTCTTCTGCTGCTGTTTGCTTCTCTGGTGGTGAGCCAGCCATGCGATGGTGGTCTCTTGTGCATTTTTGATTGAGTGTCTCTGAACAACACAAATTATGCATTGCCCCATTGCAGAATGTGAGCAGGAAGTGAAGCAGCAGATATGTAAAAATTTGCTTTATAAGACAATTCAGACTGGCTACTGTACTGAGTTTGTAGTAGTTTTACGTACAGTTTTTCTTTCAATTCATGCACAGCCCAACGCAAGAGTAAGTAATGTTTCTTTTTGTAGATATAGAACAAGCTCTGAGATTTAGGGAGCAGTAGAGATGTTATCAGAAAAATATCTGCAATATCGCAGTAAGCACATTCAGTTTGGCACTTTCCACCTCCATGGCTGCGAGCCGATGCAGTGTACACCAAGTACTTTCCTGTCTCGGAAAAGTGGGCCACTTGGAGAGCATTCTTCTGGAAGCAGTTTTCCTACTGAAACACGCGGGTTCACAAGTGCTTGTAAGATTTAGCTGAAGTGTTGAGATGGTGCAAGAGTTTGGTGGCAGAGTTTCAACTGTTTGCAGCTCCGGAGAGAGCGCATTATTTTTGTAGGTGCGACGGTTGGCATGGCCCGGGAAGAGGCTTTGGTTTTTGTACATAGGCAAGTTGTCATCTGCTGTCATATTCTGCAGTTGTGTTGCTCCTCATATTTCTCTTGCCCTGTTCTGCTAGCAGGAATGAAAACTGACTGTGATTTTCACTCGTTGAAAAAAAAAAAATGTGGGACTTGTTGAACGTCGGTGGCTGGGATTCTCCTCTCTCCCTCTTTCTGTCCCTTGGAAACTTCTGTTAAAGTCTTTGACTGACAACATCTTCATAACAGAAGATTGCAAAAAAGTGATTGCTACAAAGTCTGTTGTAAGTCTGTTGTGCCATACGTACGTTCTGGGTACCGTTTGGGTGGCAAAAAAGTGTTGCATAGCGTTCCTTGTTGTTCTGAGTTTTTTCATTTGCGCTTCACCCGACAATGGCTCCCTTTTGTTGAAGCCGCCAATGCTCCCCATGCAGTTTTAAAATGCGTACGCTTGTCATTTTTGTGTGCGTTTGTGCAATGCTCAGTTTGACGAGTCTTCTTTTTTGCGATTGGCTGTCTGTTCTGAGGAAGTTTCGTGTTGTCACTGCTCTGCTAACAATTGTTCCCCAGTTCTTGCTTGACTCTCAAACGGCCACTTGGGATGGTCACTTCATTTGTATTGTTTCTATATTTAACAATTAACAAAGTTCTTATTCAACTCCTGGAACTTATGTCGTTTTCAATGCATTAATGAACCACTTGGATGAGGTAACTGCAAAAGGCATGCAGGGCTCATCCCGCGTCTTTTGTAATATAGGTAATGTAATGTAGCCACGCTCATTTCTTGCTTGTTACTTTTCACAGGTCTGTGGGGAAAAAAGTTTGGTTCTGAATGTTTCCTATCATAGATGTCACTAGTATTCACCTCTGAAATAGCTGTTTTTTTTTAATTTATGCCGTGGCATTTCGGAGTATTGTGGCCCCCTAAAACCTTCTAACTTCACAGTGTAAGCACTGTACCAAAATTTGCAGATTGCACCCTTAATGGTACTAGAAAGAACAGCAGGCTGACAATGGAATTCAGCGATGCACCCATTACGGATCCTTCCTCAGAACAGCCCAGCAACATATACATTGTACAAGTTCTGCTGTCTGTTTCGCATTGCTCAAAGCTTTTTTTTTTGTTTTTGGCTTTGTTTTTTTTTTTGGTCATCAACTTTGCCCAGATCTCCGAGGGGAGAAGGTTATTTTCCCTCAGCACCTTGTGCTTGTGTTGGCTTTTTTTTTTTTTTCCTGCCAATTTTTGTCTTAGCCATACAGGACAGCTGTCTAGTTTGTACAGAGCTTGAGTTATTTTCTGCACCTGTCCAAGTGACCAACAATGCGTTTAGTTACGTATGCACTTAATAAAAATGAATCCACAAAATGTGTACTTTGTTATTCATTCTGTGGCTTTCAGAGTTTGCTACCTTACCCATTGTGAATGCGAAGGGACGTTTGCCTCGTGTACTCATCTTGTTAATTTAGTGCTACTGTTTACAAATATGCCGGATGTGATGCAGGTGGGGATCCTGCCGGCGGCAAGTTATCTTTTTGTCCACTTTTGTTTCTTTTACATTTACATTGCAATTACTTTTAATAATGCCCCCTTTACTTCTCTTGGCATCATTGCCTGTTGGTTCCGATTAATGTGATCAGCCAAGTCACTTGTGAAATTGGCTGCAAGTTTGCAGCTTTTAAATCACCATACTTAACCACACATTGTGTAGGACTATGCTTTGGTGGTTTCGCAAAAAACTGGCAGGCTTGGGATAAAATTACCCTGATCAAGGCATGGTAAACTACCTAAGCACAGAGCCATGCCTGTGCTTAAGAGTGCTTTGGAAAAAGATTCTATTGAGGCGTTGGGTAGGGTGAGGAATCGCATCAAGAACTATGCAAGTGGTGACTAGCATAAATGTAGGATCACAGCAGGTGTCGCACCATGCGAGGTAGCTAACAAGAAGCGAGTCTGAAGCTTCTGACCCATTACAAAGAGTTTATACTTTACAAGGCCCCCTCTCCAGCTTGCGTTGTTGCTGTCCTTCGCATTTTGTGCACGCCTCGCGTTTTGAAGCACAAGAGTAGACGTCGAATTTGTGAAGTTTATGTCGTGTTGAGTGTGCCCACGTGACATGACATATAGAGGCAAAGCGGAGAAGGAAAAGGCAGAATAGGCGACTAAGCGTTGTGGATGAGATGTATGTGAACAGAGAGCAGCAAGCGGATGGGCAGAAAAAACATTAGTGTACTTGTAACTAGCTTGATATCTGGTCACGCAAGCAAACACAGTTTTTTTTTTTTTTTTTGCTACTGTTTCCTGCTGTATGCTGTACTCGCGGTGCCAAGAGCTTGATCATATGTGTATAAGCACACCTTTTTCTCCAGCGCCATGACAATTTATAGTTAACAATGCGTTATCAAAACTTCAAATAAACCTCGAACAGCTCGGTCAGTGACCCTAAAACATTTGCTCTCACAATACTGGGGTCTGTGGGTTCTGGGTTAGTTTCTTTGTCAGGCCTACCAACGGCAAATATTAGAAACGTTTCACTTTGTAGAATTGAGCAACACACAAACAAACGCATTGCTACTGCCCAAGTAGGTCAACAGAGTGCCCCAGCCTTTCCCCTTCTTTCTCTCTAGTGGTAGTGTCGCAGTCTTTCCCAACTTCCTATTTACAGCCTAAGCCACCGAGCTAGCACATGGAGGGGCTGATATCGCCTTGTATACGGTTCATGCAAACTTCTCTGCGACGGTGGCCAGTGGCGATTTTGCCCACGGACGCTGATGCCATGCTCTGTGCCCTCTCTTGAAACACTGAGCGTGATAAACCATTCTGGTTAACCTAAAGGCATTCTACCAACAATTCACGAGGAGATAAATGCCAATTTCCGTGCGTGTCGCCCAGGTTCACAGAGCTTATCTCCTTCTTGAGAGGCGTGTTCATTTCATGAACATAAGTGCAGAAGGCAGATCTCCACAAGAGGCACAAAATGCACTTTTACTTAAATTGCTTGAAAGCCAGCAGTTTCTTTCAATCAGCTTTTCTGTTTTGTTTGACAGCTTTCCATCACATATAAAGAAATACTCACATAATCTTTAGGCAACCCTAAAGGAACATTTCTAATTTCCATAGTGTGCAATAACAATACTCTCCTCACACCGCAGTCAGACATGTATAAAATATTTTGCTTTCATTTTGGAAGTTTTTGGCACCTAGCATCTGCAAGCCAGCATTGCAAGTCAACACAGGACAGAGCCTTTGAAATCTGTGTCCTGCATGGAGCCATAATGCTAGAAACAGCTGTCAGTCTTTGGACGACAATCCACTCGTCATCATACACGTTAATTATGTTCAACTGACAGCAAACGGGCAGCTGTTGCCAATATGTCGGGACTTGCAGTCTTTCCATGATGTCAGACTCGTTTTGACATGTTGCAGCGAAGCTGCCCTCTCAACACTGAAACTGAAATGGCTGCTCTGTGGTAGTTGCATTAAAAATATGTGCATTGCATTCCTAGGCACCACGACACCCTTTCTAGGATTCTGGACACCTGTGTTTTTATTCAGAACTGCTTAAAAATACCTGTATATTTTATGTCGGTACTCTTTTGATTCAATTGTGAAGCTGCATGTGCCCAAATCATGTCATGATTATGAGGCACATGCAGTGGAGCTCTGTCATAATTATGAGGCACTGTTAGCAAAGCTCTGGGTCAAGTTTCATAATTTGAGGTTTAACCTACGTCCAATTGGAATGCTGGTGTTCCTGCATTTTGCTTACGTCGATATGTGGCTGCCGTAGCAAGAAAACTGCCACAGCATCAAAGGTGACCGTGGCCACTTCAGCAAAAGAGTAAGGCCAGCTCCATACAGAATAGGCAAGCACAATTGAAAAAAATTACAGCATATCTATGAAGTGAATGACGAGTAGGCAATGCAGTGGTATTGTTCGGTGTAACCGAAATCACACCCGTGACATTGACCACTCATGTATGAAAATGACAAAGCAGTGTACAGTTATATACAATGTTTATTGGTCGTAACTGGTATGTTGTGTTGAGTTGTGAATTTCGTTTTGCTTTCATTATTACTGCTTTGTGGTATCGTATCTAGCCTGAAGTTGGCAAGGAAGTTGCACGTTCCCCTGGTGGTTGTTGGTGGTTTCTAGTCGTACGAAATGCATCGTAGAGCCTATCGAGACATTATGTACTGCACAAGCCAGTCGTCTGCGATAATCAGAGTCGTCATCGTGGTATATAGTGAGTACCTTGCATGTGCTGTGCAGTGATGGCAGAGAAAGATTGTGTGGTCTGGAACGCGCTTGTTCTTCATCGCGATCGTCATTAGCGGCAGCTGCGGCGCACAATGTCTATGAACAAGCCTTGACCTAGGGGGGGGCTTTGCCCTTAAAACTGTGTAGTTTGGAATTGCACTGGACTGTGGCTTCCCTTCCAACCTTCCAATCATAGATTTCAGTGAGGTCTGAACAGTGGAAAGTTTCACACCATGATTTTTATGTGATATTTTTTAATGCGATTGATAAGGATTGATTTAAATTTTTTGTTGCATTTGGCAAGAATCTACCTTTTGACACTCAGTTTTGTAAAAAAATACCGCAGAACTGCATTGTCAAGTAAAAAGTTTTATATCTAAATAGTTTAACCCCCGTACTCAGAAACGCTCCTCGACTCGACTTGCACCCTTCACTTGACAGAGTTGCGCAGTGCGCCACTGCTCGGCTGAAAATGACACTGCGCTACTCAAGAATAGCAGCAAATCATCACTGATATGCAGTGACTATCCTGCCTAGAGATGGCGCTCCAATCGGCTTTCTCAAGTGAAGCTGGAGCGTTGAGTGAAGGGGCGTTCTAGAATACGGGGGTGCGTATCAAAGTTTACCGCTCACAAATCAATTGCTACCAAAAGGTCTTGAATCTGCCAAGAAAGTGGACGTTATTGTGGTTAGTTGCTCGCTTTGAGTTCATTCTTTGCTCATCATGATGAGCATGCTGGAAGCAGGACGGGATGGCATGGGTGAAAGAAGTTATGTCGGGTCGTCATGACCTTCACTGTACATGAAGAAGCACGATCACACTCTTCTGTTGCGATTCTTTTGCACAAGCGTAGCTCACTTTATGAATGTTAGCAGACTATCGAGCAAAGTGCGAGCGCGTGGTGACACCCCGTCGCAAGAAGCACATCCAATCTAAACGGGGCTCTTTATTAGAGTCAGTTATCGGCCAATAGCATGCAATCCACTGTCAAACAGCGGGTGCTGGCAGCTCTAAAATGAAAGAGATGGGCCTCAGTGTGGACAATGAGCACTTGAGAAAGTGGAAACTTCGCACTTTTCTGGTGAACTCTTGTCACGCGCGACTGCAAGACTTGGCCAAGATGTTCATAGCAGTGTCGGCAGTCAGCATTACGTGCTTTTTAACCAAGTCCGAGGGGTAGCTCAAGATTCCTTCAACTTAATCATGTTGCACTCAAGTCAACACTGACCTCAGACAAAGCAAAACTTTAAAGTAAATGGTGGCTTTTAAATAGCAATTTGTTCATTTTAGAACCTCTGGTGGTTCTTGCTGGAATCTCAACAGACAGCAATAAAATGCAGACAAGGAGGCATGGTGAATGTTTAATGAGAACACTGTTTAATTCATAAGGGCATGCTATCTGCTTTCCATTAAACTTCCAAACAAGATGGAATAAGTACCAATTTCTTTCTTTTATTCCGCAGCTGCCTTGGGAAGAAAAGATTCTGAGAAACAATAGGAACTTATTCCTGTTTATATAAGTACGAGTACATTTCATCACGTATTTAGAGACGACCATTTTTTCTTTATAAACATAACCATATCGTGCAGCCCTCAAAGATGGCTTACAGGCATTCGTGAAAACGCTGCTACTGTTTGTCACTGCGTGAAGTGTGACAATTAGTTCGCACAACAAAACTACATTCACAGCTGCAGTTTAGACACAGATCCTCACGCAGCATTTCAAACAAGGCACTCGTCGCTTATATTTGCATCAATTTTGGAATATTTTGCATACATGATAAACTAGACTTATAATTATACTACGCCCCAATAAGTTTCTTCACACTCCCTACACATGAAAATAAGTCGAAAAAGATAATGTTTTTTCTTAGCTATCAAAAAATGGGTCAACAAGGCAGCTGCTGCCCTTTCATTATTTGCAAGAGCATCTGTCCTCGCTGGCAGCATGAAGCAGCTCGCGTTCACAACTATCACCTTTGCCACCTCCATGTAACTTGTTTGTTGATGTCTAGATACTTTGTTTCCAAACGCCTGTGCATAACATGAGCCCTAGCTGTATGCCGGGAGGGCTCCAGCGTCCCCATTGCGCCACACTTGGTATAGCCTCCACAACACCACACCGACAGACAGGCCTGTTGTGATGAGGTGCGCCGCTCGCTTCTTTCGCTCGTCCCTGCGCACCAGCACTAGCGGCTGCGGATTGGCAAGTTCCCTGAGTGGTAGCCGATCGAGCACGGCTCGATCTTTCTCGACCTGGTAGTGGATGCAGGGGTCGGTTGCCCACGACAGCGAGTAGACGGTGGCACAGAAAGCGCTCACGCCAGCCAGCGGAGCGCCGATCACGAACAGGGTGTGAGCAGAAGACGGCGTCGGTGACGGTGGGCACAGCAGAAGGGTCGTTGCTAGCGATCCGATTCCGGACAGGAGGGACGTCTGATGAAGGCAGTTTCCGAGCGCAATCCAGCGGGCCGTTTCCTCGCCTAGTCGCCTCGGCTCCACGATGATGGACGCTGGTCCGGCTTCGAGGGCACGGTCAAAGTCCAGTTCAAAAGCTTCGTGAGAGTTCTCGCCTTCATAGAGCTCATGGATGATCACCCACTCTGGCACATCGATGTATTCACTGAAACATGTTCAATAATTGCCATTAGCAAGGTGTAGTGACTGGCCTCCACAAAGCATATATAAAACTAAGTGTAGGAGAGGATAGAAACGTAAGAGAAATGAAGAATCCATGAAACATGTGGTGTCACTTGAGTCGACCAAGTCCGCTTGCCAGAACATCGACAACTGCGGCAGTCCATGTTCACGAATATTTCATCTCTACAAAGCATATGTGTTGCACGCAGTTTGTCTAGGCACAGTTCAAAGAGTACTCGTGCCCAACACATGTTTGGCGTGGTTTACTAAAACTAATGCAACGTGTGAATTGTTAGGCCACTAAATGAACTGACAAGAAATTACTCGTAAAATCCTCGCACAACCATCTATGTTGACAATGTGCGAGTTTCTCACGGCTGCTAAACCTTCGCTTTGATGGATAGAATGTGTCCTGACAATGCTCTGTACAAACAAAGCAAAATATTTGCAACAGCTGTCGCGATTGCCAGTGGGGAAGACAGCAGTTCGAACGAGCAGCAACAACAGTGACCCGCAGCTGAAAGGGTGGCAGCTGAACTCGCAGCGGTCCAATGACACCACCAATCGCAAGGGCAGGCAACCAACCAAGCTATCTTATCGACGCGCTCTCGCGACACAGACCGCTCTTCGCTTCGTTCAACTCTTTGTGCACTCAATTAATGCAATGTCACCTGCGTGATGTGTCCCATATCGGGCTTGCAAAACGCGGCTGTCCTTTGCATAATGAATTCACGACGAATGCGGCCGAAAGGCGCAATTTATAGTAAGCGAAAAATTTGCGGACACGGCAAGAGTGCGTTTTGCGAAGTTCCCATCAGGCTGACGTGAGTCTAGCGTGGCCCAACCAAATGATCAACACACGACGATCGGGAGCACGCATGCGACCGAGTAAACTAGAGGCTGCTCTACGCAAAACACCGACCCTTCAACGCAACAAAAAAAGAAAAAAAAAACTGTCCTTTCGCCCAAGTGTCGCTTCGCTTTCGCACAGGCACCGCTTTCGACGCAAACTACGCCGTAGTTTATTCTGGCAGCTACTTTTCACTAACGCCTGACAAGTGACACTAGATAACACTGCATGTGACTGCCAATAACGAAAGCAACGTTAATATGACGCGACGGAGCATGAATGTTCAAGCTTATGCGGCAGTGAGCACAAAGGTTTTATAACAATACCGTGAACCCAGCTTGTCCGCTCGATCTCGTTCGCGATAACACGCGGACACTTTCTTTATGTGGTGTCAAGCGTTTCACGGCGGTCAGCTAGGCAGCAAAGAAAGAACACGATGAAAAGTCGGAGCTGTTTACATCTGATAATCGTCGTAGCGCAGTTTTCGAGAGAGGACACATCGAACCTTGCAGTATCCAAGGGTCGCGTGGGCACTAGTGCGAAAAAAACAGATTTTGAAAGCGTCAGGCGACGCCGACAGTTTCACCATTCGGACAAAGATTACCTGCGATCGGCGCAGATCAAATGCGTTAGCCTACAACCTGCAACAAATAAAGGACACGGCGACGCAACTTACGTTTTCTCCATCGCTGTTTACAACGGGAGGCCAACCGACTGGCTTGTGCCGTCGTTGACTGCAACAAGCCAGACCGCAAGACCGAACTTTGCAAAACTACAAACTGGCACTTTATAATACTGTAAACAAAAAAACTACTTCTTGCGAGCCTTGTACGTTAATTAAATTTGACGTTAGCACACTCGGCAGTGAAAACAACACTGCATTGCTTCTATTTGAATTTTTTGTAGTAACTAGTAAGCCATTTTGCCACCACAATTGCTAAAAGCGCACGCTTGTGTTGCTTCAGAAGTAAAAGACAAATCATTAGTCTAGCAGCTTTCTAGTCTACAATACTTTTTAGGTTATCTGTCTAGCACATAGCTCCGTACTCGAAGCTCCGTACATCGTACTGCAGCGTTAAACCAGTTAAACCGCACGCAAAAGGCATTTGAAGATGAGAAAAAACATTTGGATGTGCGCGGCAGCTGAGTGATTGTGTTAGTCGCGATTAATTCGCAGTCGACCTAGCCGAAATGTTCGGATCGAGCCCATGTGCGCGCGTGTGTTCCGCGTTAGTCAGGAGGTTTACTTTCGAGCTCAACTTGGCAGCACCGCACTCCTCAGCTCGACGATTTTGCATAGCGACCGAGGCGGCGCATAAAACTCGGCGCTCTCCGACGGACGATCTTGACTGCCAAAGCTCGGCACCGCCAAAGTCGGGTGCGGCAATGCGAAGACGTCCTGCTGCAAGCGGCGCGGCAACTCGAACGCAGAGAACTCGACACGTGAGCCGGGAGTTTCCGATCTTCGAGGGCCACGACCCGGATACGTTCGGTACGCTGTCGGATGATCATCGGCTCGGAGCCGAACTTCTTCCGGACGACGAGGACGATGTCGGGGAGGCAACAAAACTCAAACGCATGTCGGACAAGAAGTACGAGAACGACATCAAACAGTTGGTGCTTGACAGAAAGGTAGATAAAAAAATTGGTCGATTGTCCTCAGTAGAGAGAGCTTTTTTTTTTTTTTTTAACAGTGGATCCGTGTAAGCTTGTGCTAGGTCCGGCCAACGTTCCTAGAATTGATTTTAGTATCGTTGGGCACTAGAATAATTCTAGAATCTATTCTAGTAACGTCGGGTCCGGCTGCGTTCGCAAAAACTGCGCCTTTAATCGCCGAGCGACGACGTCACCATGCGTCGCCTAGCAACGCTTTGGAGGCGGGAAAAGGGGAGGAGGATAAATAAATATAACAACAAAGGCTAACGTAATCACTGGCCTATCCAGGCACGCTAGTAGAACAAGCAGTTATGAGAACCGCATGATTGCGAGACAAGGAGAATAAAATAAGAAACAAATAGATCAAGAAAGTACGGATAGCCATCTATAGTTTAGCGGGGAGATGGGAAAGGTAATTGAAAGTGAGGAGGAGTGGAAAGAGTAGAGCATAGCGTGGCCTTGTATGGTATACATAACTTGCATTGACGTCATTGTGGTGCCATCTGTGGGTACCAGCTGATTGAGATGCTGCATAAACTTTTGCTCCAACGTGTGTCGCAGAAACCGGGGCATCATATCGGTGGCAGGGCCCCCTCCAATCCGGTGTATTTTCCCTCGGCACATGCGGGAAGAGCACAAAAAGAAAATACGGGGAGCGAAAGACTGTCCCTGCACTGGCACTCTCAAATGTGATAAAAAGTCATGGTGGCTGCCACCTTCAGGTATTCAGAGCAGAGAACCTGTATGTGGCGTCATGAGAAAGTTGTGTATAGCATAGCAAGGAGGTGGGAAAAGGAAGTGAAGGTGAGGTGGTGGGAAAGGCCACCAGCTGTGTTGTTTTTCCAGTCTTCACACTACTCTAGTTGGAAGCAACTTCAAAAATATATGTTTCTTGCTCGGGGATGAATGCATACAAGCCTGCCCCGATTATGTATAAACTCCTGCCCCAACGCCTAACTGATGTCGTCAGCCGGGTGGTGAATAGCGCCACCTACCGAGAACATTGCCGGGTGCATAAATGGGACTATTTCTTAAGTTGCAAAGGCGATCAGCTGGCACGCTTTGGTCATTTGGTTGGAGCCTCTCAGAAATTCGTAAGTTGTATACGACTATAGTGTGTAGCTGCCCTGACTTTTTTTTTTCTGCGACATAGTGACAATTGTTATTCTGCTTTTGTTCTGGGCGATAAGAATAATAGAATGTGATAGACTGATCAAGCTTAGTTCACATCATGTGGGCCTTAGCCTGAATGGGACGGCTGAATGGGAAATTCAGCCTTCACTTCTCAGTTAACACGTCAACTGTGGTGCTGAGAATGAAATGTTTGTGCACATCAAATGGGTCGTTTTAGACCCTTCCTGAATGCATGCCCACTGTAAGTACTGTTGCGAAGTGCCCACTACGTTTTTATTCTGCCATGACTCTGCGAAGGGCCCCCCTACGTCTCTGTAAGGCAATAAGCGCACTTACACTGCCACACACTTTGGATTGATCCCTGGTGGAATTCCGCGCTTTTGGTATGAGATATTGAATTTATTAGCGCAACTTGTCACGATACGTAATGCCTGTATAATTTTCTTCGTCTTCTTTTTCAAACCCTTTCAGGCTGTGGTAGAACACCTTTTGCCACCCGGAGGCCTGGGTTCAACTCCACTTTAAACATATGATTTTAGTTATTTGCAATCATCGCAAGTTTTTGCTCATTATCAAAACACAGTTAGGGCCTGCCCACATGCTAAACACACTGCTGCAGGGCACGTGGCGGATCTGCCGCACACCAGCGGAGGGCGAAAGCGAATCGGTGACTCTGTTTCGCCATTCGCTTGCATGCAGCAGGTGTCGCGACACGTACGGTGCGGCTGTACGGGTAATGCGTGGACGGCCCTTAGAAGAATCGGCAATGAAGGTTCAGAATCCTGGCTCAGTTTACTGCAAAATGTATAGAACAGTCCAAATGTTGATGAATGCATTTATAGAGTTATGCCTTTCCCCTTTTCTTACAGATCAAAGAGGCACTCAACTTGTTTTTTGAGATCCAGAAGGCGTATGACGTTAAACCAACCCATGTCATGTTCACACTGCTGATTGGTGGCTGTGGCCGAGTTGGCTACACCAAGATGGCATTCAAGCTGTACAGAAGGGTACGTGCTACCTATTCCATGGTCAACAATGATGTCATTTGAATGGTGTAATGCCCTGCGGCAATACTGAATGTTAAAACACAGAAGGGAGCGAATGATAAAGTAAGAATTTCGCAGTGCTGTTGATGCGCATTCGATGGTACGGTATGATCACTGGGCAGTGCTGAATGCTGTCCCTGTTTTGTGATCAGGTTCACTGTGACATCGCTTATGGCCTACAGATCCACACTGGAATTGGCATTCGGGCTGATGCAGCTACATTAAAGGATTACAACATATTGTAGAATGCTGGAGCATCTGATGACGTCTCAGTGCAGCAGCTACTTGGATAAAAATAAAAAAATTGTTTTGCATATTTTCTTTTTCATTTTTTTCTTAATTATGGTTATAAATAGAGAATGGATTTTAGATAAATGTCTACATTGTTTCTTTGCTCAATGTCATGCCTGAGCAGTTTGCTATGGTGTGATTTTCCTAGGAAGTCACGACCATGAACCTGAATGCACGTAGTGAAAAGGTTAAGAGTTATTTTAAGAAAATTATCCACAGATAGAACAAAAGAGAGTGTGTTATCTAAGCCTATATCTTTAAAGCATGAATGCCTTAATAATTTGCTTGGGCAATGTTTATTGTTAACTTTTGCATTTGTGGAAATTGTTTCATTTTCATCTCAAATTACACCGTTTCAGATGCGTGATCGTGGCCTAGAGCCAACACCAGCTACGCTGACGGGACTGTTTAACTCATGTGCAGAGAGTCCATTCTCTGAAATTGGCCTAGATAAAGCACACAAGCTTTACGAGCAGATTAAGTTGAAGAACTGGGTTCCCAGCAACCTCACCTACCATGCCATGATCAAAGCATTCGGCAAGTGTGGAGATCTTGACATGGCTTTTAGGGTAAGTACAAGAAGCGCACCTGCCAGCTCGATAGATATTTGCAACGTTCGCTAATTTGAAGCCACTACAGTATCATGTGCAGTTTGTCGAATCTTGAAAACGAACCTTTGCACCAGTTTCACTCAATTCTTGACTGCACCCTTAGAAGTCATGCGCCATTGAAAGGACTCTAAAGGCAAGGGTTGCATACTTTAATCTAATTCAATTGGACAAACTCCTGTAGCCGGTGGTATAAGCATCTGCTGTGTCCCTGAGGAAGTTGCACTCTGTTGCTTGTCAGTTTATGTTCCAAGTAAGTTCATAATTGTGTGCTATATGTAGAATTAAACATCATCCGCTCTTTACCTGCACTACAGGATGAAAGCTTTCCTGAATGTCTTGCCTTAAAGGCCGCTCTGAATATTTCTCGTCTCAAGCCAATTTCATTTTATGCCTGTGAATATTATTTTAAAATGCAGCTCTTAGGCACCTTTTCCTGCTTTAAGGGCCGTTGCTGTTGGCGTTGTCGGCATAACCGATAAAGAGAGCGAGTGTGAAAGGAGCGAATGCGGAGTCTGTGATACCATAATCCACAGTGTCCTCTGACGTTGCTTTCTTCCTCCATCACGCACGCTGGCCACTTGGTCGAAGCTCATGCACATGCAGGGCTGGCCCATGCACTGCGGCTGGTTTCACCTGTGGTAACGGGGTTGCTGGCATTTTGTTTCGTTCACGATGCGTGCAATGCACGGAGTGGTGTGCATAGCACTCGCTGTTTCGCCACTTGCCATTTCGTGCTGTCGCCATTTCCCTTGGCTCGTGACGCCTTCAATGCACGAGGTAGTGTGGGTAGCACTCAAGTGCTAGCAGTTTCTGTAGCAATATGTAACAAATGGTACTTCTTAGTAATACAGCCAAAACCTCAAACACGGTTAGTGTAGCCAAAGCACGAAGCTGTGCTGAGGATACGCATTAGGGATTATCGTAATTGTCTATTAATTTTGCGTCCAATGCACGGAGTGGTGTGCATAGCACTCGCTGTTTCGCCACTTGCCATTTCGTGCTGTCGCCATTTCCCTTGGCTCATGACGCCTTCAATGCACGAGGTAGTGTGGGTAGCACTCAAGTGCTAGCAGTTTCTTTAGCAATATGTAACAAATGGTACTTCTTAGTAATACAGCCAAAACCTCAAACACGGTTAGTGTAGCCCAAGCACGAAGCTGTGCTGAGGATACGCATTAGGGATTATCGTAATTGTCTATTAATTTTTTTACTTTTATCGTCCCACCTCACTTTCTGTTGTTTCTGTTCCCAAACGTTATAACGCACAGTAAACAGACATTTATGAATACCACCAACCAGGAGTGCTCGTGCAAAAACAAAAGTATGTTCAAGTTGTTGTGTCACTCCAGATTTCGCATGTCAGACCAGTTAAAAAAAATGAGCAAAACAAGCAATGCTGTGCCATTTTCTTGGATATTCACATTGAAAACTGAGATAGACAGGCTGATCAGTGGTCATAATTTTTTCTCAGGTCATGGACGAGATGGCCAGTGCAAAGCATGCCATCACCAACGAGACCTTTGCTTTTCTTCTGATGGCTTGCATCGCCAACAAGGAAGCTGGCTTTTCCTTGGGGCTTAAGGTATGGACACAAGATGCCTGTGTACACTGTGCTATAATATTGTTATGAAAGCTTCAGCACGAATCATGCAGGTTTTTTTTTATTTTCCTTCATATTGATTTTGAAATTATCAGTTCAGATGTGGTGCTGCTGTCAGAAACGGCTACATTTTGGCATTATTTTATACACCCAAACCTCGATATAGCGAACCTGTATGTAATGAAATATTGATTATAGCAAAGTAAATTGAGAACACCCTTGCAATAGATGTAACTTCGTTATAATGAGGTTTGAGTGTGGTTATAACACAGGAGTGTACCAGCTGTGCCATTCGGGCCATTGTGCACCAAACTAGCTTGCCTGCGCTACCCTGCACTGAACCACTCCTGCTGCGCCAAACTCGCATATCAGCGCCGTACTGCGCCGTAGCACCAGAATTCAGCCACAAAGTGCGAAAGCCGTCAAGTGCCATGTCCAGAAACGTGGTTCAAACATTGTCTCTTTGTTTCAGTGAAACGGTTACAGTTTCGGTTTCGTAAAGGTTGCGATCGCTCCAGGAGCAGTTGTGAGTTATGATATCAAGGGCGTGGTTGCACGCCCATAGCTATCGCGATCACGCCCTTGGTATAGCCCTTGAATCCTTGTGCATGCTGCACTCTCAATGCAGAGGCTGCAAGAAGAACATTTCTCCCTGGCACTGCTGCATTCTTTTTCACGAGAATTTTGTAAAGTTATGGAATATCGGATCTAAAGGAGTTGGCTGGCAGCCTTATAAGCTGTTGCTATCACATTCATTTCTTCACCATTACGGTAAAGCTTCTTTTTTTTTAACATGATGGCAGCATTGGGAAAAGGTACAAAGGATGGCAGTAACAGTGCTCAAAAAAAGCGGGGTGGTGTCCGTTTCCTAGAGCAGCCTAGCAAAGACAGGTGCACATGACTGCTCATCAAGTGTATGCGCGTATTCTCATTTTTGTGGCTGCTGTGCTTCGCTCTTATCGACTCGGCTGTTGACAATCGCACGTTCAGGTTAAAGAAAAAAACGTGGGCAGCTGTACATAACTAAAAAGTCATAGTTGCATTGCAAGAGTGAAGCAATGAATGTGATATCAGCAAATTGTAATGGCACACGAAGTGAGGCTAGCAGCTAACTCTTTTGAATTCAATCACACGTAACTGTACGAAATGCTGGTGTACGAGAATCAGTTACTTCAAAGCGAGCAACACGTTTCGCACAGTCTCTTCGTAATGAGAGTGCAGCGGGACTCACCCATTGGTGGCTCCCAAGCTAGCATGCACGCCAGCAATAGCGACCACACCCTTAGAAACAAAGTTTATAGTTGTTGTTTGAGGTAAACCTGCCTCCTTCCTCGTGGGTTTTTTTGGCTCTTCCAAGATGGGCAGAATGCTTCCTCTCTGCTTCAACTTCAGGCCTTCCGAGCGGCGGAGATGGGCCAAATCGTTCGATCCCTGCTTCAACCGCCTTCGACGCCCCCGATTGCGTGCTTTTAATCGCGGATGGAACATATGATGTGCGGGAGTATGTTATCAATTCGGAATTTATACACGACATTACGCAATGGAAAAAGACCTGTTGGGAATGTCCATATAATTTCTTTTGCAATAATGAGGCTATTGCACAATTCAACTGACTGTTTGAAAAATGCAGCATTCAACAAATGTTCCTTCACAAGCATTTTGAACGAGGCTAAGTCTGCTCTGAATGTTCTTGCTACTCTAAACTTGCTCGAAAATTCCCTTCTGGCTGCCGTAAGCCTGCTCCAAAATGTCTTTCGGAGCACTTTTGCACGCTCCCAGGGCTGCTCCCAAACACATGTACCCTGTTCCACCCCTGTAGTAAAATAATAATCTCGGACAACAAGTTAGCATTTACAAAATGATGCCCTCTGTCTGGGTTTTTCAGCAAAGTGAAAACCGTGCGAGGCCCAAAATCATTTGGAGGCTTAATTGATAAAGTTCACTGCCATGAAAAAATCCGTAAACAGTGGTTGTGCGCTTGAGCCGACATTTCGAGAAATAGACTTGTCTTCTTTAAGGCTAAAACTGATCAGTTCCAGCCTTGAGGAAAACAAGTCTGCTTGCCGAAACGTTCGCTCGAGTGCACAACACCTATTCACGAATTTTTTCGTCGCAAGCTTCCATCACCCCCTTCCTGCTGTTTTCTGAAAGATCACTATTGCATCACCAACTATGTTTGTGAGGTAATGCTAGTTAATGTGAGCTTGTGCACTATTCTAATAGTTATATACACATTGACAGAAAATTTTTACAGACGTATCCTGCATTATTGACAATAAAGAAAGTTGTAATTGTTCTCAGTGTGGAATGGTGCCTTGAAAAACTTGCATGGCGTCTGAATGTGACAAAAGTGATACCTGTTCCAGGTGATGCGAACCATGCTGTGGAAGAAGATCCGTCCCTCGATGTACTGCTACAACCTTTTCTTGCGCACAGTTCGTGAGTGTGGCGTTGGACCGCCGGAGATGTTCCAGGAGCTCCTCGAATCTGTCCAGTCCGGCAAGAACAAGCGTATCGCTGGGAAGAAGCAGAGTGATGCCGTGGCCGGCAATTTGCTTCGCATAGAGGCACGCTTGCATCCCACTGAGGCTGCTAGACTGAGTAAGTACAGCAGGGTTGTGTAGAAATAGTAATGATTTATATCTTGAGCTGTATTACCGCTCTTTTTGCCTTCACTAGATCCCTTTTGTAATCTGCAGCTGCGCATTCCTGTGCTGCATGTTCGTTCAACTAATGGTGCTTCAAATAAAGACGGGGTCCTAATCGCCCTTGCCGGGGCTCACCTGTTAGACGTGTTTATGTCAAGAGAACCAAGTCTGAATTTTCCACGTCATAGTGTAAGGAAACTGCGCTTGTGCGCGCTGTTTGCAGTTGGTTACTAGCTGCCATTAGTTGGGCAAACTGCATAGTAGGAAAGCGAGACTTAGTGTTATGAAAGAGGTCTTTTGTATCAGCAATGCTTTTGAAAACACATTTCAAGGATTTCAAGGCATTTCATTGCTTTTGAATTAACACAAATAGTGTTTTCTGAAATACATCAGCGGCTTGAGCTCATCGCAGCACAGGAACTATGTTTTGACTCTAGACGCAGTGTCTCCTCAAAAATATATATATATGGGAAAGAAGTGTATACAGAAGGGCTCGTTTTTTCCGTGTTTTGACACATTAATAATGAGATCAAACAGGCAATAATGCCAAGGAATGTATAGGGAAAGTACATATAGAAGCAAATAAATGTGCAAATAGTCATAGCAATACATAAACATAGAAATCTAATGGAAGTTACTACAAAAGAGAGGAGAGCTAACAATGAAGAACATGACATTTTCAATTTTTATCTTCACAATGTCAGTGGCTTGTTGGTGATTGTATGATTTTAACCTTGCAGCACAAAAGTTGAGCATCTTTTGGTAGTCTGCACACTTATGCCTTTATTCTGTCGTCGTCGTCCACATGCAACTTTTTGCTCTGTGAAATGAAAACCACAGAATCACCCAATGTAAACGCATCTATGTGCAGTTCATTGCAATGAGGCACTACGCTGAGGAAACCACTACCCTGCAAATGTGAAGTGAATGTTGTCTCCAAGTGAGTTCTTGTGTCTCCTCTGGCTACCAAGGGAGGCCAAGGATTTGAAGTATGAACTATATCGTAGTGTATAATCGCAATAAGTGATTTCAGTTTGCTTGTATCGTTTTGCACAGCGAGAAAAGCTTTTGTTAGTTCATTTTAAACCTTACACAACTTTCACTAAGGAGAGCTGCAGAATCTAGGTGTAGAGGATTTTTTCTCAAAAGAGGAAGAACCTAAAGTGCACATGATCATGTAACATTCTTTTTTTTTTTTTTGTCCAGAAAGCCATGCTTAATAAACGATGACACCCTGTTCGACTGCAGGTTAGTCAGCATGCAGTTGGAGTTCCAAGAGCTAAGTTGTTTTCTAATATACGTATTACTAACACCTGCTCGAAAGTGTAACTAGTAAAGTTTACTCCCCATATAATCAGATTCGCTCGCTGGATTCCGTGCCGACCGGTTGTGCCATCGCGATCTCCGACAACAGTGCAGCTCTGGCCGACTGCATTAGCCCTACGCCATTTCCTGTCGCCGACAAGAGCTCTCGCCAGTGGTGCCCCGTCGTCGGACTCCTGCAACCGTGTCCTTCTTTCCCGTCTTCTCCTTACTTCCGTCGGTCCCTGTCTCACCGCCTCGCTCTCTCCTTCCTCTCTCTCTATCTCTTTACCTTTTAATCACTTCTGTACCCCCATCCCTCGTGAGCTACTGTTGAGGTGTCCTCCCCCTGAGTGACAGTTACAGGGCTCACTTTTCTCTTCTTTTCATTTTCATTTATAATCTTCCCCCCCGCCATATAATTATCTGCAACAAATATTGCTCTGAAGTGTTTTAGATGTTGCCAAATCATGGCACTTTGATTTTCAATCGCTATGTTGACTATTAAAATTTAAATCAACCTCGACATTAACTTCCTTTTGCAGGCCGCCGCCTCATGCAAGATTTTTGAAAATGGTTGGTGCTAATACCTGTATTGCTAATTAATACTTGTATCACTAATTAATACCTGTATGGTATTAAGGTGTGCCTGTACAGGCACACCTTTTTTCTTTCTTTTTTATGGGAAGTCTCAGAACTCTACTAATTCTCCTTGCAGCTCAAACTGAAGGCGATGGCTCAAAACCTGAGGCGGCCTGGGAAGCCGAGGAGTTGGTATTTGGCAAACCTGAAGAAACCACAACCTCCACAAGCCTGGCCACCTTGCCGAATCTTCTCTCGCCGAGCTTCAAACACACGGGAGAAATTGTGGGACTCGGAGAGGTCACCGAACCCTACCACAGGTGAATCTTTTCAGCGCTTTTCGCAAAATGTCCTTTGCCTTTGCTTTCACTTCAACAATGTTGCATGACTTTTGCACCGTGTAAATCTATGTAATTGAATAATGTAGTATGTATGCAAATAAAAAAAAGAAATTGTGAAAATGACCTGTCTCACGGGAGAGGGCATGCAGCAAAACACCTTAACCATGCAAGTTTCAAAGCACATGGCGGCCTTTAAGAAAGAATGTTGCTGAAGAGGAACCCTGAATCAGACTGCGGTTTGCTGTAGTTGATACAGTTAAGCATTTTATTCGGCTGATCTCACAAAATCTGTGTATTATCTATGAAAAATTGGAATCTCTGAACACCCTACGGTTTTAGAAAATCATTATATGGGATAAAAAGGGCTTATTAAAATGAATGTTGATGACATTGTTTGGTTCATGATAGAAAAAAAATGAGAGTCAATGTCGTATATTTTTTTCATGTTAGTTTAACTTGTATCAAAATTACGTGCTCAAAAAATTCGATGTCATGAGGTTTTGGTTTTAACGACGTTTATTTGGCCCGAGGGGGACCTGGCAACAATCGGGCACGATGAACCCACAATGATGATGATGATGATAATACTTGACCACGATGAGGCTCCATAACCAAACATATTTAGATGATAACGTACAGATTAAGAAGGTGTGTATAATGAATGCCCACAATATTAAGAATATGAACATAGGAATGAAGATTTGCAGAGCAAGACTCACCAAATTAAAGTTGCAGGCAGCAAGAAGCTTAAATGACCTGAAGGCCAACTCCGGCGTTTTTTTGACCATGTAAAGGCAAGGGTGTTTCTGTGTTTCTGAGACACTCTTGTCACAAGCCCAATAGCTGAAATGCTCGGGATATTCGAAAATAGTTTTTAATAAGCAAAGTGGCGCAATGCCGAAACTCAACCGAGCGCACTGTCTACGTATGACGCACTATTTGGTAAGAACCAAATATGCACTATTTGGTAAGTATACTGGTCCTGCTGCCACGGTGTATGAAAACTGTGAAAGCCAGACAGGCGAAGCACCGGCCAAACACCACAAAGAAAAGAAAGAAGCTTGTCCGTGCCTAACACTGCCGCCGTCGCCTTGCGGCCAGCCCAATAAAGGCTGTTGCGGCCAAAGTAGCATTGCCATCGGCTCCATCACTTTCGTTGACATTCCAAACGTGACATCACACAGACACTGCTGCCAATATTCAGGCAAGCTAGGTGAGCGTTTCCAGGAAGTCTTCAAAATTCATTTGCAAACAATCAGTGCTTCTCTCAAGCCTGTAATTTGGCATAAATGATGGAAATGGGCAAAGGAACGTGCTTGGTGAATTTCATCGAAATCTATTGACGTCGAAAAATCACCTGAGTTGGCCTTTAAAACCACCATTTCTGAAGGTAAGAAAGCTGGTGCCTTTCTAAACATGAAAAAGAGTCAGGTTATCACAACAGGCATAGAACAAGCTACAGTCAAATCTCGATAATTCGAACTTGAAGGGGCCCGAAATTTTTTCGAAATAAAAGAAGTTCGAATTAATGAAAGCTAAGTAAATGGAGGGCTCCCCATGCAGTGGCCCATGTGCATTGAGCTAACACACGAGGGGGAAGTTTCGCAAGACTTACATTCATTCCCAATGCACAGGACATTCGTCATTAATTGAAGTAATCTGTGATGCACGCCTACACATTTGCTTGCAGCGAGTCAATCAATTTCGCACGCAGCTTGCAAAGCATGTCTTCTTTGGCTTCAGCATTCTCCTGGCCATAAGGTGCGCGCGGCTATGTCCAGCGCCAACAGTCTCTGAAGACAACAACGACTGCCTCTCCGCTACTTCCCCCTGCACCAAAGCCGCAGCGTGGCCAGCACATGATGAGAAAGGGGGAGCGTCTCCACGCATAGAGAAGCAGAGGCGCAGCTTTTTTTTTTCCTCTTTCTTTATAGCTGTTGTTGAAAGGAGAAGGGTTACATGACAGGGACGGAAAAGGGGAAAGCGTGGCACCGGTGCGCGAGAGAGAGTGACACTCCACTACAGTTTTTTTCTCTCTCTCTCTCTCTCTCTCTCTCTCTTTGCACGTGGCATTGGAAAAAGAAGAGTCTTTACACGGCAGGGAGGGGGAAAGGGAGAACGGTTGCACAGGCGCGTCTCAGATCGGCATTTGAGAGAGAGCAAACATTCCACCGCAGCCTTTTCTTTCTTTTTCCTTTCCTTTGCGTGCTGCGTTGAAGTGTCGGAGGTGCCGCCGCAAGATTGGGCGAGGTGCTGGGAGCATTTTCGGAGCGTGATATGTTCAAATTAACCGTCACAAGTGCTTGCGCGTTTGAATTACCGGGCGTTTTCGCCCATCGGAATTCACATAGCTTTCACGGGACCTCATCGTCAGTTCCAATGAACCGGATGTTCAAATTAAGCATGTTCGAATTAATGAGATTCGACTGTATTCAGATAAACTACAAAGCAGCAAGTATTGTGGAATGTTTTGTTCTTCTGGATTTACAGAACTGGCAGCGAAAATTAGAATTTCATGTTCATAGTGAGAACAGTCGAAAATTCTTAGAGAAAAGGCTTGGCGGTCTTCCTCAGTCCTGTTGTAACAATCAATGGTAATGCAAAGAGGAAGTACTCCGGTGCAGAGGCAGCAGCATCGACCGCAGCCGTGGACTCGTGGTAAAGTGCCCGCTTCTGCTACGGGAGGTCGTGGGTTCGAATCCTACTGCCGCCGGAGTACTTCCTCTTTTTTACAGCAACAACGACATTTTCTTGGCAATCGCATGTTCTTTGGTTTTGACTGTAATTACTGTTCACCATAAAGCAGCTTTGAAGTGGAAAAGTCGTGGTGGGTTCAAGCATTCCTCTCTGTGACAGGCTCCTCATGGTTGGTGGATTGAAGGGCATGATGGACCACTTCCGGGATATGTCGGTGCGTCCGGACGCCAAGACCTTCACGATGCTTCTGGACTGCATTCCCAATAACTTTGATGCCGAGGTGGAGCTGATTGCGGAAGCTGACAAGATTGGGGCCGAGCTCGATGTGGATTTCTTCAATATGCTCATCAAGCGCAGGGCTTTCCGCCGGGAAAAGGAAACCGCCAAGGTCAGCCTCTGCTCTCACTGTCATTGTATTCATTACGCACAACAAATTCACAGCGTTTGCACATTCACAACGTAAATGTATTGAGGTTCATTTGTGTTACCTAAAACGATTCTGATGATAGTGCACAAACTGGCAGTGCCAATCGCATAAACCTGTCAAATAACCGACCAATATACAAGCACCCTATATAATACACTTAAACCTTATTTTAACAAAGTTGAATGTCTACACGAAAATAAGTTTGTTATATCTGAAACTTTGTTATAAAGATTTATTTCTAGCTTTGTATCTATTGTAAAGCTATTTCTCATTTACTTTATAGTATAACTGATATTTTGTTATATCCTGGTTCGTTATATTAATGTTTGAGTCTATTACATTCAAACTTCAATATAACGAACATGTATATAATGAAACATCAGTCATAACAAAGTAAATGAAAAATGGCCTTGCAGTATATATACTGTTAGGAATATACTTATACAACGAATTTTTGGATATAACGAACTTATTTTCGTGTATAGATTCGACTTTGTTATTATAATAAGGTTTGAGTGCTTGTATATTGATCGATTATTTGACAGGCTTATGCTATCAACCGGTTTGTGCACCATCATCAGAATTGCTTTAAGTAACAACACAATGAACTTAAATATGTTTTCTTCCCAACAGCAAACAGTCAATCCAGCCGGCTTTCTTTGGCGCAAGATTTGTTGTAGTGTGCAGCACGGTGCAGCATCCTTGAATGGCCCTCTCTTCTTTTCTGTCTATAGGACGTCCTGTCGATGATAACGGCGCGCGGTCTCCACCCTGATGTGATCACTTTTGGCGTTCTTGCATTGACTGTGCACAACAAGAAGGAGGGAAGCGAGTTTCTCAAGATAATGCAGGCAAGTGGGGACTGCACCTAATGCACTACTAATGCTCTACTAGATGACGAACTCCTCAGCACACGTACGAAGTGCCGCATATGGGAAACACATAGGCAGAAATGGCCGACGCGCCATGCCGACACTCAAGGGGGCGGCCATTTTGGATTTGCCGATGGCAATAGATTGACCGTAATTTTTTTTTCGTACTCGATTCTAACGCGCATATGATTTATGAACTCGCTTAACCGGAAAAAAGGTGCGCGTTAGATTCGAGTAATTACGGTAGTTCTATATTGATTTGCATGTAACTTCCTGTTAGAGTGGTTTCATTGCAGTGAAGTGGTGCTGAGCCAAGAAAACAGTATTCAGGAGAAAGCTGCACTGCCGTGAAACCCCACTTCAAGGTTAAATGAAGATGTTATCCTCGCATAGATTCGTTATTTCAGTTTAAAAGCTCGTTACACCAACTTATATGCTCGAAGTATGGCAAATTTTAAAGCAAGAAATTTCACAGGCTGTCACTTGCATTCTACTGAAAGTCAAATCTTGTTGCTATTCAAAGTCATTCCAATTCGTTTGATGCATAAAAATGGTGTTTGCACAGTCCTTGTTCCAATTTTCAATTGATATTATGCAGGTTAGTTTGCTCATGACAAATAGGCACATATATGGTGCACATATATGGTCGTTTTTCCTGATGAAGGCCAGTCCTTGGCTGAAACGTAGGAAAAATAAAAAGTTTTCGTTTCGCGTGTTCTCTACTTCTTGGTATTTTTCCACTGGATCCAAGGACACCTTCTTTTTCACACACACACACACACACACACACACACACACACACACACAGATATCTATATATATATATATATATATATATATATATATATATATATATATATATATATATTGTAGTGAAGAAGATGAGTGCTACTCAGAAAGGCAGGGGGTATGACTCTGTCGGTGAAGAAGACGACGTTTGGTTGGCAGGGTACTCAGGTTGGCAGGGTTGGCAGTTCCGCCATTTCCGCTTGACGTGTCGTGACCGCTCTCCTGTTTTATAAAAGGGTGTCACTCTAAAACGCCTCATTATAATTGGTGGAGAGTGCTGGGTAACGCCTAATCCTGGAATTGCGAAATCGTACGTTGCCTCCAGTTGCTACGATGTCCACGAACGACGATCAGCGGGCGGCCGCCTCGGCTCCAACTACTGCAGCTCCTGTCTGTCTCGGCTCCTTTCGGCAACGCGTTCCGCCTACCTTCATTGGAACCGATGACAAAGACGTGGAAGACTGGCTCGACGAATACGACCGGGTGAGCAAGCACAACAAGTGGGGCGATGCGCACAAGCTTACTGTCGTCCAATTTTATTTGACCGACGTCGCCAGTCTGTGGTACCATAATCACGACGAGAGAGACCTCCCGACCTGGTCAGCCTTCCAAACGGCGTTTGCGGACTTGTTTGGTCGTCCAGCGCTTCGCAAACTACGGGCCGAACAGCGCTTGCGTACTAGGGTTCAGCAGAACGGTGAGAATTACACCAGTTATATCGAAGATGTGGTCGACCTTTGCCGGTGTGTCAACTCGGCTACAAGAGTACGACATCCACGTCGTTTACCGATCTGGCCGAAAACATTCCGACGCAGACGCTTTGTCTCTACGTTGTAGTGACAAGTCGCCGTCTTCGTTTGCCCCTGACGTATCTGCACTTAGTGTCAGCGACATGCTTCAGGAGCAACGAAAAGATCCTTGGATCGCTTCACTTATCAACTTGTTGAGTCGAACTCCCTCGCAAAATATCCTAAGAGGTATGCGCCATCAAATACAGCACTTCGTCATCAGAGATGGTTTGCTATACAGACGGAATTATCTCTCCGAAGGATGCCAATGGCTCCTAGTCATTCCCAGACGTCTCCGCTCACACATATGCGCCTCCTTTCACGCCGACCCATAATGCGGCCATGCTGGAGTGTTAAAAACCTACACTCGCCTGTCCCACCGCTACTACTGGCGTAGAATGTATCGCTTCGTTCGTCGCTACGTACGTTCCTGTCTCGCTTGTCAACGCTGGAAGAATCCCACTCCAAGTTCTCCAGCTCCACTACAACCCTTACCTTGTCCTGCCCGACCATTTGACCGTGTTGGTATTGATCTGTATGGACCTCTTTCGATTACACCGGCTGGAAATCGCTGGGTAATCGTCGCTATCGATCACCTTACGTGCTACGCAGAAACTTCACCACTCTCTTCTGCGTCAGCCAGTGACGTCGGTCGTTTCATACTGCATCAGATCATTTTACATCGCGGTGCACCACGTGAACTCCTGAGTGACCGAGGGTGTGTGTTTTTGTCGGACGCTGTCAAATCACTTCTCAAGGAATGCCAAGTCATTCATCGCACCACCACTGCATATCATCCTCAAACTAATGGCATTACGGAACGATTCAACCGTACATTAGGAGATATGCTGTCAATGTACGTCGCAACCGATCACACCAATTGGGACAGTATTCTCCCTTTTGTAACCTTCGTGCATAATACTGCTGTCCAGACAACCTTTGGTTTCTCTCCATATTTCCTTCTTTATGGTCGCGAGCCCTCTTGCACGCTAGACACCATCCTTCCTTACCACCCGGATGTTGCTGAGTCGACGACGATGTCACAGGCTGCTAAATACGCGGAAGAGTGTCATCAGCTTGCCCGCTCCTTCACAAGTGCTGAACAGCAACGCCAGAAACACCACCGCGATAGCCCGACGCCTCCTGCTCCTTATGCATCAGATGACCTTGTCTGGCTTCAAATCCCTTCAACCAGCCCTGGTCTCCCAACGAAACTGATATACAAGTGTGACGGACCAATGGAATGTAAATAAGAAGAAAAGTGGATGAAAAAATAACCAGCCGTGAGCAGGAATCGAACCTACGACCTTCGAATAACGCGTTCGATGCTCTAACCACTGAGCTACCACAGAGGCCTTCCCTGCATCCACTTTTTTTGGGTTTATATGTGAATTTAGAAGTAGGAGTGACAGTCAGCGCCATCTAATAGTATATATATATATATATATATATATATATATATATATATACACACACACACACACACTATTCAAAATTAATTTGAAATTATTCTACCAATATCATTATTTCCTTCGAACCCTAAAATTCACTATTTGCACAAGCCTGTTATAAACGCCTTCGTTCACACCTTGGTTAATTCATGAACTCACCTCATAGGTGCTCTTCAAAGTCCGATAGTCTGTTGTGACAGCCAACACCCTTTGAAATCTCCATTGCCTTGATGCAGAGTTTGTAAATCATATTATGTTCAATCATACAAAAGTATTGAAGATCCATTAAAGAATGTTCCATACTCTGTGAATAATACAGCCTAAGAAAAAAAGGAACAGCGTCTGTCATAAAGGGTTCGACAACATGAAAAGTGAGACGTTGAATATTTAACACCTTCCTAATTCAGTGCATTATGTCTAAACGGGTTTCAGATGCACTGTGGGCTATACCAATAACTTGACGTATAGTTTATGCTATTACGTACTTATATGTAACACAATGGACCCACACTCATTTTTTTATGAGTTTTTGCAATGCATTTACTTGCTTAGGTTATTCTTTTTTTTTCTGTTTGGTTCTTTTTCATTGTAATACAGTTAATATTGACTATTGATACTGAGATTTAAATACAGTCGAGCCCGCTTATAACGAACCTGAGCGTGACGTGGCATCGGCTCGCTGTATCCCGAAGTTCGTAGTAAATGGAACACAGCTTTTAAAAAAAAGTTGCGACTGAGAACAGAAACCTTTGTTGCCCCAAAAAGTCCATAATGCACGTGTTTTGAAGAGCAGAAACGATAAGGGCGGTCTCAAGTTCATTTAAAACGGCAGGCTGCTCGTTCGCCGAGGCCCGTGTCATAAGCTGCATGATGCGCTGGCTCCAAAGCTTTGTCGTTCTCGCAGTCCGATTCCTCCAAATCGCTCTCGCCGCGTACTTAATTCACAATGCCCTAATCCGTGCGCGGTTCCGAAGTGTCGTCATCATCATCAGCAGTAATTAAATCATCGCAACAGATGTCCCACCCGCTCTCCCAGATCGGAGTCGACGACGCGCTGCCACTAATCGCCGCCACAGTGGTCCTGTTCAGAAGCTTCAGGCTCGGCATCGGGCCCGACAATCGACGAAGTCGGCTTCGCGAAAAGAGTTTCGCGCACATGTAGCCGTCACCGCCACCCACGATATATTCACCATCTCCACAGCTGAATACCGGGACGCCTGAAGCGGCAAGTTGGCTGCCAGGTGGTCAACAGCTATGAGCAAGCGCTCCGCAACGCGGCACCTAACACGCGGATTACGCTCAAGCCAAGCAATCACACTTCCGACAATTTATTTATTTATTTTTTTTTTTTGAGCGGCACGAAAAAGCGTGCTAGTCCTCCTGTCGGCCATCATGACCACACACGCACACCAAGAGCGAGCAAGACGCGCACACGGGACACACATGCCAGAACGCTTGGAACAGCTCTGAGCGCGTTTCCAGTCAGAAAACGAAACTAATTCGAACCAGCGTGGTGGGCGTTGCGGAGCGGTGGAGAAGGGCGAAGGGGTTGTGATCAAGAGAGAAGAGCAGGCTTGTGAGAGAAGGGCAAGGAGTTGCGATAAAGCGCGGAGGAATGAGATTCCTTCCTCCGTGCGATAGAGAGGGGAGGATGCGGCGGGAGAGCGACCTTGAAAACCAAAACACACGGCAAGAGGCAGGTTGGGTAGCTTGCTTGAAAGGTCCGCGAAACTCGCACGTAGAAAAACTTAGAAAGAGTGCCAGCGCGCGCAGAAGTCAAAGCATGGCCGCCTCGTTCGGTGTGTGCGGCGGCGTTCGAAGAATCGGCGGCCGTGATCAAGAAATCGTTTTGTTGCACCGGCGGGTTTGCGTGGCCTCACGAACTTTGATATTTCACGATTCGTTCCGCGCATATTAACAGCCGTTTTCACGCTTCCACACGCGCGCGGAAGGCATGCTGAGCCGAGTGTGAAGTGAGCGAGAACAAGTCCTAAACACGAAACGAATCGCAAATTATCAGAGTCGGTGGGGTGACGTACGCGCATGCACTAGACGCAGACTATCGGATACAGTCGGTGGCCGACGATGTTGGCAAATGGTCTGGTCACTCCAGGCCGGTGACGCCAACGACAGTACCAGCGATCAAAAACAGGGTACGTGGCCGACCGGTCTTCGAAAGATCGGTGGCAGTGTGAAAACACGGGCCTCGTCTGGTGATGCGGGGTGCTCAGAGTAGCTGGGGGACAAAGGACGGAGGGGTGCGTAACAAAAAGCGGTCAGGTAGAGCAGCAACTAGAGGGCGCGGAGGCAGAATCTTCGTTTAACATTAAGAATGTATGGGCACCTCGCCAATGCCTGATCGGTGGTCGAAATTGGTTTCCCAGGAAGTCGGCAGACCGCTGACTCCGTTCGCTGTAACCGATCAGCGGCGCTCGGAGACGTTCGTTGTAAGTGCGATTTTCTGCCATTGAACCAGTGAATATTTTGACGGTCACGCTGATATTGTTCGTTTTAAGCGAAAGTTTGTCTTAAGTGGGGCGGTTATATGGGGGCTCGACTGTATATATCTTTATGTATTACTATTTGTACCTCATTAAAATGTTTTTAATTATATTGTTTTATTTGCTAACGTCATATGCTGTCAGTATAATTTTTATGGTGTTACGATGTGTAAACAGTAGGACATCAACATTAGACCAATTTTGCTGGCAAAACCGGTTATCCGGTTATTTTATTCATCGGTTATTCGATTTAAAACACCAGATTGACCGGATATTCGGTTAACAATGCCGTGATAGTCGTGTAATCGAATAACCAGATTTTCATTTTGTAATGCTAGCGTAAATATTCGTTTTTTTTTTTGGATTCTCGTGTCTGAACATTGCAACTATTTCTACAAGTCTGATATGTGCTTTTATTGACCTTTTCACATTGTTCATTTGTCTTAATGTGGGGGCATTACGTGAGTCACCAGTGATAATGCCTCTTGAAAGGTAGCTAGTGATTACCGATCCACAAACATTCCGTTAGTTATGAATAACCGCAGGGTGCTAAAGCGCATGCACAGTTGAGAAACGGGAAGTCTATGCATGGGCCATTAGCGATTACGTCAGTAATAAATAATGAGCTGTGCATGTTGTGTCGGCATATATTCAATAGCACTTAAATTTTGAATAAGCTCTTAGTAAGACTAAATATTCGTTTTCGAATATTCGAATAACTGGGTGTACGTTTATTCAAACCGGATTAGCAGAATTCCCGTTTCTTTAAATCCGGATAACTGGCTTTCAAGGCCAGATTCACTTTTCTCCTGTTTAACCGGATGGCCGGCTTGGCATATACCTAGTTGCCATTGTACGCAGCTGTCCCCATGGTTTTTCTTATATGGGACACTCCACTGTATACCCCGGCCTGTAACGTATGCTTACAGTAATTTATGGGATTCGTTGGCACCTCCTGGTGGCCACTCAGGAAGCTGGCCTGACTGTGAACGAGGAGACCTGGGGCACGCTGGTGTGCAATGCCTGTTTCAAGGGCAACTTCTGGTTCCTGTTAGACCTGATGGGCTATGCCAGGCGGGAGGACATCCTGATCAGTGCTGCCGCTCTCCGGGCCATCGACAAGGCCACCAACAGGACGAGAAGGGCACTGCTCAGAAAGGTCGGTTGCTACGTCTCGCAAAGGGGCGTCAGTATTTATTTATGCCATCAAGGAAATATATCAGGCCAGAAAACGAACGTACGCAGGAAGCGAGAAGCCACTTTCCTGTCTTCTTCACTTCCTTAATACAATGCGCCAACTATCCTACTAACTAGTGTTATTAGAACATTTATTTATACATCTCAAACCTCATTATAACAACGTTGAATTTTGCAAGAGAATAAGCTTGTTTTGTTATACCCAAAAATTTATTATAAAGGTTATTCCTAACAGTGTACCTATTGCAAGACTATATTTACTTCATTATGACCAACATTTCGTTATATTCGTGTTTGTTATATTGAGACTTAGTTACCATGCACCTTTAAGGGAGCACTGATACACAAATGTTTCATCTTGCTTCTTCTGTTGCATTGAGTAGCTAATTACTCGCTTCTCACTACTAGAATGCTCGTTCGCTCAAGCTAGCCATGGTAAATTATTTGCAGGTGTTTTATACCGCCCAGTCGCAGTTTAAATTTAAGAGAGTGTCGAGTGAGGCGGTATTTAACGGTGGTTTTCTTTTAAGCATACCTGGCTACATGTGCACACACGCACATGGTCACACAATGACAACTCTTTTAGGCGAAGGCTCCCTTCGAAGCATTGTAAATTAGTATGCGTGATCCGCCCCCAAAAAAACTTGGATTATCTCCCTAAAGGGCACCCTGGTGGGATGCAAAGCAGCAACGTTGCGCGCGGGTAGCTTCACAAGTCGAACGGCGCTGACGCGGATGCTGCGGCGAGCGCTGGAAAATTTGTTTGAAGCAATGACTGGCATAAGTCTTGTAGGTGAAGTTCTCTAATGCTGTTTCGCTATCCCGCGTGCAGATTGTGACAATGTGTACATCGGTGAAACTGGTGACTTTGAACGGCGTCTCAAGCAGCATGATTATGACATGAAAGAAGGAAATGTGAAATCCGGGGCCTTGGCTGACCACATGTCACGTGGTCACACAATCAACTGGGGGAAGGCACGTGCTCCGCTAAAAAAAAAAAAGAACTGTCACGGTGTCCTTATCTTGAGTCGCTCATGATACAAACCACTCCGCCCACTCTAAACAGGAACGATGGTAATCTGCCGTCAGTATATGCGCTCTGCCTGCGTGATATATTGAAACGTACATAAGGCCTGACACATGTTTCCATTTCAATTGTGAATGAGGTTCCTGTGTTGGAGCCGAAACATCTTTTTCTGTGTGTTCTTTAGCCTTTTTGGTTAGTGCAGTGCCTCCGGGCTTTTCACCTTTAACCAGGCTCGCATGAGTGACAGTAATCATGTCTCCTCTCTCACTTCCCTGCAGGAGAGGGGAGAAGAGGTAAGCTTCTTGACTTCGGCCATGGAGAGTGGTTTCCGGCAGTTCTGTCTGGTCTACGAAGACTGGCTCAAGGAGGTGCGAGTGGACAGGCCTCGACATCCGTGGGAACAGTACGAGCCGGAAAACCTGAAGAAGTCGGCTGCTGAGCTCAAAGCTGCTGCAGTTGCCCTCGCAGCGGAGCAGACATGACGTCTCTCATGCAACGTTTACGGTCCCAGCACACGATAGGCACGATATCGTAAAGCTATTTTGTTCTGTTTTTATTTCGTATCCGCCATTAGGGCCTCGCAGTTGTTCAATTTTCTGGCCCATGCCTATTGTGCTTTTTGTCGCAGTATAAAATTAAACATTGTAAAGATGCCCCATTGCAATAAAGGGGCCCTGCAGTGTTTTTTCAAGTGCTTTCCATACCACTGGAGCATGTAGTATTGAACACCGTGACGAACGCAAAAAGAATTCTGTAAATTTTTGCACCAGAAAAGAGGAATGTAGCAAACTGGGCTGGTTAAAACATACCCTCGACAATGTCTTTCTTGTGCTTTATATCTCGTTTGCTTTGACCGTCATGAGGAGTTGTTAATTTTCAAAGGTAAAACCGGAGTAGACAACGCATCCTCAAAGTTAAAACTGGTGTTGACGATGCGAAAAAAATTTTGTTTTTGCCTTTCACACTCTCAGCAACATGACTGGCTGCTTCCAGTGACTGCGTGTTTTTCATAGAGATGTACCACAAGTTCCACCTAATGGTGGCCATTGTCTAATGCCCCTGGTACAGTGTTGTCATTCACTTCAAAAATTGAGAATTTAAAAATGGAAATCCTTATGTATCTGGAGAAGTGTAAAGCATGTTCTTGTATTTTTTAGCCTTTTTTTTCTTGTTTTGTGGAACTGGGGTATTCAACGGTCGTGCAGATTCACCATTTCTGAGTTTATTTGGCATGGTCCAAGACCTCTGTGCGCTGATAATTTCGACACGCAAGGTTATTGCAGTTTTTGGTCATCACATTAACAAACGAATTGGGCCGGTTTTGTTTATCAGTTTCACCAGTGGAAGAGGGCAAATGGCGTATTTGAAATAAAAACAAAATAGGACTGCAATTACAGCAATTCGCAAATTGAAATATAAATTCAGAGCCAAGGTAATGCTGGCACTTTCTTTCCAGCATCTAGATTTTGCGTCATATCAGCGCGATTTCGACTCTCCACACGTACATCAAAACCAACGGTGACTTTAGCTGCCAGGTTCCTAGAAACATTGCTTGCTAAGGTTAAAGACTTAGGCGTGTTGGTATAGCATAACTACTAGTTTGTATGTATAGTGCAGTTAATAGACGGGACACACACAACGGAGCATTAACAAACCAATCTGTGTCAGTGCGATCTTTGGAATGCTATTTCACACCGAGTGCTCTTTGATGCTTTTTATTTGAGTTATCCTTCAAGGAGCTTTCATGATGTGTCGCCATACATGCGCGGTAGAGTACATATACACAATTAGATGGTCGTTTTTCTACAATAAACAGTTGTCAGTAGCACCTGTCCTTGTCTGCCTTTACTTGCACTCATTTCATTATTTAAGATGCAGGGTCAGCTAACCCAACAGCATGTCCCACCCAGGCACAACTAGTATTGGCTGGCGTCGTAAATGATGCTTCGGTAATTGGTCTAGGAAGCCATGTGTCCCATTGTATAGACGTTTTGCCCGTCACTGTGTGCCAGAACAAAGAAAAATTATGAAAGCAGTCCAAGGAAAGAAAGAAGGGAGAAAATGTTCCAATGCTGCCATGCAATCATTACATATTTGCGATGTTTCTCCCACTTGTACTCTTATACCTGCTAGCATGCGCTTGATGTTGATAGAAGATAGCACACACCTCATGCAAGAACTCTGCTTGTACATGGAATAAAAAAAGAATATTTTGCGACTGGAGACTGCCAACTTAGTGATTTCTACAAAAAGGTCGTTTTTGATTCCTTAAAAAGGTGTTTCAGGTATCCTTTAAGTATAGACAGGCAGAAAAAGGTGTGCATCCCGAATTTATTTTGTACAGCTATATAAGAAGCCCTGGCTGTTTGAGATTTGTTCTACCACTCGGTAAGGTATCATAATTGCCTCGATTCCAACGCGCAAGAAAGACAGTCCTTAAGGGGACACTAAAGAGGAGCAATGACTTCAATTAAATTGACAAAATGGACTTTGAAAATTACAATAGAATACGTTTCACTACCATGAGTTTATTAATAGCAGACAAAATCAACGTTGAAGTTTAATTTTTAAATTTCACGCCAAAATCTCCATGTGTGATGTGGGAAATTCTAAAATGTATTTTCGGTATTTTCAGGGCATTGGCTCGATGAAATTTTCTCGAACTTCGTATGCTAAGGCTTCGGCACCCACAGATCACGATGTTCTTTATTTTTATCGATTGGAAGCTACATAGGATTCTGTAGATGCCTTTGAAATTTCTTATGTCTTGGTGAGGGAATCTCAATGTGGCGTCGCCACCTGAATTTTCTCACTAGACATTGTGTCGTAATAAGAGTGGCATGTTTGGGATTGTGAAATTCTACTCTACTGATATGAAAAGAATCGTTTTGCTGTTTGGTGTCCCTCTGAAATTGCATGCGCATTACATACGGGTACAAACATTGAAACTGCCCCATAGCTGTATTTTTACTTTGGGCTCATGTAAGTCAGGTGCGCGTTAGATATTGGGGGGGGGGGGGGGGTAATTGTAGAACTTAACTGCAAGAACTGCAGAACTTAATAACTTGTCACTTTGCGATATCACTCTTCAATAATTTTCCTTCATTAGTTTACATTATCAAGGGGCAGTAGCCATTGCTCATTCATATCTATCACGACACACAGAAACAGTACAAGATACTTTTAGAAAAAAAACCTATGGTTTATTATTACTCTTCCTCTTTTTCCTCTTGGGCGTTGTCTTGGAGTGTGCTTTATCAAGAGCCTGCTTTTTTGCAGAGGATTCAGCGGTGGGAGACGTCTGTTTGGCAGCCTTCTTTTTCCGTTTCCGTGACCGCCGATTAGGTGTCCCAGCCTCTCTATCGTCGGCTTCGTTCTCAACGTTGGCACCACCATCCAGGCTACCGTTGTCATTATCGTCTCTCTCTGCTTCACTTTCAGTTGCGTCAACTTCGTATTGGCTAGTTTCTACCTCTTCGGAAAAGGAAACATGCTTAGCCTCTCCAGTCTGCTCATCACCGCTTGTGTCCAAGCGCTGTTCGATGTCTTCGCTCTTTGCGACCAACTCATCATTGTGGCCGACATCACCGGTTGCCTGTTCACTTCCCTCAGCCGCAACGTTCTTTCTTTTCTTCTTTCGTTTCGCCTTTCTCGGCCCACTGTCCTCCTCGTGGACGGAGTGGACGGCCATGCAGGTGATCCTGCACCCGCACCGCGCCTCGCACAGCAAGCTCGGACTGGCGTCCAAGTTCTCCAAGTCGACGCTCCACACCCTGACCGAGCCGTCGCTGCCGGCGGTCACCAGGAATGTTCCGTCGTCGGCCGATGGCACTCTGACGATCTGCATAGCCTTGACTCGGCTGCTGGCGTGCGCCGCGAACATCTGGTAGACGCACTTGCGCCTGACGTTGTGCACCTCGACGTTGCCGCCCTCGCCCGCGAGCATGACTACGTCGTCCGAGAGGAACGCCACGGCGCCCACGCGCTTGCCGAAGTCGATCGAGTGCACCTTGCCGGCCTTCTCGGTGCTGTAAACGTCGAGCCTGTTTCCGACGCCGACGACGAAGTACACGCCGTCGGGCGACGACCACTGGACGAATTCGGCCACGGCCTTGATGTTTGTGACGTACGCGTTGCGTCCCTTCACCAGGTTCCACGTCCGCAGCGTCTTGTCCTTGGAGACCGAGAGCAGCAGCTTACCACTCGGGTGGACGGCGAGCGACAGCACCTCGCCCTTGTGACCGCGTAGGGTCTTCAAGCACTGCCAACTGCCCGTGCTCCAGACGCACACGGTGGTGTCGTCGCTGGCGCTGAACAAGTGGCTCGACTTGTACATCTGCAGACTGTTTACGGTGCCTTCGTGCTGCATGAGCGAGCCCATTTCGCTGCGACTTCGCATGTTGAACAAGCGGACCGTCTCGTCGACGCTACCGGACGCGACGAACTTGCCGCCGGCAGTCACGCATCGCACGGATCCGAGGTGCGAGTGGTTTGTGAAGAACTGCTGCAGGCTGAACTGTCCATCCCTGCCTTTGTGCAGAGCGTACCCGAGGAGAAACTCCTCGTACGTCCCGATAATCACGTCAAACACGTTTTCGGCATTTTCGGGCGCCGCCATGATGCAAAGACTAACACAAGCAGCGGATTGGCTTGACCACTGTCGGTATACCTAAGTGCAATTAAAAAAAAATAATTTTTGATGACTTTAACTTCACAGTTTTTTTTTGTTATAACATTTGCAAACATTTTAAAAGCAGCATGAGAACAATGCTTTTTTATTCGTAGAAAAAATTGCTTTATTTTTGTTCTTTAATAACTATGGTACCTGTTACTAGCGCACTCTATGATAATATCACGATGGATGCTAAAACCAGGTGCCGGACGAGTTCTTTTCTAGCCGCCATTCCCATCCACACGTGGCTGTGGCACATCGGTAAGCGTTTTGTACCGATTTTAACGGCATTTAGGCCTTCCGAAAAAGCTGAAGTGGTTCTTGGACGATTCATAAGCACGAAAGCCAAGTTGCCGTTGCCTTTCAGGAGCTTAAGACTGTTCCCCGCGTAATCGTAGCGACCACGATCCTTTGGCTGCCTAAGCCTCACTTCTCGCTTGATCCCGGCTTCTTTGACAGATTTTTTTAGGAAGGTATAAAGTATCCTAACCTGCGTACACGTGAGCAGTGCCATTTTCCACCCACAAGCGTTTGCTTTCCAAATCTTGTTATGGCACGGGCGCGAGCGATGTTTCGAAATAGTTTGCGGACTGAAAGCGCCGTGGCTGGGGTGTGCGGGCACGTTTGCCAACTGCTATACCGCATTTTATGTTGAACGGTTATTTATAGAGCGGTCAGTATCAAACATTGCTAGTAATGCGCAGATAACTGTGTGAGCATTGTCTAAAGTAAGTACAAATTGGTGCCACTGTGTAGGTAAGGTTGGCGTGTAGCATCAAGTTCCCAAGTTCAGCGCCTAACCCACTCGAAGTCTGCCGAAGTTCAGCGTATGTGTAATTTAGTTAACAGCTTGTGTAGCCGGTCAACTGCTGGCTGTTAGTGTTTCAATTTGGGCACGTCGAATACGGGCCGCCAAGCTCTGCACGTTTTGTGCTTGCCTCGCTGGTCGATCAAGCCTCTTTTTCTGTTGCAATGTAACGCCGTCCCGCAGATGAGGCATGTGCGGCAGTTTCTCGCTCTTATGCATTATCGAACGTGCAGTACTTGCGAGTTATCGCCGTGTAGCGTGTCCGTCCGTGTCACGCGGTGTGTTCAATCGTGTGCGTGTGATCCTTCACGCAGGCTAAAGCCATGGGTCGCATCCCGACGGTACACAGTAAAACGTACGTCACGCCCCGGCGTCCGTTCGAGAAGGAGCGTCTGGACCAGGAGCTCAAGTTGATCGGCGAGTACGGTCTGCGGAACAAGCGCGAGGTGTGGCGGGTCAAGTACACGCTCGCCAAAATCCGCAAGGCGGCCCGAGAGCTCCTGACGCTCGACGACAAAGACCCCAAGCGGCTCTTCGAAGGTGGGTGTCATGTCCGCAAAACGCCTCCTTGTCACAACTCCGATGGCAGCAGGCAACCGCGTTACTGTGTCTGATGTTCGCTTAGCACAGGTGTCGTTGCTCCGAAGAACAGCAATTTTTCTTTGAAGACGAGACTCGCTGTGTTGTCAGTGGTCAGCACCTTGCTAAAAGCCCTGTAAAGAGATAGCTGTAGTCACGCCGGAAATACAGCAAGAGCAATTCGGAGCATCAGATCCACGTTACTGGTCCCCGTGTGACGTGGTGTGGAACACACACAACTACTGCCAAACCAAGATACAGATTTGGTATATTTGTAGTCCACCATTACTGGATGCCAACAGCGTGGCCGTTGATCCCCAGTATTCATCCAGCTATTTTAGGGATCATTGTTTATTGCAATGAGCTGTTACGCTTAATTCCCTCTCCCCCCCTTTTTTTCCATTGTTGCATGCAGCCAAGCTAGTGGGTGTTAAGCATACCTGCCAACTCTTCCCGTTTTCCCGTAAAATGTACGAACTTAGACCGCGCTTACGATTTTACGAATCTTGCCTGAAATTTTGCGAAAAATATTTCGTTTCTCATAAAAAAAATGACTAGTAAAATAGCATGGCCTCGGCAATTGGCTACGGCGCATTGCCGTAGCTAGGTCATGCAGGCCACAAAAACGGCGCACTATATTCCGCCACCAAAAGAGAACAATATGTATTGATTGGTGTTATCATCATCACATACCTGCCAAGTCTCCCGCATTACCCGGGCGACTTCCAGATTTCGACCGTTTCTTTTGTGTGTATAGTTGCCATGAAAATCTCCCGGAAATCGAAATTTGTGTGCGAGATTTGGTCGCATTGACAAAAGATGCAGGTCAGTCCGTTCCAGGCTTTTTGTGAGCCCACCGCATTTTATTATAAACGGATTTGAGAGGCATTCATGTAACGTACAGTAGAGTCTCGGTGATGCAAAACTGCGGCAGATACTAATTCGTAAAATTCCCCAGCCAAATTCATGAGTCCATTGGGCCGAAATTTGAATGTTATGAACACCTTTCTTAATATCGTAGTGTGTGATATGAACGTTAGTACCGAAACCGTCGAACGAAGGCCGGTCGAGAGCAGTGTACTCAAAGCTTCAGAAGTATGCGTGCGACGAGCGCATGCACTGTCTTGTACAGTGCATGTGGTTGTCACTGCCACAACTGCTGTTGACGAAACCGCCGTCTTTCGACATGATCATGTATGTCGACGAGACAGAACTCCGAAAGTGTGCGCGCAGCCAGCGCTCGACCAGTCAGCGCACTGCTTTCTGCAACCTCTGGGGTAAAACTGTGGCATTGGCGATCATAGATAGCATAAAATGACCTAGTTTTAAAGGCACATGGATTGAAAACAAAACTACTGTCTGCCGCAACCGCCGCGCACAAAACTGCGGTCGCAGCGATGTGATAGCGATCTACGAGCTCCGAGGGCACGTGACTGATGCAGCGGTAGATTAAAGGCGTTGAAGACTTTAAAAAGGCTGGAAGCATTTTGGCGTTCCTGTCTAAAGAGTCTGGTAGCGAGCAAAGCCAAAGCTTTGGCCGGCGCTTTTGCGGCAGCCAGCTGCGCCATCCCGTTCTTTCACATGTGAACACATACGCTAGTTGTTTTGACAGAAACCGATTACTTCGCTAGTTGTTTTAATAACGCGAAATTTCGGGAGCATTTGCACACTCCTTTTGAGACTCTCACCTCAGTGGGGAACCCTGCCCTCGTGTGTTCAGCCACTTTAAGCCATTATGAGACTGCAACGCGGATGTTGGCGCTGGCGTTCGGGACACACACACACACCCCTCTTGTTTTTTGCATTTTTTTTTCTTTTGGTGCCAGAAATGGGGAAAACATAATTATGTTTCTCTCTAAAGGCTAGTCCATCACAGCTACAAAGTACAAAAAAAAAAAAGTCGATGCCCCTCAACCCCGCTCGGGAGTTTTACTAATTTCTCTGTTGGCAGGTATGTGTTGAGTGGTGTCTACTTGCTGAAAATGCGAGCTGTCGAGTTTTCAGCTATGTAAAGCATTGTACTAGTTGGTTACTGTCACAAGAGCTTGAGACTCACTGTGCCGAATGATGCAACACAGGCAATGCACTGCTCCGTCGGCTGGTGCGTGTGGGTGTGCTGGAGGAGAGCAAGATGAAGCTCGATTACGTGCTGGGTCTGCGTATTGAGGACTTTCTGGAGCGCCGCCTGCAGACACAGGTGTTCAAGCACGGCCTTGCCAAGAGCATCCACCATGCCCGTGTGCTCATCCGACAGAGGCACATTCGGTGGGTGCCCGACCCTTGAATACGTCTGCGTGTTTGAAAAGTCCCACTTAGAGCATAATCTATTTGTTATTAATTAGAATTTGGCAAGTAGAAAATGGTAGATTCGAGGTCGATAGTAATTTTGTCAAGTAACTTCTAATTGAACAGTTCCAATTGTATCTGTTATTCAGCGGTGGCACATGCCCAGTTTGACTCTGTAGCATTCCCTTCTTTGCCATGAAAAGTTGTTTGCAAGTATTTGTGTCGGTACGCATCATCCGCCATTGCGTTCCTAGAAACCTTGGCAATAAGCTGGCCTTGGCCACGAGGAGGTTGTAATGCCGTTCTTGAGGGATCTGTCCAGGACCAAATCGGACTGTAGCGTTCAATCACATGTGTCATCTCTCATAAACTCTCATTTGCTCGTACTATGCCCTAAAAATATTCATCTATCTTGCAAGGACAGTCAAACAATACTATTTGAAGCTCTCTTAAATAGAATTACACTTGAACCTCACTATAATAACCTCAATTAACTCGGATATAATGAAATATTGTTTCTAACAAATTATTGGTTATATCGAACTTGTTTTTTTGTGTAAGATGCAACTTTCTTATAATGAGGTTTGAGTGTATTTTTCGAATAGAACTATTTCTGAATGTGATAAAGCTTTAACATTGGTGCACAGGAAAATTTGTGGCTACGTTGGACAGAGTTTTTAAGCAAACCTCCACATTGCGTGTGCATAAGCGAAAATATCCTGAAAAAGTCCCAACCCCGTCACGAAAAAGAAATTTTCAGTGCTTGACTTCTGCCGCAGTACCCTGGTGTCCTGTGGAAAATTGTACTAACATTAGGAAGGGGCTACTAGCTGTTATAGGTGACAGCACATTTGGCCCCTTGACTTGTGTGCCATATATTCGAGTGTTAGTATGATGGCTGAGGTCTTGAAACTTCACAGTTATCATCAATGTCTGTCTATGAATCTGCTGTAGCACAGAGAAACTGAAAATAAAAACATGCACTCTTTTTTATTTTTGTGTTTTCTGGTAATACAAATACTTTTTGTGCCAATATGAGATTTGTATCGTCAAGGTTATGCTGTAGTACTGCATTATTTCATGGGAGTGTGCTGTGTTTGGTGCAGGGTTCGCAAGCAAGTGGTGAATGTGCCCTCATTTGTGGTGCGGCTTGACTCTGAGAAGCATATTGACTTCTCAGCTCAAGTCACCCTTCGGTGGTGGCCGCCCTGGACGTGTCAAGAGGAAGAACATGCGCAAGGCCCAAGGAGGCACTGCACAGGAAGAAGAGGACGATGACTAGGCTGTGTCGCTCCACTAAAATAAAACAAGAGCCATTTCTTCGTGTCCTGCTCTT